TCAATATCAAGCATGAGTATAATTGAGATAAGCTTTGCATGAATGATTTACGAATGGTATTAATTGTATTTTTATTTACATTCTTAATATTAAGATAAGATCTTAGGATTGCTCACATTTGGGATAGGACAACTATTGTAATCTGGGCAATGAAAAACTAACAGTCTAGTTTTTTTCCGGGATTTTTAAGCTTGTTAATCGGAACCAATTTGAACCTGTTGCAAGCGGTTCGATTGACATTCAATTTGACTATTGCACTGATTAACACATTTTGACGGACCTGGTTCCTAGCCATAAGTGAACATATTTACATTTTTATATGGATACACGTGGGCACTAAGGTCAAACTTGTCTAATTGAAAGAGTCAACAAATTCGACAAAACAGACACATTGATTATCTTACAGTTAAAATTGATGCTTAGCAGCTTACAAGTCTCTAGTACAAAAAAGAATGTGTAACTGCTAATTAATAGAGTCGCAAAAATTCGAGTTTACCAATTAATACAACTATAAATCTTGATTTGTAAAAATACGAGTGCACCTATAAATATATCTATATAAGCTTATAGCTAATATGGATTTGATATTTGTCCAATCTTGCAACAATGAAACAGGGGAAGCACTTTCGATTTTGGGGTCGCGTGGGGCAATTTGGGATAAAAATAAAAATAAAAATTAGCTACGGCTAATTCGTATAAATACAAAATGCAAATTAAAAAAAAAAGACCAAAGACCAATTCACCCGAAGACGGCAAAAATGCTATTTGACACATGGTTATTAATTGAATTAACTGCTTTATACCACTTTAAAAAGGTTTTAATTTAGCGCAAAGATCGACAAGTATCCAGATACAATCGCTTTCACAAGGCAGAGCCTTTGTATCTTAAATTGCGGCGTGTGACTCGATTTGCTGTCTGAGCACTTATGAGTGCATACACTGAGTGTTAAGTGATTGGATAAAGAATAGAACAATTGAGTCTGTCAAAATTGCATACACCCTGTGTCCCTCTGTGTTCCCCATTACATCTCAAATATAATGAAAAGTAAGGCATACCAATGCTAATTTTAAGCCGAGCATTTCATGTGTAAATTCTCAGTTTGTCAGGAAACTCAATTATTTATATATAATTGCGGACTAGTTAATCTCTCAATATGTTATATTTTTATTAGATTCCTCGATCTTTGTATACAGCTCTATTCTTATTTTGAATTTTTACTGCACAAATCATACTTTTTAAAGCCATTTCATATAAATCACTATTATTATTAGTAGAGCTGAAGGTCTAGTCGCTAATGCTTTTACTTATGAATAGAATTACTTATAACTTGAGATGAGAATGATATTGTAATCAAATTGTGGCAACAGTTAAGATGTCTACTTTAGAGAGAAAAAGATAATTTAAATGACACATATTATATTATATATATTATTAATCTTCTCATAATCGAAGAGGTCAAGTCTTAACAATGATCGTAGGTGTATAAATATTAATCTGCAAAATTGTAAAGAGGTGTCTACTTTCAAAACCTGTTAATTAATTTACATTTATAGACTTTTTAAATAAGTAAAAATCAAATCAAATTAAAATCCAAATTCATTTAACAAATTTACAAATTATAGTTGTAAATTTCTGACATTTCATTCTCAGTGATAAGTTTTGGTAAATCTATAATAATATTATTTTCAGCGCTGAATTTGGGTATTGAGCTAAGTAGTTTTATTGTTGCCCAGATCATTAAATTTCGTCTGACACACAGTTGACGCATTTCTATGTGAATCTACTCATATCATAACAGTTGAGTATCTTTGCATTTCACTCATTTCTTTATTTTTTGATTTTGCAAGTCAGCTAATGAAGCTAGCGCTCCATCATTGATGGGACTGATTCGAACCGCTTTGTTGCAGTTCCAACCCGCTTAGCGCCGGTTAGTCTGGCCGAAATGCTTGGTTTGAGTTGGTTTGGTTGGTGAGTTGTTTGGCTGGCTGGTTGCTTGGCTGCTTGACTGATCGCCTGGTTGGATGGATTGCTTAGCTGGCTGACTGGCTGGCTGACTGGCTGGTAGTTGTTATTGCTTGATTGCGAGCCAAGTGTGAAAATTATAAATCACTAATCAAAAATAAAACCGACAGAAAACTGTTTAGAATCAAGTGTTTAATAACCCTAATTGTATAATTTTAGCCAAAGTGCACACAAATATCAGCAGCTTAGCCCGTGCTCTGAAGTGACTCATGATTTAAAATACATATACCCAGCTCAACTAAACGGGAGTATTATTTATCAATAAACTAAGAATTTCAGGTGTGGGAACAGTATAAGGTGAGAACAGCATAAGCTGTATTTTCCTACCCTGAACCCATTAAGAATGGGTCAAAAGGGCATAATTGTTTTGTGCATATGTATGCAATAGGCAACATAATAGAGTATATATAATCTTGATCAGAATCAACAGCCGAGTCGATATAGCCATGTCAGTCTGTCCGTCCATATACAGCATATTGGAATATTGGTTCCCATATACCCGGCGCAGATATAATTTGTTTTATTATATCGATAACTGACTCCGTTTCTCGAATATCGATATATTTAGATTTTTAATTAATTCATAATTTGCATTTGCATATTATTAATCAATTGCTTTATTCACACTTGTTTATTCACAGAGTGTATATTCAATACAAATGCAGCACCATTTGCATCAAATGCAAGACAAATCTTCGTAAGGCTTTTTACAGAAAAAAATAGTGAAACGTTTTTGCATTTACTTTATTTTTTTTATTTTATTTTTTCGTAATTCATTGCTTGTCTCATTCAAGCATCCATTCAAGTGATTTATGTCTCTTTTTGTCGTCTGCTCTGGCTTTTTGACTTTTTTGCCAACCTTTTATGAGCCTTGTTTATTTTGTATCCTGGGCATTTTTAAAGCCCCGTAAATAGGGTCGGCATTAACAGCTCAACGGTGCTTAAGGGCTGTTATATTTAATTAAGTTTTGCATTTAAAAGTATGTTACAAAATGTTGCATTAATAAGTGATAAGAATTTATGTCGTGGGTGCATTTCGAGTGAGTGTTTGCTGAATATTGTCTAAAGGGCATCTTCAAACACATTTTATCTTTCTTGCTTCAGTCGATAAGGTGGGCGAACTAAATCTGACACAAACAAGAACATTTTCATTGCAATTATCTGGAGTACCATAGGGCTTTCAGATAGCGTTCTATAATACTGATTAGATTGATATCTTTTGATTGCTTGTGTCTATTACTAACTACTTAAGCAATGTTTCCAATTTTCCTTGTTTAATGTAAGAAATAAAGCAATAAAATTACACTTGCCTTTTAAAGATTTATTTAAAGGAGTTTAAAAAAAATTTGTCAATAAATAAGTTATATTTTAAAATACTTATAATAGGAAATATGGAAAGTATTGTTTCATTTATAGGACTAGATAAGGCCATATATTTTAGCGGATATAAATGGAAACAAATCGAGCACCCCAATATCAAAAAATACAAACAAACTAATCAAGCCATCAATCATCATTATTTCCAATGCGAAAAAATACTCATTTTACTTGTCAATCACTGATGAATGTTTGGATTTATATAAAAATGCCAGCAGAGTGGGCTAAAATTTACAAATCACAAGTTCAATAGCGAAATTTTGAAATTGATTTGTATAAAACAGACGCATGAATGAAAAATTATTTTCTAGGTTCTCTATTTGGAAGAGGAAACGACATAGTTGTATTCATAGGCTGGATTGGAGGTTGGCCAGCCATAAAGTATTTAGGTCAATAATATATTAAAACCAAAAAAAATAGAAGAAAAGTAAAGTGGTTCGTTCTATTAAATATTTATTTGGCATAAATAGTTTACACATTCAAAACATTTAAAATACCTATTCCTTTGTTTAATGGCCACCGATTTGAGTAACTCATGTTAATTGTGTTTGCCTCTCAATGTTTCATTTTGATTCACATTTATGCTGTTAACTTTCACACTTAATATTAAGTAGACATTTTATGTTTTATTTAATGAAATTTTTAGTTTTTATGTTTTGCTTAAGTAACTCCATGATTTTTAAGTTCAATTATTTCCATTTATAGCTTTGTTCGATTATAGCTTTGTTTAGGTGTCGTCGTATTTTCTTTTTTCTTACAACACATAAGTATCAATTGAGGTCGCTGATATAAGTGTATCCGATTAATAAAGTCAGCGTATTTATGGAAAGCTGTATTAACATCAACATCGACAGCTATTCGGAAGTATAATTTTTGTGAAGTGGTGTATAAGTTGTAGAGTATCTTGCAGAAAATCGGAGCTCTTTGTTGTGGCACAAATAGTATAGCCAGAAAATCGTGTTTCCATTTTAAGTTCACACCGTATTAACAATGGGTGGGTTTTGTGATGATGGGTTTTTCACGAAGTACAATTCAATTTACAATAAAAAAAATTAACAATATTTTAGCAGATACGAGGTCATATTCAAAATTCGCCAAGTAAATACCTTCAGCGGAGTTTGCTAAAGCGGGCATATAGTTTTTAGCATTAAGCATATGGAATATAATATGTAAATCAACAAATTCTCATTTAAGTCTAGAGACAACTACACAAACTTAACTGACATAAAATAAATGCCGATCACTATAGCAATACATATATTTTAAATATATATGTATAAATACATGTTTTTAATTACTGGGTCGCCAGGAAGTAAGTATTTGTTAGGCAAGTTTCCAGCTTCGATACTTAGGAATGCAGCACATTGTTTTGAAGCTTATTTAATTTAGGCATAAAATAAATTTTGATATTGAATTTTTGATTTGTATAATTGCTGAACACTAGCAATAATGCTGCACTCCAATCAATGCCCCAGCAACTCAGCTGATCTCAATAAACTATTTAAATACAAATTCTTATTGGCATATAAATCTTCAGGTATTGAGCAATAATGACACACATGTATGTAAAAACAATCATAGGTAATATATATATATATATATATATGTATACATATACATAGATGTGTGTGGGTGTATATATTTTACTATCTTTGGTTTCCAAAAATGTTAACTTAGACGACCAAGTGCGAGACATCGCTGGTATAACCAGGCGAGTAACGCGGTGGCAATGGATTCTGTTGTGGACGCGTCTTGCCCAATCCCAGCTGCGATGCGGTCAGACCACCCTTGCCCAGATCATAGGGCCGCCGTATGCGCAGCACATCGGCCCCATCTCCCGGCCAGGCGCGTTCCGGTCCCAGGCGCTGTCCCAGACGTGGATAGCGTCGCTTGTCCACCGCCAGGCTAATCGTTCCGGGCGCATGTGTGGCCATTAGACCCACATTATACTGTCGCTGCATGGCCAGCGAGGCGCGAATCGTTTTCCGTTTCTATAGAATGATTAATGAGATATGTATGTCAATCAATCTTCTTTATTTTTTCGTTGACACGAAAAGAAACACAATCCAAAAATTAAACATAACTTATTTAGTTTGAATTTATACCAGATGAACAAAAAGGAATTAAGAAGGATTACCTCAATGGTGCCACGCCATTTGTCGGCTGCGTGGCGTGCTATATCCAAACGCTTCTGCTTCTTCACCTGATGCTTCTTGTAGATGACCTCGATGATGATGAGTCCCACGCCGCCGGCTATGCCCACACCAACCAATATAAAAACGCCCGCCATATTCTTCAGTCCCAGCGTGTTGGGCGTCTTCTCAAACAGCTCACAGTTCTGCTGCACATGTCCATGGAAGATCCACTGCTTATCCAGCTTCTCCATGAATCCACCTGCAATTTGAAATTGTTAACTTAATAGTTTAACACATAAGCTAGAATCGAAAAAAATTACTTTATGTATGAAATAAACTTGAATTTAAAGTACAAATGAAAGCTAATCTTAATGGAAATATATCAATAACATAATATTTAAAAAAATATATATAAATAATGAATTGAAAAATGAATAAATTAATAATGTTCTAATACTCAATAATTATATATTTTAATACTTAATAAAAAAAATGGAAACTATTTGAACATATTTGTTTTTGATATTTAAATGAATTTCAGTTTGTACCATTATTAAATATATTATGAAGTGAAAGAAACACATCGCAAAAAACGTACAATAAATAAATGAATAAAATTTGAATACTTAATAAGGTAAATATTTAAACTAAAATAAGGCTTAAAATTCATTGTATCTTTTCATATTTCAATTAAAACAAACATGAAACTGGTCAAATTAAATTTAAAAATAAATTAATTAATTTTCTATTTTCCTAAGTAAATAAAGAAAAGTATTGTAACCGATTTCAACACACTAGTTTTTAATATTTATATTTGATTAATATATTTTTATATAACATACTCTCATGGAACTCGAGTATGGCCAGCGTGACAGCATCCGTCCAGGGCGAACCCTTCTGCAGTCCAATCCCATAGCCGCTGCGTCCAAATAGCTCACCAGCGGTAACCAGTTCACAATCCTTGGAGGCCTCGTATTCGAGACGGGATGAATCCCAAATAAAAGCCATCAGTTTGCTGAACGAAACAAAAGGTGCAAATATTTAGTAACAAATTTATAATTGTTAATTGTTTCAAGATCACAACAATTACAATAGTGATAATAATACAAAATTGTTGAATAAAGAGAGAGAGAGATCTCGTTGGGGAAACATTTAAATACGAGGACAATACGAATATGATTACGATTACTACGGCTACTGACGAGACATAGAAAGAGAGAGAGAGATACTTGGGGGAGAGAGAAAAAGATAGTGATAAGAGTTTGAATTGAGTGGAAAGTGAAGAGTGAGTACTGAAACTTTCATAGTTGTTGTTGTAGTTATTGTTGTTCTTGTAGTTGTTATTGTTGTAGTTAGTTAGTTAGTTAGGTTAACTATTTAGCTAGTTATAGTTGGGGTGCCAAAATCATGCGACTATTAAACACTCGTAGCGAAGAGCAACAGAGACAGAGAGACAGAGAGAGAGAGAGAGAGTGTGTGTTTGACAGACAGAGAGAGAGAGAGTGCGATCTTCAGTTACCCCTTCTTCACATCCTGAATGGCCTGCTCAGCAGTGACATAGTTATTGGACTCCATGGTACGATACATATTGGACAGTTCCACCTGGCGTCGAAAGTACATGTCCACCGATGAACCCTTGACCGTTGCACAGGTCAAATTTTCCATTGTGTTGCGCAGACGGGCATCATTGATGCCGCTCAGCTTCGTCTTGGGCCGCTCCAGCACGAGGAAGGCGGCCAAGTTGGCCGTGTACGAGGCGACAATGATCATGGCAAAGCCTGCCCAGACCATGCCCAACACACGGGCCGAGAAGCTGCGCGGCGTCCCCTCACCAATGCCGCTATTGAGTAAAACTCCCCAGGCGAACCAAACCGCCGAACTGAGATTCAATGCCTTCTCCTCATTGCTGTCCGAATGCGATAGCTTGAAGCGTCCAAACGGTGAGAATCTAAATGTTAGAGAAATGTCACTCAGTTAGTAAAACGTACACTTAACACCAACATTTAACCACGGCTAAGTAATGTCGGGGACTTGGTTCGATTTGGATGTTTGATCTGCTCGCTGCCTTTCAACCGTCAAATGCAACGAGCATATTAAGTCTAAAACATCGCTCATCGAGTGGCACAAGTAATGCTTGTGTTGCGTGTGTTTCTGGTGATTGACTACAGTTCTAAGACTGGTGAGGGGGGATTGGTGGGAATTGGTACGCACCTGTCCAGCAGATAGAGCACGAGCGCCACAACATGAACCGACACCATTACCAAGATCCATAGCGTGTTACTAAATGGCTGCAAGAAAGACACAAGAGTACTCGATCGGGACGGTTTCTTCTCGAGTATTGTAATGCCTTGGTATTTGAATGGTTTCGAGAATTCGATATACTCGGCACGCTCCGGATTAATGGTTAGTGGTGCAACGATCATGCTAGAAATGAATAAACAGAGAAAAATCACATATTAATCATTATTATTCAAATCATCTTTAACTCATACTACCACTAAAATTTTAAAGTAAAAAAAATACTCCTAAAAAATGTATAAATACGAATAAATATTGCGAAATAAACTTAAATTTAAAGTAGGACTTCAAATGAATCTTATGGCAAATTCTTTAATGAAATAGTTATGGAAAATAGGAAAAATTAAGTTTCCATATGAATTAACAAATGCAATTTGAATACGTAATAATTTTAAATAGTTTGTTACCAATTTTCAATATTTATATTTTATCAATATTCTTAATAAATATCATGACAAGTGCCTGTAAAACTAATACTACAGGCTCCAATAAATCTTACTCGGCACGTTCATTGACCAGCTCGCCAATCAAACCCGTCCACTCTTTGCGCAACGTCATCGCACCGGAGTTATTCCGCAGGATATAGTGTCCGAATTGGCCATCTGGCGACAGGGCCAGATCGTAGGTAAAGTTAATCCGCTTCGACAGCTCAATGAGCAGATCAATGCAGTATCCACGACAGCAGAACTCGTTGGCTAAAAAACGACAATATGTTTAAAATGGTTAAAGTCTTCCACCCGAAAGTGACTAAAGTATATAACCAGTCCAAACTAATCCCTACATAAGATGATGAGTTGATGGAATTCAATTGAAAACTAAGTCGATCAGAGAATGACGAATTTTGGGGGGACAAATTGTAATTATATTTTTATTTTAATCTAAGACACTTTACGTTTATGTAAAATTTGACGTAGAATCGGAAATTGCCCACCTGCGTAATGAATGAATAAAAACATATTGATTTGGAAAATGCAAATCGAATTTCAAGTACTATAAGCAAGAAAGATAATGGTAAAAACATCTCTCTTAATGGAATGGTCTGCTATAAAATATAGGAAATAGTTGGTGTGCTCATAGCTTACTTTAAGTTCAAATTAAAGTCAGCTAAGATTAAGCACTCCATATCCAAAATAACGTATATTTTGTAGTCGTCTTAAGAAAATGGAAAAGTCACAATTTGACGCAGCTAGGTAACAATTTATGTCAGGATTTCTTGACTTGCCTTTGTCAAGTGCTGCAAATCGATATTGTTTGCTTTCAGGAAATTGGAAACTCGATTAGAATTTAAATCTAAAATGGGATTTTTAGCTCTTATTTAGACAGAATACGATACAACATTGCCATAAACGTTTTTTTCCCAATTTTCATAGGTAATCTAATAATAATGATTTGGTGTATACGATTGTATCTCTTACCAGTCGCACCGCTGGCATTAAATAAGGGACATGGACGCTCATCGGGTTCACAGCGGAACTCGTCGTCGCCCATGCGACGCACATAGACAAATGGCTTCTCCTCGATGGTGAGGAGCTTGAGATGTGTGGGTATCATGATGCCCTCCGGCTTGCGCTTCTGTTTGCCGCCCCAAATGATCTCGCTGTCATTGATACGCATTCGCATCTTGCCCCGCGGCTGAAGTATAAATCGATGTTGGATTATACGATATGAGGGATATCTTTTGACTGATTAATACTCACACTATCGTAGCTAAACTTGCCGACAACATGTTGCTTCTGATGTTCACGTATATTGATCACATCGTAGCCGGCATAGATGCGATCCCCGTTGTCATCGAAGGCCACTTGACCCGTTTCCCCGGTGATGTTCCTGGATTTAAGATACTGAAAGAGTCGTTTGCCTATTCGATGGTGTGGAGCGATTAATGATGCATTCAATTACATTCATATCATGTCTTGGTTAAGAGCTCACCTGACTCCCAGTTGACAGCGGAGTCACCACAATCTTTGGGCGCCTCGGCGATAGTTTCATTCGATATCATTTCCTTTATTGCCGAGGCCAGCACATAAACGCTGTCCTGTAACCCAAACACATCATGCATAATGAAGATGCTGGACGGCGACATGGTCTGGAATAACATGTGCCATGCACACTTTACTTACCCTAATGTGTCCCTTGTCGCTGTGGGCGTGCTCCAGCTGCAGGCCGAGGACTCCGTCGGGCGTGTTATTCGCATGGAGCGCCTGCTCCGTCACAATCCACACATGACCTTCGCCGGTCATGTTGTATTCGCCAGCATCGCGGAATATCACTTGAGCGTCCTCGGTGCTATGAATATACACATATATACACATACACGTTATATATACACATTCATATACATATAAAACACAACACAACAGCTTATTTTAATGAGCCTGGGGACACAGGCTAAGGACTAGTCTTTTAATAAGCTCCAAACTTGTCTGTTGATAAATGAACCTAAATCTGCACAGCACTGGGGATCTGGGGACTGTAAAACCTAATATCTGTGTATAGTGTTTAATGAATAAATGAACAGGACATTTATAAATAACGCTCAGTCAAATGCTTATATTTCATTACTGTTGAAATATTTGCAACTTTATTGCCCATGCTAATATATAAAAAAAAGGAACGATTTCATATCGTTTACTATTAGATAACATATCTGATATTGTTTTCTCCGTCTATATAAAGTTATTAAATAAGTCGAAATAGGCAATTTCAATTTTCTTATGTATTCTGCTTGAAGGCAAAATAGATATTCTAAAATGGATGGCCGATTTAGAATTCCATTCCTTACAGATGGTCAAAATGGCGACGAAATCGATATCACAGAAACTGATTTAGCAGTTGGTGAGTTGGACAGTGTAAGTTTCGTAGCCTTGATTTTTGTCGCAGAACTCATTTGCCAATTAGGTTAATGGTCCATCCGTTTTTATTTAATTTTTAAAAATAGTTTTACGTATTTTGGCTTACTAAGATGAACTGGGCAGCCAAAGGATTTGACTGAATTTATAGACTTTATTCTTTTCTAGTACATAATTAGAAAACATTACCAAGATTAAATATCAGCTTGTAAATAGTGATTTAATGAATGGGATCTCTAAAATATATTATAATCATGATTTTGGCAGTAAATTATTACGCATAATAATATAAAAAAAAGATGTGTCCTTTAAAATTAAATCTTTTATAAAAGTTGGAGGAACTCTACATTTTTTAATCAAATCGAATCAACCTTTTTAACATCTTATCTTATTTTAAAGTAGTAAATATTAAAAACATCTTATTTTCTTATTTTTGGACAACCCATTTGAATAAGTACTTGAAAGCTAAATTATTTTTAGAATATTAAGTCTGAAATAATTCTTGAGTATTAATTTATTAAGTCTTGGTTCGAGTTTAGAATAATATTTACTTAAATGGAGTTCCCATAACTAATCGCAATTGCAACCAAAAACATAAATATTGTGAGCGAATATTATGTAATGAAAAGCCCCCAGATGATATGTCTATAAGTTCGTTAGAGAATATTTTAGAATAGTTAAACCATATTCGAAATTCAACAAATATGTAACTTCAATGACTGAACCAAAGATAAAATAGTCTAATTGGACCCAGATTTTATGGAGACAAACAAGGATTGAAGGATGCACTTTGTCTAATAGGAATCCTGTGAGATACTTAATGTGTTTTTAACAAAGAAACTCAAAACTTTTTAATTCTTAATAAGGAAACCCAAATTTGCTGGGTTTTAAAGTGTATGAGTATATCTTATGGGAATCATATCTTTTACAACTAAATTTTTATCTTATCTTATCTTCTAGCTTTTGTAGCATACTTATAGGAACAACTAAGTTAGCATCTAAAAATAAGCATAATTTTGAGTTTTATTAACCTACCTGGCATACATGAGATAAACCCGAGACTGTGCTGTCTTCATATCGATCAAATGCTCCGTAAAACTCTCCAGTTTTGGTTCGAACTCAACAATCAATTCGACTGTGGCACGTACATCGACATCATCGTAGTAGGTCTGCGATGTGGTCTGGAAGCGACCCAAAATGGCGCGTCCGTCCGTATCGGAGCTGTGAATGATGATTACCTGTCGGTGGAATCGCAATGGAGACAGGTCCATAAGTCAATAAGTCATAACTTAGACTACCTACCTTCGTGTACAGAAAGTGACTGAGCATCTCGAGCCAAACGTCCGCTTGATGATAGTACGGGGGCACTGTGCGCAGAAAGGAGACGTGTATGTTCTTGTCGGAAAAGGCCGCATCCCGCGAGGATATGCCAATGACGGGTATCGAATAGAACCCGCTCGTATAACTCACAGCTGCCGGCGACAAATCGCCTGAGGTTTGCTCATGCGAAACGACTACGGCGTAGACCTGAAACGAGACACGGCACCACGACACAAACACACACACAAAATCAATCCAATTGAATGAGAAATGCAAAAAGACAAAACTGGGTTAAGGAACGGTTTGGTGTGGGGGGAGCAATCTCTAGACAAGCGGAAGTGTAAATCGAATTGGGCGTCACCAGAATTCTGCAATTGAGTGCCAAAATATATGTGCATCATTTACTGGCTGTGTGGCAACATGAATCTCATCTGACACCGACTTGTCCTCCAGGGTGTGTAATGAAAGGTTAAAAATGGCCACATTTCTCCGGGCAAATGATAAATGACAATTACGATTGCGCTCACAGCACAATTCGAAATTGATTCAGATGGCGAAGAGTTGAGTTATGTGCGAGACAATGTACGATTAATGAACCCCGTCAAGAGTACTTATTTGAAAGCACTTTTTAAAGTTCTTAACAGAGATCATATTCTAATTGAAGATGAGTGCAATTTTATTACTGTCGCAGTCTATAAATTGTTGTAAAGCAACTCAACAGAAGTACACACTTTATTACAGCTGTCTCTAGTTTATGGGCATTTTTTAAGGTTTATACTTTAATCAATTGTGCAAAAGCCTAAAATCTTTGCGGATATAGTTGGAAACTTTATCAAAAATATATTTAAGTTGTGTTAAAAAACAACTTTTAATTTTGTACCCCAAGGAAACTTAACTTCGGAAAAACAAAATGCAACTAAAATAAAAGAAGTCAACAAAGGAGAATTGCCAAAAATTAAATAAGTTAATTTATATACTTAATAATATATATTTATGGATAAATAATCCACGAACTTCCGTTTTTCATATTTTTATTTATTTATTCAATGAAGACTAAATAAAGTCTAAAAAATGTTTAAAGCTTACAAAATAAACATAAACATAAAAAATAATGACTACAATTATATAAATTTGAGTTAAAAGTTAAAACGTAATAAATAATACAACATTTAAAATATCTGCAGATATTCAAATTTATTGCACGGAATGGGGAATCAATCAGACCAACTGAAAGACTAAACTGCAAAATGATGAATCAATGATATAATTTTGAGAGGGTATTTAAATGCCGTTAATCATAAATCGGATATTTGCTGCCTATTTGCGCTGAATATGTCTTAAAGCAATTCGCAGGCAGTCAGTCAACCGGATGAACCAACGACTGACTGACTGACGAACTGATAGACTGACGAACGAAATGACTGTGTGTGATATGCTCGGGCAAATTACCGCTTGTCACCGACTCATTTCCGACTCATTTCCCTTTGAATTATTAAAATGAAGACCCCAAAAACGTGGATGGTGACGGAGGCACTTTAATTATATTTGCATTTGCCAGCCGAGATGCAAAAAATTGGAAATGATTGCTGTTTGTTTTTCCTTTGATACTTACGCGTTTCTCGATGAGCTTATCGCAGACATTGAACACGGTTTTAATTGGGTTCTTATCCATGCGTATTGTCTTATCGTAGTAGGTGACTTTTCGCGGCACATATTGTTGATCGAAATTTAAATGCTGCAACGCGGGAATTAATATTCATAATCTGCAAATATCCAGTTAGGCAAAGAATAACACAAACACACTTACCGCTATTGTTGTGCGAAAATGCTCCTCGCTGTCGGAATTGCTCAATACGCCGCCAATATTGTATGTGGAGGGATTATCGGAGGCTGTGTGCCTTTGTGCTACGAGCACATTTACAATGGCCGCGCCACACAAAAGCCAGCGATAAATAAATGCAACCCGCATATTGTTGCAGCTGCCTGTGTGCAAACTTTTTAGGGAAATGGTAGCTGTGTACGGTGATTTCTATGCGCTTCGCATTTTCTGCAAAGAGGAAATCCTTTTAAAGTTATTAATTTTTAAATTTGCCCGCCAAATTGGCGTTGCCACCGCTGATCGTAACATGCGCAGCGTTGCCCAACCAAACGCTTCAGTTTACCATATGTTGGTTGTGCATGTTACCAGACTGTTCGCTATTCAAAGCGATCAGATGTTTTTGACACTTGTTGCCTGCTCATTGTGCTCAGTCTTCGATATTGTCGCGTGTCGCTTCGCCGCGATTTTTCTTATCGCGGACCACTACGCAAGCAAGACTTGGAAGATAAAAATTCAACAATCGCATTTTTTCTACTACTTAAGCTATTTAATATTGTTTTAATATATTGGAAAAGTGTGTGGCCTTGTTGTAGGTCACAGTAGGCACACTGGCGTAAACCAAAATATGCATGGAAATGTGTGAAAATTGTAATTGAAAATCTATCCATTGTTGTTTGCTTGCGTTAACGCTTGACGTTGACGTCGCCGTCGACGTCATTGTCTTGTCTTAAAAGCCGTCTTTTGGCGTTGTGTTATTGCCGTTGCAGCGGTGGGCGCGGGGGCGTCGCAATTGTTGACGTTGCTTTGCGTTTTTTGTTTTTACCTTCTTCTGCTGCTGCTGTGAGTCGCGTGTGTTTAATTTTTTCTGCTTTTTTTTTTAACGTTCGCCTATTGAAAGCAGCAGCGCAGTCGCTTATTGTTATTGTTGTTTTCTGCGCTTCCCCTTTGCGCTTTTTGTGGTTAAGTGCGCGCACTCAAGGTGAAAAAAAAATATATATATTTTGAGTTCTTTCGAGTGCGGCTTTTTGGAGTGTGTGCGTGTGGCCATAAAACTTAATTTGCAATCAAATTATTCGATTTACGATCTACGAGTGCTATTGCTCCCATATAGATGATCGCTCTGGTGATGATTCAGTTACCGCAAGATTAAAAATAATAAAATAAAATAGTAAATAATAAAAATATGTGAAAATAACTCAACTCAATTCGAGCAGAGGAGCTGACGCTGAAATTGCAGATTTTACTGTAAGTAACTAAAAAATAAACGACAATTTTGCCAACATGCTCCCTATTATATTACATACAAAAAAAAACCCGTTCCACCTGTTGTTGGCCGTTTAATCTGTCTGGTTTAACGGCATTAAAAAAGGGCTTTATGTGGGTCAAAAGGCAAGTCTTTGATAACGTTTAAATGACAGTTGGGCTAATTGCTAAAAAACAAGTTTGCTTTCATGTCGAATAATTGAAGACAAAACAGAGAGAAAAAAAAGAAAATTTTGTTAGACTGCTCGCACTGCCTATTCAGAATCAATTACAAGCACCCAAATAGCAACAACAACAACAACTGTAAAAAGAATCACGCCCTCTCTCGCACTCTCACTTAGCATTGAAAAGAGGGCAGCGAGCAGACAGACGCGTGCTTAATTAAGCGCAACAGACAGAGAGAGAGAGAGAGAGAGAGAGGACGAGTGAGAGTGTGAGTGTGAGAGAGCGAAAGGAGCAGAACGAGCCAAAAAGCTTTCATATTCAAATTTGTGGAATGGGTGAGATGGGGTGGGATGGTGTGTGGTGTTGTGCATAACTTGTAGTTATTAAGTAGGGTGGGATGATGGCGCCACATGCTGTCCACAGCACGCGTTGCATTCAATTTTTTTTTTGCACTCTGTATAAAATTTCACGCGCACCGCAGATTTTTCGACGACACCCACTCACACACCCGCACTATTTATTAATGCATGTGCAGCTGACTCACATTAATACACACATACATACATACATACATACACAGCAAACTGCCGATAACGACTCAATTAAACGTTCAGCAGTGAAAATCAATGACTGAGACACATCGAGAGCACTTTAAGTTATGCCTGCAGAAACTCTTATACAAACACACACACACACACACTTGTGCTCGTCTACTCAATACTTATACTTATACATAGTTCCATATATATTTATATGTGCATAATTTGCAGTTCAATTAAGCGGCAAGAACAAAAAGATACAAACGCCTTTTGCCATATGCTCAATTAACATAAATAGTTAAACAACAATTTATAATATAAATAAAAGATACTCGAGCAACGCTGATTGACCCGCAGCCAACAACAACAACTATCGCAATTGAGAGTGCCCTTCATAGCAATTACTGCGAGAGAGCTTTCTTCTCCCTGCATATTAAAGGGTCTACACACACACACACACATGTACATACGTATGCATGTATGCAAGTGTATGTGCGTGCGTGTTTGATCAGCTGGAATTGTGTTGCAGTTATTACCATTATCGTTATCATCATCAGAGCCATCAGCGGAACAATTTTCAAAACAATAATGAGACTTACATTTACGTAAACTCTCAATTATAAATAAGTGAGAACATTTCCTGATTATGTAAACGACTGAGGAATAGAATTTTACCAGTGTCAAAGTGAATTCTTTGTATTTTGCTGTTTATTATTTTAATTATTACATTTTCATATAATTTATTAATTGCATAATTGTATACCTCAAATTAACGTTACAAATGAAATAATTTACAATTAAAATGAATAGTTAAATTAATAATATAATAATATATTACTTAATGATTAATAATGAAAAAAAATAAATAAAAATGATTCAACATCTACTGCACGAATTGGGGAATAGTTACGAGGGATTAGATTGGAAGGAGTCAGCGAGAAACTAGAGAATAGATAATATTGACAAATGTTCTACGATTAATAAACGATGGAAGTTGAATAAGACGATGGTTCAGAGATTTTCCTAACTTTCCTTTTTTATATGCCTCACTTTGTATCTGTCTCTTTCTCTTTTTGCTGCTTAGCTGCTTTTATTTTCCTTAAGCTACTCATGATTAACAACAATTGGTCTGATTAGATCTTTTCTGGGTTTTCCGAATCCCACAATTTTATTATATCCTTTATTTTATTGTTTCTTTAGTTTCACTTTTATAATTTAGTTCCTCGCTTTTAATTTTAAATAAATTAAATTCGTAACATTTAAAGTTTGGACTGTTTTTAGTCGACATCAAATAAGTAAATAAATAATAATATAAACAAACGAGAAGAGAAGGAATTGCGACTGAATGGATTGAATTGGGTGGTTTTCTAATAAGGAGAATAAATACATGTTCTGTATTCAAGAACTGTACGGATTTCTTGAGAATATAGGACGAGGTTCTTTTTTTTTGAAGATCATCAAAATTTGCAAAATATTTGCAATTTCTTGGAACTTTCTTTCAATCAAAATTCAAATAGCAATATACCAAGCAAAAATACATATAAATGAAATACAATATACATATTTAATATACAGATAAAGCCAACGATAATGCGGATCGAAAAAAAAAAATCCTATTCACATTCTGAGTTTTTCAGAAAAATTAAGCAAGCCTTCCGTTTGATAATTTGCGGAATGTGTACATAAAAAATGAATTCATTTCAACAGTGATTGTAAACATTGGCAGAGTTAAATGAGGGTTTTTTTCTTTTATGATTCAGGCAAATTCCAAACAACAATTCCAAAAAAAAACATTAGACATTTTAATAGTTAATTATGTCCGATTGGCTGTTATCTCACCATATATCATATAATAAATGACTAGCATATAAAATGCAGAACAAGTTGTAAAATAGGCAAAGGAATGTAAACAGGTGAACAAATAAAAAAAAAAACAAATACAAAAACTCATCCATCGCTCGAAAGTTTTCTTCCAATCTATACGTAAAAATTCGGATTTGTTTCCTTTTAGGTTAGGTTACCTTTGTTTCCTTAGTTAAGCTTTAAAACTTATGCATTTTATGGGGTCATTTGGAATACTCTTTGCAGAGGTGTATATTTATAAATTTCCTATGTTTTGCCAAATACTATACTATATAATACAACTTTTATTTTACTTAGCAAATAATGCTACTACTTCATTAAATCGATTATTATATATTTTTTTCATGTACTCTTCCATGTATTCCATAATTCCAACTTTCATTTTTCATCAAATCTTCTCTCACTTTTTTCATATTTTAACAATTCATTTGATATATTTTAAGCATCTTTTACTTTTTGCTTCTGAATGAATTTTTTTGAAAATAGGATTTTCCTTTAAATTAAAGCTAATTAATGCGGTCTTTTAGAAGTAAAATATCTTACCCCTTTATGGCCCCTTTATATTACCATAAAATGATAATTTGTACGAGTTTAGTATTATTTCGAAAAATATGTTCCCCACATTTCGTGGGAAAATTGAAGATTGATATGGAATATTTCCTGAATTGATTGAAAGTAATGAATGTGCAGCTCCCCCTTGAACATTTTTGCAAGAATTCAGTTCATACACACACACACACACACAATCACACACACTCAGATACATCATTGCCTATTTGTGTGCTATTAATAGATTGTGCCACAGGCTCAACACACGCCAACCCCAACACACCCACTGCGGATGCATCATCAACTTGGATGACGCAGAACCAACAAACAACAAGTTTGATTCCCAGTTTCACGACTATCAGCTCGAAACCTCTTTCGCTGTTTGAATCCCCTTTGTTCCCTCGATATTTGTGCTATGAAGGATGATTTTTTTTCCATGGCGAACGTGCCATTGCTGGCGTTTTGTTTGATGTTGTTTTTTGCTATTATTATTGTTGTTTGTGCCATTTGTGGTTTATTTGTTTGTATTTTTTCTTTTTTGAAGCTGATTGCGACTGGCAGTCGCTGAATGTTGGTGACTTTTTTGTGTAATTCGAACTGACATGCAGATGCATGCCTGAAGATGTCTGTGCATGCAAAAACATATATACATATATATATTTATATATATAGAACAGTACGTGAATTATACAGGGTAACAAAACAGTTTGCAATGCCATCCGATTGTTCAATTGGCATTAGTGATAAAAGTTAAGCAAATGTTAAAACATTTAAAATGACTAAAATGATTTTGCTAAAGTTGTACAAATAATAATAGAAATGTACACTAATAGTTAGTAAAGAGAGTCTTTTGAACAAAGAAAAAATGCATCTGATTCCAATTGTCTTGCAAAAACATTAAAAACTTTATTACTTTATAATATTTTTTTCTTTTTTTTTCTACAGTTCTAAAAATCAATTAAAAAATTTAACAAAATTATTAATGGTATTTCATAGATTGCAAAGAAATTCGATTTCATTTCATTCGTGGAGCGTCCAATATCTTCCCACAGATATACAAAGTAGCCACATCCGAGAAAATAAAGTGAAAATATCAAATGGATGACCTCGGAAAATATCAGACTGAGATTAACGAATATTGTTGAGTCTAGACACCAAATTTCGATTTATATTATCGTAAGAATATAAAACGTAAATGTTTTCGAAGAATACAATTTTCAAATATTCAAATAAACTTTGAGCGCAAATTAACTTTGTAATACGATTCAAAATATTCACACTCTCGAAAAATGGTTTATTAAAATTAGAGTAAATTTCAAGAAATTTAATTCAAATATAATTTATTGCACTTCTTCTATTCCATATCTTTCGATTTTGAAAACTACACTTTTTACTATGATTTTTATCCCTTATCACATTTGTTGTTTTAGGAAATTGGTTTATAGCGTTGTTTTGAGTCACCCGTTAAAATCTCGTTTGAATGGTCGCTTCGCTTTCAATTGTTGATGAGACTTTTATTAAATGCTGGCGGTTTTCTCGATGCGAGTATACGTTGACCTTTGCCAGACATTTAATTGTAGTGGATCAACACAAAAATAAATATTCAGAAACAGGTGCACGACAAATGGGATTGCAATTCAAATTATTTGAACCGAATGCATTGACTACATTTCTAGATCTCATCGTTGGATGGAATCGATGTGGATGCAATCCAATTGACAGGATATCCGGGAGCTGCTGGTGAACACAATCAGGAAGTTGTTGCTGCACAATTTTTCGTTATCTGATCTAATTGAATTTTGCCAAATAAACGACCATTGTTTTATGACAACATCAATGTGGTAGTTGAGGGCTCCAAAGAACAAAGAGAGGAACAGGCACAACAGGCAGGCAGCAAGGGCAGCTCCCAAAAGTGTCGCACGGACAAAAGCTTCAATCAATGCCAAAAACTTTGAAATTCACCCTCCTTGCTCCTGGATCCTGATGCTGTAACCTTTATCCCTTTCATTGTGCGAAAGCTGCCTAAGCCAATCAAGTAGCGAGGGACAACATGGAGCCATGCAGCCATTCGCAAGGACCATTTGCTAAAGCGGCGCCTTTCAGCTGATTCCTATAATTTCCCAATGTGTGCGGGCATGTGGGGTGTCTTTGGTGTGTGTGTGTGTGTGTGTGTATGTGAAATTTGTGTGTGTTTATTTTATATCACATTACGTGTTTAGAGAGCTTTTTATCACAATTGCATAAGGTTAACATTTTTGAACTAGCACAAGACAGAATATTCTTTGTTGGTTGGGGCTATCTTTACTATAATCAAACTATCTACATGGACTTATTTTTTTCGTTTCTTTGGGGTGGGCTTTGTATTATTTTGGCATTCCAGTTTATTTGCCAGGGCTCTCAAGGGTAATTTTCCATCCCATTTTGCACACACGAATTGTTAAACATATGTTGAGTTGCCGTTGCGCTCCATTGAATTGATCGAACCTTTAAGCTGTTTATTGGCATCCGGAGCATACCGGAACGAAACACTTCCCAATCCAATCCCTTTGCCGCCTTGCTACCTGGCCGCCTCAGCCAGTTAATGCTCAGAGCAATGTTGATTTTAGTTATTCAGCTTAAGAGCCTTTTGTGTTCAATGCCGTCTGCTTTTTGGTCTATTGTTGCCAACATTATTAAATTGAGTTCTTTTCACATTTCATCTGGTTGCTTGTAAAATGGTCATTGCGATTACTTGTTTATTTACAACATTTTCACTGGCTTTGAGCCACTTTCAGCCGTTAAACTATCAGCATAGCCAAATAATATTAAACTGTTTGCAGTTACAAAAATTGTAGACAGCAGAAAACAGTTTATAATACAAAGGACCAAATAGCAAAAGAAAAAAGAAAAATAGCTTATTTACTTCACACCGAAGATTAAATACCCTTGCAGACCAGAGGCAATTGCTCACTTTTCAAATTTATTATTAAAATTAATCTTCAGAGAACATCGCCAACAATCTACCAACCACATTTTGTGACTGTAGCTTTAAAATTTTGGGTATATGTGGACATATCGATTTGCGATTACCGATTTCCTCGATTTCCTAGCTTTCTAGTGGACATATGACTCTAATTTTAAGCCTTTTCCTGATGCGGACACCGACCAGTATATATTCCAATCTTCGAATTTCTGGCTTTAAGGGTGTCGACAAAAGTTGCATTCATACATCAACATACAATTTATATTTGCCAGACACAACTTATACGAACGATTCATTTTACTCTTGATAGGACTATATGTAAATCCCGCATTCAGATTTCATCAACTGTGGCGAGTTTTTAATGAGATTTCTCTAACGCTCTTATCTTCAATCGTTTTATCCTTTCCTATAGAAGGTGTGAACATTTAATTTCATATTGAATAATTGCAAGCGGATTGAAATGCATACAGATCCAATAATAGAAAATCCCAATGTTTTCCACTAAGTAGCTATATCCCCAAAAATATAGAATGTAGATAATACAACCGACTACGATAATAAGTGAACCGACAACAGCACTCCAGACAATGCACTGACCAGTCCTGACCGGATCCATTGTGTTTAGACGGAGTCCCTGAAAAGAGCCACGCCTTTAAAGCATATCACTGAAAATGTTTGGACATTATATGTTGATGTATTTACTTTTCACATGAATCACCAGCACACACAGCATTTGTCCTATATTTGGGCATTCATTGCTGCCTCGGACTTGGCCTTAATCAAATTATATTGGCTATATACATAGATATATATATATATGTATAAAGATATACATATATATAATGGCTCGAAGGGGAGGCGGGCGCCTTAAGTTATGCAAACACTTTTGTATGTGTGCCACTCCTACGGGATGCTTTTGCTTTGCTTTCTCTATTCTTTTGCTGTCGCGCACACATACACACACTTACACACACACACACATACACACACACTTACACGCGCACACAGAACTTTTATCCTTCTTTTTCTTTTTTTTTTGTTGGCTGCTGCCTCAACTTTCACTGTGAATTTGTTTTGTAAAACAAAATAGGTTTTAATTTATTTAATTTTGTTGTCGTGTTGCTTGTCTCGTTTTATTTTTTGTTGGCTTACAAGTTTGTAAAAGCACAAGCTACCCATTGTATCATATTTAATTTCCACATACACAACCAACATTGGACAGACCAAAATCGCGGGCGGGCGTTTCTCATACGCACCGTGGTCGACTACGCAGTAAACAACGGTCCTCGACGGGTCTGCTTCGGTCGGAGACCGTCAGTCGCCAAATTAGACTGGCCTGCTGGTCACGACTTTGCGCCTTGCGCGACGCTCTATTACTAAGTGTATGTCCCTTTTTTGGCCTGGCAAACTTTATCCCTGTGCTTGAGAGAGAGAGAGAGAGAGAGAGCTTTCGCGTTGCCAGGCAGCTTTTCTCATGAGTGAAGCTTTTCAAGTTTAACGAAAGCTGTGTTACGCCTGCGCGCTGCATACGTAAACAAACAAGCAATTGTCTATTGTTTTGCATGTTTTACGCTTTCCTCTTCTCATTCGGTGGTCAGCTGATTATACCTTTCGCACGTGCGTTTATCGATGTCACTGCCGCTGTCGCAGTCGACATCGCTGTCGCAGCGACCACCTGTGGCGTTTGTATTGTGCGAGAGAAAGAGAGTGATTTTAGTTAGTTTTGAGTGTGCATGTGTGTGTGTATGGGAGACTTTTTTTTAACCGCAATGCAATTTTTATAGTGGAAAATACATCACACAAGGTATGCCAGCCTATAAAGCGCGTAAAAAAACTTTCGGCAAATCATACTTTCTACATTACAGGGTAAAGCAGCTTGTATTGTGAATAAGTAATATGGGCTGTGGTATGGATTCGAAGCTACACCGCCTAAAAAACTATAAATTACGAATCGAATCCGTAATGGAGTCTTTTCGCTGCTGGGTTGTTGACTGGTTGTAATCTACTTTGAAATGGATTTGTTTTTAATTTGCATTCGCTATAATTTGTCCAACTAGATTAAAATTTTGACAGGCCGATAAGAATACATAAGAAATATATAATAAAATAATTGGTGCTTAAGGTAAAATTAAATATACTGCACTTTAAGAAATTCATGCTCAAACAACAAGCCCTTGTATTACAATACTTGAGCTATATTATTTTCTAATGGTTTTTCCTATTTGTGCACTCAGCTAATAAGTTGTTGAGAAAAACCACTCCAAAGTCAGCAACAGGCTCAAAAGCCACTCAAGACACAAACATAAATGAAGAGGAAAAGCACAAACACAAGCACACTTACAAAGAGAGTCTTGAGTTAATCCGTGACCTTGACCCGTTAAATGCAATTGCATTTGCATTAGAAGCATGCAAAAAGTCAAAGTCATCGTCAATGTCTTTGTCTTTGTCTATGTGGAAATCAAATCATATTTGCACATGACCCGTTTTCATCGGCGTCGCTCAAGCGAGTGCATAAAGCAGGAGAGGCCAAACTAATGTACACAACTAAGAAAGCTAATTCGCCGCGCTGATGCGTGAAACGACATAGGGGAAAGGGGATCGGACGAAGGCAGCAAGCAAGCACACACATGAATGAAAGCAAAAGTTGTGTGTGCAAAATGTTGGATCCAACAACAACAGTAGCAGCATCAACAAAAAAAAAAACACTCAAAAAGCTACACCCACGACACACTGCCTTACATTGGAAAAGCTTTTTGTACGCTCGCGCCTGAGCTTTTTGGCAGCGACTCTACGCATAAGCTTTCCAGCATTTTCATTTGAGCGCTGGCCTTTTGTGGGTCGTCGTCGTCGGCTGTCGGCTGTGTCGGTCACATTAAAAGCTGCATTATTCTTTTGTTGTTTTCTCTCGCTGACTCTCGTTAATTGCGGTCGCGCCGTGCAAGCATCTGCGAAGAAAATTCAAACACCTCGTTAATTTATTATTTTATTTATTAGTGCTACTTATTTATACGACTCCCGAGTTAAAATGAAAAATATGAATTGTTTTGTGCAGCTTGGATTTGTTTACATTTGAAAATTTGTGAAAATATTTGTAAGTGCTTTTTCATCATCCTCCTCTTCGAGCATGAAAATGTACACCTGGCAAATCAATCTAGAGCCAGGCAATGTGAGATGTGAGCAATGTGTGTGTGTGTGTGTGTGTGTATGTGTGTGTGTGTGTGCGACTCTGCCCAGTATCCCAGGAAAAAAAGGCAAATTTCTGAATGGGCCACCCGCCTAGCAGAGGCATGTGTATACATCACACACACACACAACTGTAACCCGTTGATGTATAAGTGCTTACATACACATATACGTAAATCTGTGTGGATAGAAGAATCTGGAAGTTGTTTGATTATTGTTAATTAATTTTAATGCATTTTGATACAAATTTCATTTTAATTGTCCAACAGCTGTGAGCGATACAGAAAAAGAAGAACAAGATCAATAATTTATCATTGTTATAATGATAACAGTTCTAATTGAATTGAAATAGTATAATTGTGGCAGCTGCCACAAGATTTAAAATTGCCTTTTCAATCACATTTGCCAGGAAGTTGTGACTTTCGTACCACATTTTCCTGTTCCTGCCACATGCTGCAGCATCGCTTTCCTGGGGGCATTCTATTTTGCTTTTGACTGACAAGTCGACGTTTTTTTTATTTTTTTTTTAACATTTTGTTTGCGTTTGCTCTCCCTGCGGAATTTGTTGGAATTTCTTTCCGCCCAAGGTCTCATACATCACTCACACACACCCAAACACACCCACACACACAGAGTTTTGCCTGCACATAAATATGAATTTTTAATGTTTTAATGTGCATAAATCTCAAATCAGAGCTATGAGGACTGACTGGAATTTGGCCTAAGTGGATACTGGAATTTAAGCTTAAGACAAATCCACAACTAATTGCCTGTCATTGTGCCTGTCAAGCTAATACACTCAACAAAAATCGACCTTAATTTTAGTAAATTGCCATACTTTTTGCATCAATTTGTGATTGTGGCTTTCTTAAAATCTCTGTTTGCATTTCTAATTTTCAGGGTGAATTTTTCTAAGACTTAGAAAAATATGTAAAAATTTTTTCTTCGAAATTATTATTTGCATTTCTTGGAATCTTAGAATATTTTTTATGTATATAAAAATTATTTCTAAAAACTAGAAAAACGTTTACATTTTTTAGAGTGGTTTACTAAAACCTATGGCAATTTTTATCTGAGTGTAGAAATTGGCAATTATTTGTGAGTAAACACGATTCGCTTCTGTCCATTGATAGTTGAGCTCTTCGCTGATTATTATGCCAGACAGACACACAACATAAACACAACACAACACTCACAACATGAAGGAACACACACACAAATATATATTGAATATTCCGAGTATTGCCCAATAGTATTTTTTGGGCAGGAGCTATAATAAAAATAGAAAAAGAAGAATGCCGGTGACTGACCCAAAGCAAAATAATCACATGGGTAATAGTTAATAACTCAGCGAATTGTATCCGGAAATTTAATGAATTTTATTGATTATTTATTATTGTGGTTGAGGCAATGTTTAACTTTGGACTGTAAATCTAATGTAATTAGTGTGATTATTTAAAATACTTGTGCACAAATATTTGGTTCATATGTCTATTAGGCTGTATGTAGTAAGACTCTTTGCTAACACTCTGAAAATACCAACAATGGACATGAAAATCAATGTGGCATGCCACCATTAAAACAACAATAGCAATACACTTTTGTTTTATATTTTATATATATCATTGCTTAAGCATTTTGACTGCCTCAGCTTTTTGTTTTCATATTGTGTCCATTTTCTATGAACAATGGAGACAAATCACACACAAACAATAAATTATTAAAATACATATAGTAGAAAAGTTTTCCTATGACAAGCACTTAAAATTTAACAGCACAAACTACACATAAAATATTAAACAAAAAATCACAGTTAGAATTCCCCATTCAACGTGTGTCCATATTGGGCACATAAGAAATTTGTAGGTATTCGAATTATGATTAATTTATCTGTTGACACGCCCAAAAAAACTGTCTAGATTTCCCACGTGCAACAAAGCTACTGAAACGATACGATAAATCAATGACAAATTATAGCTGGCTTATGTAATGTACTAATTAGGCTAAATGTGATTTATTCTGCTGCTTACAAACATAATAAACGTATGCTTTTTCTTTCTGTCTACTCCCACAGGACACAGAATAATAGCAGCGACAAATCTTTGCAATTAACTCGCATAACCGGCCACAAACAAAGCGAAAACAACAAGCAGCAGGCGGAATACCACCCGCCGTCAAATCACACACGCACACACACACACACACACAAGTGAAATACACAACACACACACCGCCTCAATATGGGCGACAATATAATTGGCTCGGCGAGCTTCCTCCACTTGGGCGACATTGTTTCGCTTTATGCGGAGGGCAGCGTTTGCGGTTTCTTGAGCACACTCGGGTGAGTACCATTCATACTGGCACATAGTTATTCACTCACTGTACTCACAGTACTCACTTATTCACCTACTCACCTAGTCACCCACTCATTTAGTGTACTTGCCCTGAATGACATTTCAATTGAAGATCTTTGAGGACACCCTGACAACTGTTGCGTGGCGCCTCGAGTTTTTCCTTTCTCAATGTGTCACGCAAAGGGAAGCTACTTGTATGCCAATTGGTGCAAATTAATTAGATATAATCAACATGCTCAACAAACCTTGACAACACTTGAAAATTGCACTTTCTTTTCGAATTTAAAGTGCTCTTACTTATTTATCTAAAAGATACTCAATTTTCTTGTCTTAGCTGTAGAAAAGAATTCTTTACGCTTTAGCGCTGCTAGGAAAAATATTGCATTAAATAAGGAAATATGGCACTTTCAAGGAAAATTAGGCTCTCCGTTTGATTTTTCCTAGCAGAATCATATCAAATAGTAACTGTGACAGTTATTAAACATTATAATTACGATCAGTGGTTATTAAAGTAAAGAATATTGTACTCAAATTTTCTGAAGAGCGAAACAGAATTTAATTCTTATTTGAAGAATGGTTTTTTTACAATTTCTGAATTGAATTGTTAATGAATTGAAGAATTAATGTAAAACTGATTGAAAGATATTTGCTATCAAGAAATTAATTTAATTTTCAACTTTAAATGCAAAGTTACAAATTAAATGAAATATAGTAAAAACTGAATAGTTAAATTAAAATTTGAAATAAAAAAAGATGAAGGTTATTAAAAACTATAAAGTGGACCAACTTTTTTGATATCCAATTACGAGTATGATAGATCTCAGAAAACTGTACGATGAAGTTAACGGTTGTTTTGACAATAAAACAGATTTCTTTACCAATAATCTCTGATTGTGATGAACCTGTCTGAACAGCTGACAGATCAAGGAAATCTATTTATATATATTTAATGGTGTCGCAGGAAACTCGCTTCCTTTCTAAAACTTATATTGGGTACATCCATTCATTACTCATTATTAAATACTTTTATGTTAAGTATGAAATTTATTTCTACTTTTTATCTTATCATTTAACTTTATAATACTAATTTTAAACATTTGTTTCAACAGTCTGGTGGATGATCGAACCGTTGTGTGCCCTGAGGCTGGAGATTTGAGTTGTCCGCCGAAAAAGTTTAGAGGTAAACAGTGGAAAACTCAAGAGTTTAATTTAACTTACTTATAACTGTATACAATTCAATTGATCTTTATAGATTGCCTTATCAAAATAAGTCCTATGAATCGGTATTCCGCACAGAAGCAGTTCTGGAAGGCCGCCAAGCAATCGGCCAGCTCCAACACAGATCCCAACCTGCTCAAACGTTTGCATGTAAGCACCAAAAGGTTTTATTTGAAGACTAGACCTAATCCTTCCTCCTCTTCAGCATGCCGCGGAAATTGAGAAGAAACAGAATGAAACCGAGAACAAGAAGCTGCTTGGGACCTTCATCCAATATGGACGAGCTGTGGTGCAGTTGCTCCACTTAAAGTCCAATAAGTATCTGACGGTGAACAAACGTCTGCCCTCGCTGCTGGAGAAGAATGCGATGCGTGTGTATTTGGATGCGAATGGAAATGAGGGCTCCTGGTTCTACATAAAACCCTTCTACAAGCTGCGCTCCATTGGCGACTATGTCGTTGTGGGCGACAAAGTCATCCTCAGTCCGGTGAATGCCGATCAGCAGAATTTGCATGTGGCCGCCAACTATGAGCTGCCCGATAATCCCGGCTGCAAGGAGGTTAACGTTCTCAACTCATCAACCTCGTGGAAAATCTCATTGTTCATGGAGCACAAAGAGAACCAGGAGGACATACTCAAAGGCGGTGACGTCGTACGCCTCTTTCACGCCGAACAGGAAAAGTTTCTCACCATGGATGAGTACAAGAAGCAATACCATGTCTTCCTACGCACAACGGGACGCACCAGTGCCACAGCGGCAACCAGCAGTAAAGCTCTCTGGGAGATCGAGGTGGTGCAGCACGATTCATGTCGCGGTGGCGCCGGCGATTGGAATTCACTATATCGCTTCAAGCACCTAGCTACTGGTCACTATCTGGCAGCCGAATCTGAATCCGATGTAGTAGCTGGTATTTCCGCAGCCAATATCCATGAATCGCTGCTCGGAGAATGCAGCAAAGACTCGGGCATCGGCTCCACAATGAACTCCACCCTTATCGGTAGGTTTCAGCTGTAGTACTGAGATACTTAATGAACATAGCAAGTTATAAGAAATCATGCAGTTCAGTTGTCCATCCCTCATAACAATTGGTTGACAATTCCATTCCTGAGGTCTTCCTTTCTTATATATATATATATATATATATTTTGATTGAAAAATGATATTTCTATAGGATAGTTACTATTACAAAACATAATTAATAATGCAATTATAGACATGCCTTGACTATTTTGTTTGCGGTAAACTTAAAAATAACTCCAGCTCCAATCGAAGCAAAGTATCTTTTTAGTATGCAACCCATGTGAAACTCATGCTTTATTCTAATTGTATTGCAGATAAGCCAAAGGGCAAGCTATATCGACTGGTCTCCGTGCCATATTCAGCGGACATTGCATCGGTGTTTGTGTTGGATGCGACAACAATGGCCCGGCCGGATAGCTTGGTGCCACAGTCCAGCTATGTGCGATTGCAGCACATTTGCTCCAGCACGTGGGTGCATGCCACATCGATACCGATCGATGCGGACGATGATAAGCCGGTTATGTCGAAGGTCTGTTGCTCACCCATCAAGGAGGACAAAGAGGCGTTTGCACTCATACCCGTATCGCCGGTGGAGGTGCGTGATTTGGACTTTGCCAACGATGCGTGCAAAGTGCTGGCCATGGTTACCAGTAAACTGGACAACGGCAGCATATCGATCAATGAGCGACGTGCGCTGATCTCACTGCTGCAGGACATTGTGTACTTTATAGCGGGCATGGAGAATGAGCAGAACAAGACCAAGGCGCTCGAGTTTACCATCAAGAATCCCATACGTGACAGGCAAAAACTGTTGCGCGAACAGTACATCCTCAAGCAGCTGTTCAAGATACTGCAGGGTCCGTTCCAGGAGCACACAGCCGGCGACGGTCCATTCCTGCGACTGGACGAGCTCGGCGATCCCAAAAACGCTCCCTACAAGAACATCTTCCGGCTGTGCTATCGCATACTGCGTCTCTCCCAGCAGGATTACCGCAAGAATCAGGAGTACATTGCCAAGCACTTTGGCCTCATGCAGAAACAGATCGGCTACGATATCCTGGCCGAGGACACAATCACCGCCCTGCTGCACAACAATCGCAAGCTACTGGAGAAGCACATTACGGCGGCGGAGATCGAAACGTTTGTCGGACTCGTGCGCAAGAATATGTTCAACTGGGACTCGCGCTTCCTCGACTACCTCTCCGATCTGTGCGTGTCGAATCGCAAGGCCATTGCCGTCACCCAGGAGCTCATCTGCAAGAGTGTGCTCAGCGACAAGAATGTCGACATCCTGATCGATACACAGGTCAAGGCGCTCCGTGGCGACACAGCTGTGCGCTGCTACAAAGGCACCTCCGAGGATGTATGCCTGGCCACACTCACTGAAGACGCCGGCGACGATGAGGATCGCTCCGATGTGCAATCCACCTCGACCACGACCACCTGGGACAGTGCCAGCCTCAATGAAGAGTTTGACGCCTTGCCCAACGAGAAGTACGAGATACATTTGCAGTGGAAGGGACAACCGGTTGGTATTTTAATATTATGTGCAAATATCCTTGATTTGATCAAATGATGTCGATATAACAAAGTGTCTTATAATCTGATACTAGTAAGAACTTCACCATTAATTGATTTTATTGGCATCAACTTGTTGATCCTGATCAAGAATACATCTACTTTATGGGGTCGGAGGTGCTTCCTTCTGCCTGTTACATGCATTTGCACAAGACCATTATATCCTTTTTACCCATTTTCAATGGCTTCAGGGTATAAAAGCTACGAACTGCTGTAAAATTTTTAATTTATAATTAAGTTACCTAATAAGTTAAACAAAATACTCGCAAGCCACTTTATTGGAAGTATCTCAGTTTTTAACAAAAATACCAGCAAAATGTGATTTTCTTATGAACATTATTAACTTTTTTTTTTTTAATTCTTTTAAACAAAATGCTTCATTGTAATCCTAGCATTTGAAAAGTAAATAAATCAACATCGGACTATTGTATCACATTGATCAAATAGGAGCAATAAATAGAAATATGAGTAGCTGTTGCAATATTGCTATATTTAGTATATGTCACCCAAAAAATTATTGATCTCTTTTATTTCTCATCATTTTTTTCTCAGACGTCGCGCTCCATGGCGGATCTGGCGAAGTGTGTGGCCGATGGCTGTGAACAGGAAGCAGCCATATTGAACTATTATCGCCATCAGCTGAACCTGTTCTCCAACATGTGCCTGAATCGTCAGTATCTGGCATTGAATCGACTGTCGCCTCAATTGGACATTGATTTGATACTGAAGTGAGTTTGTCTGCTAGCTGACAAGTGTTAAATTCTATCCTAATCTTCATTTCTATCCGGCAGATGCATGTCAGACGAAACGATGCCATATGAATTGCGCGCATCCTTTTGCCGGCTAATGCTCCACATGCATGTGGATCGCGATCCCCAGGAGCCAGTTACGCCTGTGAAATATGCGCGACTGTGGAGCGAAATACCCTCAAAGATGTCCATCATGGAGTGAGTTCTATATTCTGCCCGTTCCCTTAGCTTTTAGCTAACGATAAACTCATCTTTGTTATCCGTTTTCAGCTATGATGGCAAAAATCTGCAACCAGATCAAAACAAACAAGCCTGCCGTGCCAAATTCAATACGACAATTGCCTTTGTGGAGAATTATTTGTGCAATGTGGCCACCAAGGTGTGGCTATTCACGGACCAGGAGCAGAACAAGCTCACATTTGAGGTGCGTCACAGAAAAAAAGAAATAAACCAACAAATATCCTAAGTAGCCATATGCGAAGCAGTGACTTGCCTAAGGAGCTCTTAATGCGATATAAATATCTATATTGATAGCCAAACGGCAACAAAATCTAATCTCTGCACGAGAACCACTGAGCCACTGACATTGAGGGCAAATATATAGCCGACGAGCCAAAACACAGTAGAGAGTTGTGTAACCTTCAATAGACTTTAGGCCAACTGTAATGATTTCTGCAGAAGCTGCAAGGAAGAGCAAAAAGAGAAAAAGAATCAAGCACTTCTTTTGCTGCTACATTGGCACTTGCCCGGAAGGGATTAAGCCTCCTGGGAAGCACCGATCTATTACAGTTCGCAACTTGCTGGGGTGATTTTTCGTTCAGTCTTCCACTAGCCAAATCTGGCCTATGATTAACTTTATAACCTAACTTAACCCAACACTCATAGATTTACCAATATTTCTTTTCAGGTGGTCAAACTGGCCAGAGACTTAATATATTTTGGCTTCTATAGCTTCAGCGATCTCCTGCGGCTAACAAAGACGCTGCTTTCGATACTGGACTGTGTGTCCGAGACGACAACTGGTGGCGCCTATGTCAACACGGATATGGCTTGTGAGTATTGAGAAAGTTAGTCAACTTAGATTTAGTTAGCGTTTAGCAAGTTGTCTCTTGATCTTGAAATCCTATATTTCTTTGATAAGCTGTCGAAGAGGAGACAAATAATGATGGTGAGCTTAGGATTTTCCATATGTTAGTCTTGTTTAGTTAAACTAAAGCCAAATTCTATCTATTTCGCAGCTGAGGGCGGCGTCTTGCGGTCCATTGGTGACATGAGCACGGTGATGACTTCACTAGCCCTGGGCTCAGTGGGTCAGGCGATAGCTGCCCCAGCCATAGCGATGCAGCAGCGCAAATCTGTATCGCAAATGATGAAGGAATATCCGCTGGTCATGGACACCAAACTGAAGATCATTGAGATACTGCAGTTCATATTGGATGTGCGCCTTGACTATAGAATCAGCTGCCTGCTCTCCATCTTCAAGCGGGAGTTCGACGAGTCCGATTTGGTCGCCCAGACCCAAGCCACCACCAACTCCACACCCACTACCAATGAGGAACAGGCGCAACAGCAACAGCAGACGACACCTGGCAGTGCTGGACCCTCGGACTCGGAACAAATAGCCGCAGCCGAGGCTGCCATGGCTGCAGCAGCAGCAGCCGCCTCCGCGGCGGCGGCACGCCAAAAGAATATCGATCTGGAATCGATTGGTGTGCAGGCGGAGGGCATCTTCGACTGTGAGCGCAGCGATGCAGCCAATTTGGATCTGGATGGTCAAGGGGGACGCACCTTTCTGCGCGTCCTCCTCCACCTAATCATGCATGACTATGCGCCTCTGGTGTCCGGAGCACTGCATCTGCTCTTTCGACACTTTAGCCAGCGTCAGGAAGTGTTACAAGCCTTTAGACAGGTAGGTTTCTTCAACAATTTGCACACCTTGCAGTCTCTTTTATTTTATTAGGGTTTGCAAAATATGCATAGCAAGTTCACAGCACTTGAATGGGTTTCACATAGGTTTCTTTAAGTCTGAGAATATTGATATATATTTTTTGTTTTTAATAAAAAAAAAAACAACATTGCTTAAAAATATTAAAATTACAACCAAGTATTTTAAAACATTAAAAAATTAAATGCTTAGCACGCTTATTTAAATGAACTAACAGGAGCGATTTTTTGTTTTTAATGTCTAACGTTTATATGGCAAGCATTCCAATTTAGAATAGCTTCTAGTATTGAATAAATTAGCCTTAAATTTTTAATGTTTAACAATGCCTTCTTGATTTATAAAATATAAAATATAATAAAAGCCGATATAACTTAAACATCCTCTAAATATATACTCTAAATTATGCAATCTTGGTGCAAATATAGTCTCGAAGAAGAGAGAATTCAAATCAAAGAACTAAATTCTACGAAGAAAAAAAATACCCAAACTTTCCTTCAATTACCTCACAAACTTTCGATAAAATGCCATTTAAAAAATGTTGCACATGCCGTAATTTGTAGAAATTTGTATTTACTTCTATATTTTTTATAAGTTTGTTGGTCGAATGTAGAATATTGTATTCAATTTAATTTTAATCCATAAATTGTAGGAAATCGTCCTTGAATTAGTCACAAAAATGCACTAAAATAGTGAAATAAGTATAAAACTAATTCCAAGTTGTTTTCTGTTGAGAAATATATTTACTTTGGTCTTCTAATGTTTATTTATTCGTATGGTAACAGAATGATTATATCTTTGTAAATTTAGTGTAATTTGAATGAATCGGAGCACCGATGTTGGTATTAATTTGTTGTTTCTCTCTAATTTTCTGAATATTCTTCATCTCTCTTGTGTTTGCATGCAACGATCTTGATCTCGAATTCGATGTCTCGATGTCGATGTTGAGACTCGTGCCACTTTGCCACATAATCAACTGCATTTCTCATATGTATGTGACTAACAACTAACACACCTCACGTACTTGTAATACACACACAAACACACACACCCACAACTAACAACTAACAATAAAGTGGACGTATTCCGCATATCGTAATGAAAGACATTTTGATTTTGTATGTATTAACAAACCTTCGATTTTTGGCCATAAGATTATGTAGCTTCATTTGACACTTTCGCCTTGCAGGTGCAACTGCTCGTCTCGGACAGCGATGTGGAGTCCTACAAGCAAATCAAATCTGACTTGGACATATTGCGCCAGAGCGTGGAGAAGTCAGAGCTGTGGGTGTACAAGGCCAAGGCGACGGATGAACTGGGGGGTGCCGATGCCACCGGTGGGACAGACAATCTCGAATACGATGCCACCTTATCGCCAGAGCAGCGCAGCGAATATCAAAAGGTCAAAGAGATACTAATTCGCATGAACAAATTCTGCGTAACGGCCGGTGAGTATAGATAGACGCACTCAATCTTTCCATAACAATGAGCATACTAAATCTCTGATTCTCTTTAGGTCCCATTGCAAGACCACGAAAACATGAACAGCGCCTGTTGCGCAACGTAGGCGTGCACACTGTCGTCCTGGATCTACTACAGAATCCCTATGACGAGAAGGACGACGTGCTAATGAAGGAACTGATGTGCCTGGCCCACGAATTCCTACAGAACTTTTGTCTCGGCAATCAGCAGAATCAAGTGCTGCTCCACAATCATCTCGATCTGTTTCTCAATCCAGGCGTAAGTAGCACCCCATTAACGTTTTAAGAAAATGAATATATAAATCTAGTATCTAAAAATGCGGTTTTAATTTGAACTCACTTTGTGCTTCTGCAGATACTCGAGGCGAAGACCGTCTGTGCCATCTTCAAGGACAATTTGGCGCTGTGCAACGAGGTCACTGATAAGGTTGTGCAGCATTTTGTGCACTGCATCGAGATACATGGCCGGCATGTGGCATATCTGCAATTTCTGCAGACGATCGTTAAGGCGGAGAATCAGTTCATACGCAAGTGCCAGGACATGGTGATGCAGGAGCTAATCAACTCCGGTGAAGATGTGCTGGTGTTCTACAACGACAAGACCTCGTTCCACCATTTCGTGCAGATGATGCAGCAGCAGCAACTGCGACGCCAGCAGCTCAGCGACGACAGTCCGCTTAAGTATCATGTGGAGCTGGTGAAGCTGCTGGCTTGCTGCACCATGGGCAAGAACGTCTACACGGAGATCAAGTGTAACAATCTGTTGTCGCTGGACGACATTGTGACGATCATTTGCCATCCGGTCTGCATGCCCGAGGTGAAGGAGGCGTATGTGGATTTCCTCAATCATTGCTACATTGACACCGAGGTGGAAATGAAGGAGATCTACGCCTCCAGTCACATGTGGAGTCTCTTCGAGAAGAGCTTCCTCGTCGATCTCAACCAATTGATATCGAACACGACGGCCACCACGAATAAAACACTGCTGGCCTATGTACTGAATGGTGTCACCAATCTGTTGAGCAGCTTCTTCTCCAGCCCCTTCTCCGATCAGAGCACCATTGTTCAGTCGCGCCAACTGATCTTTGTGCAGCTGCTGCAGGCCGCCTATCGCCTGACCCAGTGCAAGTGGCTCTCGCTGGGCGATCGATTCAACGTGGAGAACTGCATTCGGACGCTGACCGAGTCGGCGAAGATGCGCAGCATTGTGCTGCCCGTCGATCTGGAGCAGCAGGTGGCCAATATGTCCAGCAAGACGGCGATGTTGACGCGCCAGACCACCAAATGGCTGTTGGCGTCCAAGCAGCCCAAATACGAGAGCCAACAGTCGGCGAATCTGATGCGCTGGGATCGCTCCATCATTGAGGGGCTGCAGGACATTGTCTCGCTGCTCGAGGATCAACTGAAGCCAGTCGTCGAAGCGGAACTCTCACTACTCGTGGACATACTGTATCGATCCGAGTTGCTCTTCCCCGCCGGAACCGATGCGCGCAAGCGATGCGAGAGCGGCGGCTTCATTCGCAAGCTGATCAAGCACACAGAGAAGCTGCTCGAGGAGAAGGAGGAGCGCATGTGCGTCAAGGTGTTGCGCACACTGCGCGAAATGATGGCCATCGATGTCAACTATGGCGAAAAGGGCGATGCACTGCGTCAGACGCTTCTCCTCCGCTACTTCCAATGCAAGAGTGCCCCCAAATCGGAGGATGAGCATCCACATCCCCAATTGCCGGCTGCTGTTGCTGCTGCTGCGGTTGCCGCAGTAGCCGCTGCTGCCGCCGCATCCTCCTCTTCGTCCTCCTCCTCATCCGACCCGGCTAAGCAGCTGCATTTGGTTACCCATGGGCCGGGCGCCAAGTATCTGGCACGTGCTGGCAAAACACTGCACGAGATGCAGAATCACTTGGATCGCGAGGGTGCCTCCGATTTGGTTGTCGAACTGGTAATCAAATCGGTCCACTCTCCCAACATCTTTGTGGAGGCCGTCGAGCTGGGCATTGCGCTGTTGGAAGGCGGCAATCCGATCATACAGAAGGGCATGTTCCAAAAGTTTCTCAGCGATGATCTGAATCAGGCGTTCTTCAAGGTCTTCTTCGAGAAGATGAAGGACGCCCAGCAGGAGATCAAATCGACGGTGTCCGTCAACACCACAGACATTGCGGCCAAAGCGCACGAGCACAAACCGGACACCAGTCTCGAGCTGGACAAGATCTCGCGCAAGCATGGCCTCAAGAGCAACGGCGTCGTCATCACCGATGAGCTCAAGCGGGAACTTCACAATGCTGGCCTGGCCACAGCACGTGCCTATGGCAATGCGCGGAATATCCACTCCGGCGAGGAGAGCTCGTCGATCAGTGTGAATAGTCCCCTAGAGGATATACTCGCCGAGAAACTGGAAAAGCATCGGGACAACAAGGATCAGCGCAATCAGCTCTCCAACAAGGTGCTTGTGATGCAGCCCATTCTGCGCTTCCTGCAGCTGCTGTGCGAGAATCACAATCCCGATCTGCAGAATCTGTTGCGCAACCAGAACAACAAAACGAACAACAATCTCGTTTCGGAGACGCTCATGTTCCTCGACTGCATCTGCGGCTCCACAACCGGTGGCCTGGGCCTCCTCGGTCTCTACATCAACGAGCACAACGTGGCGCTGATCAATCAGACGCTGGAAACCCTCACCGAGTACTGTCAGGGGCCGTGCCATGAGAACCAGAACTGCATTGCCACACACGAATCGAATGGTCTGGACATTATAACTGCATTGATATTGAATAACATTAATCCGCTTGGGGAGAATCGCATGGATCTGGTGCTCGAGCTCAAGAACAATGCGTCCAAGCTGCTGCTGGCCATCATGGAAAGTCGCGGCGACAGCGAGAATGCCGAGCGCATCCTCTACAACATGAATCCCAAGCAACTGGTCGAAGTGGCCTGCAAGGCCTATCACCAGGAGGAGCTCATCGACGAGCAGGACGATGCGGATGAGCCCAGTGCTGCAGCCGACGATGATGATGCCACTGTCAGTCCACGCGAGGTCGGACACAATATCTACATACTGTGCCACCAGTTGGCACAGCACAACAAGGAACTGGCCGCACTGCTCAAGGCCTCCGAGGATCCACAATCGGCCAGTTTCGATGCCAAGACAAGTCAGGCTCTCATGTACTATGCAACGCACACAGCCCAAATTGAGGTAATTATCGATGATAAATATTTATAAATGATATTTAATGTCGAACTTCAAATCAATTCTCAGATTGTTCGCAATGATCGCACACTGGAGCAAATCGTATTTCCCATACCGGAAATATGCGAATATCTAACAACGGATACGAAAATCAAAATACTAAATACGGCGGAACGCGACGATCAAGGCTCCAAAGTGGCCGATTTCTTTGACAAGGCCGAGGAGATGTTCAACGAGATGAAATGGCAAAAGAAGCTGCGAAGTAAATCGCTCAAACTCGAATACATTTTCTGATATGGTTTCACAGATCTTATTTTAATATCTATTACAGGTCAGTCGCTGCTGTTTTGGATTAGCAGCTACATGTCGCTCTGGAGCAATATACTCTTCAATTGCGTTGTAGTCATCAATATGATTGTGGCCTTCTTCTATCCCTTCGATAACACTGTACCAGGTATGATGCCCTGAATTCTAGAAACTCATTTTATTATTTAGAAAGTATATGTCTAAAATCCAGGATTTTTCTTTTCTATTTATTTTCAGAGCTCAGCTCGCACATTTCACTGCTGTTCTGGGCCATTCTGATATTCTCGATGGTTATAGTGATAACGCTGCCCCGCGAATCCGGCATACGCACATTCATTGGCTCGATAATTCTACGATTTATATTTCTGCTTGGTCCGGAGTCTACGCTCTGTTTGCTGGGCGTCGTTACGGTGAGTTTTAATAAGTCTCTTATCGAATATTCTATTACTTATATCAATATGTAAATTGTTTTTATGCAGGTGACACTTAAGAGCGTTCATATTGTGAGCATCATGGGCAATAAGGGCACGCTGGAGAAACACTTTCTCAAGATCATCACCGACGTTCAGCTGCTGTATCATTGCATTTATATTGCATTTTGCTTCTGCGGCCTCATATTTCATCCGTTCTTCTATTCGCTGCTGGTAAGGAAATGCGCCAATTAAATTTAAATAAATATGTGTTTAATATATGAGTCATTTTGTAGCTTTTCGATGTGGTCTATCGCGAGGAGACGCTGGTCAATGTGATTCGCTCGGTTACGCGCAATGGTCGCTCAATCGTATTGACGGCTGTCCTGGCATTGATTTTGGTGTATCTGTTCTCGATCATTGGCTACATGTTCTTCAAGGACGATTTCCTTGTGTCGGTTGACTTTGAGGAGCAGGAAACTGGCTCAACTGGCGCACCCTTAACAGTATCGATGCCAGCATCGTCAGGGGAATTCTGTGCCACACCAGATGAACTGGGTAGCTGTAATGCTGATAATGTCAGGCAACAAACAACTGCAGCTGCTACTGGTGGAAACGGTGATGCCAAGGAGCGCTCCTGTGACTCGCTCGTTATGTGCATAGTAACAACCCTGAATCAGGGCCTGCGCAATGGTGGAGGCATTGGTGACATTCTGCGAGCACCCTCAAGCAAGGTAAACTGGCAAAGTGTTTAAGTCAAACGAAGTTTTAATTTAAAAATTTTTTTTTGTCTTTGCAGGAGGGTCTTTTTGTGGCGCGCGTCATTTACGATCTGTTGTTCTTTTTCATTGTCATTATTATCGTGTTGAACTTAATTTTCGGTGTAATCATCGACACATTTGCTGACCTCAGATCGGAGAAGCAGCAAAAGGAGGCTGTACTCAAGACGACCTGCTTCATTTGTTCGCTCAACCGTTCGGCGTTTGACAACAAGACAGTCAGCTTCGAGGAGCACATCAAAAGCGAGCACAATATGTGGCATTACTTGTACTTCATTGTACTGGTCAAGGTGAAGGATCCAACTGAGTTTACCGGTCCCGAGAGCTATGTTTATGCCATGGTAAAGGCGGGCATACTAGAATGGTTTCCGCGACTACGCGCCATGTCGCTGGCCGCTGTGGATGCGGATGGCGAACAGATCGAGTTGCGGAGCATGCAAGCCCAGCTGCTGGAAACGCAAAATCTTATCAAGAATCTATCGACGCAGCTGCACGAGCTCAAGGATCACATGACGGAGCAGCGTAAACAGAAGCAGCGCCTGGGGCTGCTCAACACAACAGCCAACTGTCAGCAGTTCCCATGAGGCGTTGATTTTGGGAAATGAGTTAAGAATGGTACTTGGCTACACTGTCACCTAAAAGCAATTGAATTAAAGACATTCCCTTATGTAGATCAAGCACTGCATAGTTGTTAACGTTAAAGTATTGGCACTATTTCCATTGTAACTTGTTAAAATCTCAATAGAATAACATTTTTGAATCGAGAGTATAATTCCGATGATTTTGTACTTACATATTGTACTCGAAAAGAGCCCTTTTACTGCTCCGCGTTGCTCTCTTTTTTTAACACAGAACTGAACTGAATTATCCAAATTACAAATTCCTTCAGATTGTATTACATTCTTCGAATTCCAACAATAGATTTGTTCAGAACAGAACTTGTGACTCAACCACATATTTTACATAGGGACATTCATTCAAAACAAACAAACAAACATACATTTATAGAAAACTCACTCAGAGAACTTAGGGCTGTTGAAATGTTATTTAATGGATTTCTTGATCCACATTTTCACAATTTATACGAGTTGTGTTCCCCCATCCTTATATATATCTGTCTATATATATATATCTATATCTATCTATCTCCGTATATACATTTTTATACCTGTTTACTATGTCAATGGCAATTTATCGCGTAGCGATATGAAACAAAAATTACTTAACTGTTTATTTGCGCTGTTTTATGTTACCTATTCTTATAATAATTGTTAATTACATGGAGTAATATGTATATAAATGGAATTTTAATCATATTACAGATGCAATCAAAACTAACTAATTATTGTGATTATACGTTCCCTTGTTTTCATTTTTTCGAATTGTTTATCTTGTACTCGATACGAGTTTTGTTGGTTAATTATTTTATTATAAGCTAACATTTAATTAATAATCCTTAGAGAATCTATTTTACACTTAAGCTACTTTTAAACAATAAAGAAAATAAAATATATAAAAATGTTAGAAAGGAATTTGTATTTTGTACTTTGAAGATACTTTCACGAATTTCCAGCCGGGATAGATATTTTTGATCTGAACAAGGTTGCTGCTTTTTTAGTACCCCTGCATGAAAGGCAGTTCTTGGACTGGGTAAAGATCTCAGTCTGCACTGGACCAGCTCTTAGAATATTATTGGTTTATTCCCGAAGACGACTGTAGCAGATCTTACAGAGTCTACAGCCAAGTCTACTAGAACTTAATCTCAAAAAAAATATCAATCATAAAAATAAATAATTACAAACTGACACATAGCCGGAACTGTTATTCACAGTGATATGCATATGGTAGTTTTAAGGAAAAACACTTGCTTTTTATTTTTTATCCAACATTTTTTATTACATATTAATTAAACTACAGTTCATTTTCATAAAATTGTTCAATGCGCTCTTGAGATTATCGTTCTTTGATTGATCTGTATGATTAAATTTGTATAACTAAATATTTATGTATGTGTATATTTGTATGTAAAGATTTTATTCAATTTACTCTTGCTTAAAATTATAATTACGGTCCGTTTGCCTAATTTCAACAAAAATTTATCGATACAATTTCTTGGGGATTTGACGAACGGTTTTCTTTAAAAATATATGTGTAAAAGTTGCATTAAGTTTAAACTTAAGCTTTAGCAAACATATTCTTTAGTCATGCACAAAGAAACATTTTGAGAAAGAAATTTTATCTTAACGTACAAAGTATTGGAAGCTTCCGAAGTTATGGTTGAAGTTAGTGAGCGGTGTAAAATAGTTACTATAAATTAATACTTTAAGTGTGGCAATTAATGTAAAAATAAAAGGACTTGGTAGTGAATACTTGGAGGGCATATGTATACGTCGGGGGTAAGGAGTGTAATTACAGGTATTATAGCTGACATGGAAAGCGGCAGATACTTTTATATGATTAACAATCATGATTTTCTTGCTACATATATATATATATTGATGTATATATAAATATGAAAATTTATTCTTTAAATTACAATTTACTGCCTTTTGTTTAATGCTGTTGTTGTACGATAATTTGTTATTTGTAATTACTATTATTTATATTTTGTAGTAGTATTTGGAAGAGAAAGAGAAGGAATTGTAGTAGTAAAAACATAGTTCCATATAACATACATACATACATGTATAAGATTAGTAATAGTACTAAGTATGTATGTATGCGTTAATGTATATAAATTAGTTGTCATACCATATTTAATATTAATTAACAATATTTCTTTAACTTCTCATAGTACAATTCGTGGCATTTATAATATTGTTACATTTGATTGCTAAAATTAAGTTCTTGTATTTGTTAGGTACAAAGAAAATCTCATGGCCAGCGTTTTTCATCGGTTAAAATTCTGTTTCTTTTGAATACACGCAGATATTTTGAAACGGATTTCAGCCTCAGTTTAAATATAAAATTCATTTTTGAATTAAAAAAAGGATTTCATTAATTGAATTTAAAATTACTAGACTGCTATATAGTCCTCTGTTGTTTCTCGGTAAATAAGTCTAGAGTAAATAGGTATCTAAATTGTACAAAAATGGCTTTTCTGGATACCCCTGATCTGATACGATATTTTATTTGATTGATTAACTACGGCCAAGACAAACCGGAAATACATCGGATCCAGGCAAGAAGAACAATTTACACGTATTTAAAACGATTCGAGTTAAGTTCGAAAGTTTATAACTATTGCCCTAACTAACTGCATGAGTTTTCTAATTGATATACAATTAACTATAAGTCCTGCTGCTGTTGTTAATAATATAATTTTTGTATTGGGAACACAATCCATTTTACACTGCACTTATGCAATGCTTTGTTAGAATACCTATCTACCCTATAAGGAGTGCTTTGCCTTCGCAAGTGGAATACAATTTTAATATTGCTTAATATTGTATGGTCGATCAGTACATATTTTTCATAAAAATCTATCTTTGAAACCATTAACCTAATTGAACGTTTTTGTAGAATAACTTTTGAATTCTTATAATAGTTGTAAAAAAGTATAAAATAAAAAACTCATTTTTGCAACCAAAATCGAACTAAAAAGTTTAACGAATATCGACAATTTGTAAAAAGGCTGATGGGAAATGGTTTAAGCAGTCATTTAAATTGATGTACCATTTGCAAATCTATGCAAATCTTTTTAAATATTTGTTGAGCAGATCAATGTTTATTGTAAGCTATTGTTAATAAAGGTATTTGACCTTTGTGTGAGTTCTATGGGAACAATATTTAATAAACCGTAATTGAAACGCATTCTAAAAAATGCGTACGATAAATAATAAAATTCGCATTTCCAAAGTTGTAAGATTGAACGTTGAAATCTACATAAGTGGACCGTGGTGCATAGTTAATTAAGTTGAATAAAAACAAAATTTATAACTATTACTATGGTAAAATCATCATAGAAGCCATACGAGCTGAAGCTTTTGTGTTTAGTATTCTTAATTAGTTGCATTAGAAGAATTTGAGTAAAATTGCTGCATAAAATTTGCTTGCGACTAGAATTAAGTTGGTTGCTTGTTAGATTTCTTTTGTGTATGCATTGTATATATGTATATATATGTATGTATGTAGGTATGTATGTATAAGTTTGTATACAAACAAATCATTAATGTATGTATATCATATACGCATATGTAAATATAGATATATGTATATGTATATGGATAAATTTATTCATGCTACACTTTAACTAGCATAGCTGCCTAACCTGCTGAGCTACATTCACTTAGACATCTGCGATGGCCTCGACTCACTTTATAGCCTTTCATAGTCATTCTTTGCTAATCAAATTTAATCGAAATAAAGCTATTAATTCGCGAAATGTCACTTGCTATTTGTGCCATATACAAAAGCCTAACTGGATAATGCGAATATTTGAAAAGTATTCTGAAGAAATGCAAGCAAGCAGCTCGAAGCCCACGCATTTATACATACTCGTATCTGTATCTCTACTCTGTGTATAAAGGTAAATATTTGTGTATATGTAGTCTATATACTGTTGTGTGCCCGAACCAGCGTCAACCTCTTAGACTGTGGTGCCATATGCATTGTTAAACACAGCACGTGAACTATCCGTATCCAGCGATATATCCTCGGGACTGGCCAAATCGACGCGCACATTGGAATTGGTGCGACGCCGAGCTGTCTGTGCAGCACCCCAATTGCTGAGAGTCCAGTGAAAACCGGAGGCGCTCGGTGCAGGCTCCGCATCGACTTTGACCTGTGTGCAAACCTGAAATGGATATGTTAATATTCAATATGCCAATGTAATGCACAACTTAGACTGGTACCTCTCGATTTCCGCAAGGTAACGTCTCTGTGCCATTGCCCAGTGCAGAGCCAGACGCAGAGCCAGAGCCAGAGTCCCGGGTGCTGCCAATGCTGCTACTGCTAGCCAGCGAATCATTGCTGGATTCTATAACCGCGCCATGATAACGCGCAACCGAATGCACTGCCTAAAACAAATACAATATTTGAGCACAATTGGAAAGATTAAATGGGAGCAACACTCGCACCATGGCGTCACCACTTTGACAGTCCTCAATCGATTTGAGTATCTCCCAGACGAGCTCTGAGTCCAGTGGTATGGGTTGCTCTGTATCGCGATTATAAATGGCAATGGCAATGTGCACGGGATGCGGCACTGGCAACGGGATGAGTAGCTTCTCCGTTACGCTTCGCTCCCCGCACTTCTGCTTCCAGGGTCGCCACGGCTTCAGGCCATCCTGTGGCGCCTTCGGTACGTGCTGAGCGCGATGGGCCCGCACCCGAGGCGTCGTTAGACCCACGGTCATGTCGCTAGCACAAATAACAATTCATTAGTTTGACATGCGCAAGTTTGGGGGGTGTTATATTTAGTATGCTAGTTGTCTTACCGTTTTTCAGGCTTGCGAAAAGTCAACGTGATGCGTGAGCGCGGATTAAATGCTGTCACTTCAAGGAATGGTAAATGCACTTGGACATTCCCGCGCGGCGCGTAAACATTGCCCAACAAATCGAGGCCCTTGGAACCGATAACATCGTTGGCATTCTTCACCATTTCCGTGTAGCGCATTAGGTCGAGCGAGGCATGTGGTTCTAGTTTAAAATGCGTATCGTTTTCAGTCAATGGCGTTAGAAAATCTAAACTAAATATGTCGGTATATAAGAGACCAGCGAGGCCCGGCCAATCGTTGACCGACAGACCCTGTAAAATGTTCACAAATACACCGTACGGAATAGATTAGTAATATTATTATTATTATTTTGCTATTCTTAGTAAGCTTCTTACCTTATTATCCCAAAATTCTTCTTCGCTAATGGACAGCCTACCGATGACATGAGACGGATAGTATTTTTCGAGTAAATGGGCGGCCAATTGGATAGCAATCTGATTAAATTAAAGATTATCAATTAATTTGTGATAGAACAAATTGTAAATGTTATTATTCAGTATGTTTGTTGTGAAACGATTTGAAATGTAAAAAAGTTTGCTTAGACATGCAAAAAGATACTGATTTTTTAGATAGACAATAAATGCATGTCATGTAGATTGATCTGTTAGAATTATATTCAAAATCAATTGATCATGTTCGAAGATTCACTTTAATTAGATCACATTAAGCAAATTGTGGGAAGCATGAGTAAAAATGAAATAGTAATCGATCATACCTTCAATTCTTTGGTATTCAGCTTAATGCGTGACTTGACCTGTGTGGTTAGGCTCGTTTGTAGCTCTCTTCGTCGCTTTTCCAGCTTTTCGTGTAGTGAGCTCATCAAATCTTGGGCCTCGCGATCCAGTGCCAAATATGGACCCGATTTTGACAGCTGAGCCGAGAAGGGGCCAAAGCAGGCTTCGACAAACTGCAGGAAATCATGCTGAGGCTGCAATACCACACGCTCGGTGGCATGCTGATACGCCTGCAACTCGTCCAGTTCCATTTTAGCTTCTAGTGCTGCCAAGGCTTGCTCCGGCCGTATGATGAAGTAATAGTCCAAGGCTAGGCCGGGTCCGGCAATACGCTTTACGGCAATGCTGTCCGAGGCTGGCACCCGTCCGCACTTTTTAATGAACAAATGAAACGTGACTGAATCCCAGAGCAGACGCAACGTATAACGACCGACGCCAACTGAAAGATAATGTATAAATTAGCACTCATGTGCTAAACGTGTTTCTTTCTATATATTTACCAATCAGCACAAGGCCTGTTGCCAGCGGGCAAAGCAGCGTAGCCACAAAAATCGCCACCACCGGCTGCAGCAGGCCCTGTATTAGAAAGTTCCATATGAGCGCCTCCAACAAAATACAGTAACGATTTCGTGAGTTGTCGGGCGCATCCAGATCATAGACGAGTATCATGTAGATGTGCAGCAGCAGAACAAACACTGGAATCCAAAGGGGTGCACTCAATGCGAGCCCAATGCTGAGGCAGCTCGTGGCAATGCATATCAATGGGAATGCAAACAGAATGACAATGGTGCCAAGAAAGCCTTTTACAAAGTAGTTCCAGGTGCGATTCACATTGCGTGTCAAGCCCTTGCCGATGAAGCCTAAGATACAATAACAATAATTAATGAAAATGCTCTATTTTCATTTAAAATACAATTTCTGTAAAAGTAGCATAACATAATAAATCAATCTGGATGTGATTTTTATGACTATCTAGGAAGCTATCTCTCTATACTCTGATGACAATTATTAAACTCATTTGGAAAACTATAAATATATTCTACGATTATTGTCAACAGCTTAAGTATATTTTTGAAAATGCTTTCCTCATTGTTATATAATTTTTAGGTAATAATATTCAAATTGTGGTGGTTGGTTAACTGTGTCTTGCAATTCTTATTCTTATTGTCAAATCACTTTGAGATTGCTTGTGGCGCCTCACCTGTGTCAGGTTCCGTTTCGAAATGAGTGCGGGATTTTGATATGTGTCGCCAGAGTTCGATGAGCCGCGAGGCTAACGTCTGAGTGATGCTGGTCTTGCGTGGAAAGAGGGTGCCATTGATTTGGGACAGCTCCAGGTCGGGCATGAAAGGCTTAATGCAGAAGAGGGCGCGCAGTCCAAGGGGACTGCACCAGGGCACCAGGATGCCGAGCAGGAACATCATATTCCAAGTCCAGCACCAGGTGCGCTGCAGCAGATTCAATAGACGCCAGAAGGGCCAGCGTGTGCTCGTCGTCCGTATCATTTCTTTCTCGACCAGAAATACCGGCTGGCTGGGATCGGAACGGGGCGTCACTATCGATGTGGCCTGCTGGCTAATAACTGTCGGAATCACATCCGATTGACCCTGGAAATTGCGGCGTATAATCCATGCCTGTGGCGACCAGATGCGACACGCCCATTGAAAGCTGCGCGTCGGCGTTTTGGCATTCTTTAGCTCCTTGAGCAGCACGGGCTCGCGCTCCTTCATGAAGGCCAGATCGCGCGACAGAAAGTAAGCAGTCTGATGTAGATTGTGCTGACTGCACATTTTCAGTGCCTCCTCGTGCGCCGACCAAGCGCACTTGTACAGCTTGTGCTGCTCGGCATGGCGCAGCTTGGAGCGCAGCCAGGGTGCGACGCGGGACAGCACAGAGTGATCGTTGGCCAGGCATTTTTGGTGGTCCTCGCGCGTTCGCTTGATATCGTGCTGCACTTTGTCCACAGCCTTGTACATGATGACCACCGATTGAGCCTGTTCCACCAGCAGCTGCGGCACACCGCCACCCAGTTCGGCCAGTTTGGCATTGGACATGATGGAGGTGTAAACACGCTGCAAATACTCCTTCATCACCGCCTCGTTAACCTCTTCCTCGATCTCCTTGTCGTTCAGTTTCTTGGCGCGCAGCTCGGCAATCAAACGCTCCCGGAAGTGAAGAAACCAGCCGCGTGTTTCTCGCTCCAGGATGCCTATGAGCACGGGAAGCGCTTTGCGCATTATATCGCGACAGAAGAGTCGCAAATCGATCTCCTGGCCCTTGGGCGTTAAAAACAAATATGGCACAGGCTGTGTCACCTCGCAGCTATTGAAATCAAACTTCTCCATTGTGGCGCGACGAAGCATTTTGCGCACATACGAGCAGAGTCCATCCAGACAATCCTCAAACTCGGGCTGCAAGGCAAATTAATTTTATCAGTCCAAACATGCATTTAATATATTTAAAGTCTTATTCATAAACACAGATTGAAATATTTAAAAACAGGCGCTAACATCTTGCAAAGGTTTGCCTTTAAGCTAAGGCAAAATACAGCATAATAAAAATAATAACGTTAATGCTGATAATGATAGATATAATTAACAGATTTAACAAATAAAAACTTGACAATTATATATATTTACGATCTTATCAAAGTTGATTTGTTGTAATACGAAGTTTTAATATTAATTTTAATGATGAGCTCTTAACGGGAAAATAACATATTTGTATTGCAGTAGCGATAATTACGCGTGTTCCAATGGCTCACATCTCGATCTTCTAGCAGATGAGTTTACTACTGAAGTTGGTATATTTATGGGATTGAAAATCACACTTTGAATGTGTTAACCAATAACGTTTTATAACAAACAAAAAAGAACAACAGTTCTTTGTCAGCTGAACTGTAAATATTTTGTATTTATTTTTAATTAAATTTATTTTCTACTTTTTGTATATTAGTCGATATTAAATAAATAAATATATATATATATATAACCTACCCGACACACTAGCTCAGCTATGAGAAAGCGACAGCGTTCCTCCTTGATTTTGTAGTCCAGATTGTGGGCCAGCAGAGCGGGTACACCGATGAACATATCCGCCAGCCGCATGAGGGCATCGAGCAGGGCATGCGCCGCATGCACCACCGAGAAGAAGTGCGAGAAGATGCGCGCCCGAGCGGTGACGACCACAAAGCGAGCTGCCAGCGCTAGATCACTGAGGAAAGAGTCGTTGGCCCGCAGTGTGCCCTTCTGGAGCAACTGAGAGAGGCGCCACTTGTGCACCTGGCCAGAAAAGTGCAAGCTCGGCACATCAAATTCACTGTTTGTGCAAAATGTACAAGTTTTAGACAAATGAATTGGTTAATTTGAACAACATAAAACACACACATTGACCTACAACACACATAAATATATTAATAAGGACACAACAACTTAATGACTTAATGACAATCTGTAGGCATGCTTAAGCGTGGGCCAAATTCAAAATTGTGTTTTTGTCCGATTCCATGTGAGGAGTTGTTTCGTTAATTAATTAATTACATTTCAGATGTGTGTGTGAGAGTGAAGGGATTGTTTTTGTTGTTGTTGTTGGTGTGTACAAATATGAGTCGAGTCCGCGAGTTATCTAAATAAATGATATCAGAGCATTTAACAAGGCATAAAAAAAAATAAAAAAAAACCAAAAAATCAAGTAGTTCTAGTTCTATTATAAATTTACAAATGTATACTATTAAATGGATTGCGAAGTGAAATTATGTTAACAGTTTATAATTGATGGCTTTTTTTTAAATTTCATTATAATTTAAAGTTGTTCAGCTGAGGGGTATCCCACAATGTTTTTAAGATTTCTTTCTAAGCAAACAGGTTTTTTTAAACACCTAAATAAAGAACATTAAAGTTTGCCTTATTTGTTTTTAGCTTTTTCGCGTTCGTATTTCTGTTTTTATTCAACGAAGGCATGCATAAATTTGGAGTAGCTTTATTTATGAACACAAATGTATAAACACAGAAGAGAAAAAAGTACCACGCATAATTTATGAACATTTATTTATGTTGGGTTTGAAAAATGATAAATATATAGATGGATATGCATTTTTTAACTATGTATGTTTATGCATAGGTACTATAAAATAAGGAACACTGACTAAACAATGGTAAACACGCAAAACATTTATTTCAATTTTTTTTTTTTGCTTTTTTGTTTTTTATTTTGTTTCATTTTGTTGCTTATTGTTGTTTATTTACCCATTTTTGCGTATTGTTTCCAATTGTTCCAAAGTTAATTTCTTCGGCTTTCCATATTTATCCTTTTGCAAGCTTAACAGGAATATTTTACATACAAATATTTGGTTTACGTTAATTGCAACCGGTACGAAGTTGTTTGTATATCGGAGCATTTTTGTACATAATGTTAATGCTAACGTTTTATCAGGAGCAGATTAACTGGTGTGACATGCAAATAACATTAAAACAAAACTAAACAAAAATCAACAAATTGATCATATCTTTTGGCCCCCCATATACTCTTTTGAACATGCTTATTATTTTGATGGTTGCTTTTCATTTATTAGCAGCTGCTGCGTGTGCGTGCGCAAGGTGACATATGATTGGTTGCCTATTCATTTTTTAACTCATTTATTTTTGTTTAATTGGCGAAGCGATTGCATAAAGAGGGACGTAGAACGACATCGTTGAGTGTGGGGTGGGTGAGGTGTGCTGTCAGCTGTCTGTGCTGCCCAGCATAGAATTGCATAGCATAGCAGCGACATGTTAATAGCAGCATGTTAGCATGTTGGTGTTAGCTACATGGAACAAATTGCAGATCGGCCAGTGCTAATTTTAATTTGGTATTAATCGGTTAATGTTCAGGCGGCTCTTTCAGTTCTTGTTTAATATCATCATTATCACAATTCACTTCCTTGCCAGACAGGAGACTTGGCCAGCTTTAGCTTCTATTTGTGTGGTATCCGAATGCATGCAATCTACAAAAGAAAAACTCACCCAGTTTCACGCAAGCATTTCAATTGTGCGTTTGTTAGACGACGCGGCTCGCCGCTGCCATCGGAGGCGACTGCGTCCAGTTCATCGAAGGGAGGCGCTATAAATAGGTCACTCTGATTGATGGCACGCTTCTTGCGACCGCTGACACTGTTTGTTGCATTGCTAGCCGTCACATTTAAGGTGCTCGTTGCCAGTGGCTGCGGCAGAGCTGCAACGGGGAATATTCAGTTAACATTAGTATTTATCTATTGATTTTGTGTATTCTAATAATTATATATTTACTTATGGGAAAACTCTTCCAGTGATAGAGAAACTGCTCGGCGACGCACTTAATCTGCTCCACAAGTTGCTCGACTTCGGGCGGTGCACCAACCAGATTAATATTGAACTCGACGGGTTCACGTTCGGGTGCAGCCAACGATTGGGGGCGCAATAACTGTGGGTTGCCATTGCCGGAGACACTGCTGCTGCCATTGCCAGCCACTGCCGGGGCTAACGGGACTAACGGAACTGGCTGAAGCGCCGGCTGTTGCAATGACATGTTGTTGATGAGATTCCCCGCAGCAGCAGCAGCTGTTTACTCCATCATTGGCGGCAGCGGCTGCGTTTGTGTGTGTGTGTCTGTGTAGCTTCTATATCGACAAATCAAAAGCTGAAAATATTTATGGAATCTGTTAATCCAAACACAAGAAATGCCAATTAAAATTGTTGAAATGCGCGCCATATTAAAATTAATGATCCAATTGAAGACACACACAAACACACATATGAGCGTGCGTGTGTGTGTGTGTGGGGCAGATCGCTCACAAATGAATTTTTGGGCAGTAATTCGAGCGAGATGTAAACAATAGATTAGAGTGTGTGGGAGCAGGCAAGAAATAGGTTTACACTTGAATCGCTTTAATAGCCCAACTTGCACGAATACAAAATACGCAGGTAAATGCGAATCTTTCACAATTTTACAACACTCTTCAGTTTAGCTTAATTGCGCGCTTCGTTAACTCTGGCAAGACGGATAGGTGAATGTTTGCCTCATTGTCTGGACACTTAAAAAACTATATATATTTATATATATATAATGCCTTCCAATTGTGCGTTCCACGCCCAACACAACAGACAAATCAACTCACCTCACCACCCCACCTCACCGCACAAACACTTGAGCTTTTTATTGTTTATTCGTGGCGCACGCACCAAAGCCATTTCTTATTATAGTTGGGTTTTGAGTTACAACTGCCTTTTACCTCGCTTTAAATATCAGGTTGCTATTATACACTAGCATGTGCATATGTTTTGCATGTAAGTAAACATGTACTAAATTCAGATCGAGAATTTCTGCTACTACGGGTACTTTAAATTTATCGATGATTTATCTATCAGCAGTTTTACAGCCTTTGGATAGCGGCGACAAACCAAACTATATACGCACTTTTTCAATTGCACTGGCCCGATATTATAAAACGAGTTAGAAAACGTGTCAAGCATAAGTGCACTTCAGGTTCTAACTGAATAAGTAAAACTTACACTTGGTTTATTTCACAGAAAGCATTGTTACTATTTTATAGTAATTATTCAGCGAGTTGTCTCAACACCATATTACCATTTCGACAGAGATGGTCCAAACTATCGATGTATCGATAGTAATGTGAAGGCTCAAGCTGCTTTGATTAATATCAAATATATTCAGAGCGACATCTAGCGCTCAATTTTTCTTAGAGGGCATTAATAGCACAGCCACATTCGAAGACCAGAGAATAGTATTGGCTTATCACTTTTCTTTTTATCTTTTCCAAAATATATTCTAGAACTTCAAATAAAATCTTAACACCGTATCGCCCTTAATAGTCGGAGCAGCGGGCATGTTGTGTTATAAACTGCAATACTAAGAATTATGATTATTACACTTGTTTCCATGAGGATGCTACTCAAATAAATATAAAAGCATTAATAACCTTCTCTTTTGTTTTTTAACTCTTAGTTTATGAAAAACTCGAGCTGAAGCACGTCTTGATATTTCGGATACAGCATGTTTTGCTGCCATATTATCTATATTTGGTGATTCTTTAAAATCTCGCCGGCTCGATAAGTATAAAGTAATAATATCGATGCTAAAATTAATGCTGACAATGTCGATATGGGTTATACCAACGATACGTCGTACAACGGAAATGAAAACACCTCTGATTTAAATTACCATCTGTTACTTTTTTGGAATTTCTATTAATATTCAAACATTTTTATTAACCAAATTCAATTCGACAGACTCGCTTCTTACATTTTATTACCAATATTATTTTATATTTATATAATAGATGCCTATCACTAATTGTTTTTAACCTACCATAGAAACAATCGGTCGGAAGATTAATTTCAAGCTGAAGGATCAAGATGGGCGTCACCCGTTCTGAGAGAATATCATAACTCAAAATGGGAGTGTTCACAGACAGATCTGAAACAGGTAGTTTTAGACAGTGCTTATTCTTACTTTGTAGCATATTGCAGAGTGGAAAGCATTTGACCACGTTGAGCTCAGTGGGACTGAAGCCGGCTTCGACTTACGATACGGCATGTGACTAGCAGTTTGTCCAGCTGTAAAAACAGTCCAGAACATTTATAATATTCTTTCAGAATAATACAAACCGTTTTAGTATCGGTGTATGGATGGATTTAGACTATTCCTTCTCTATAAAATACAGAAAATATAGTGAAATAATTAAAAGTTATATTACTGTAATACATATATCCCCTAAGGGTTATCTTATGGCCTTGTGACCTATTTTTTTTAAGAGGCTACCATCAAAATATGTGAAACTTATATTTCTTATGCACACATACAGAACTAGAACATCTGCTTTTATAATACACACCAGTTAACAGTGTGTTTTGTTGGGAGAGCATCAATAACAAAAGGGACAGTGAACCACATCAAGTCAACATACAGTCCACAGAGCGTGTGGATGAACAGAATGCTGAAGCGGAACTAACCGTTTCTGATGCTGAGCAGAAGCAGATATCTGAGATACAAACTGCGATGAACGTTTGACGCATAATCACCGGTAACAAATCGATGCAATGCGTAGGAAGATAACCCAAAAGTGGAGCACATTTGGATGCTGACTCAGTTATTTAAACATGTATAAAAAATGCTGGTTTTTTTCTGTTTATTAATTTCAATGCATGAGCAGCTCAAGCTGCAACAGGCGCTGATTGGTTGGACAATAGGGCATGGTGGCAGCCATGTTGGCAATGGCCTTGGCGCGTTCGCGCAGCTGCTGCTGTATTATGCAACCGGACTCAGTGTCCAACTTCAGTTGCTTGTACTGTGAGAGTGTGATATCCATTGCGGCGACCATCACGTCGGGTATGACCTTAATGACCTCGCCGCTCAATCGCCGGAAGGTGGACATACACACGCTCACGTCCTCAGTGCTGTTGGGTATAATGTCAGGTATGCGTTCGAGCTGCTGCAGCGCCAATAAAAGTTTGCCCTCGTGATATTTATCAAAGAACTTGAGCAACTCCCGCAGCAGCGTAAAGCTGGTAGAGACTTTGGGCTCCACATCCGTTTGGCGCATGGGCAACCGTGTGCTGAAGCGCTCCGCTTCCAAGCTGAGCCGCGCACGCAATGTGCCCTCCACTGCCGGCTGCTGCACCACCTGGGCCAGCAGTATGGAAATATACTTGAGAGCTAAGTTGAGGTTGCCAGCCATATCATAGAGGCGCACTGCCATCTCAAAGTTGCCGCGGGCGATCAGCTCATCGGCCACCAGGCCAGCCATGGTTGGCGTGTCAAAATCTGCACAGCTAAACTGTCGGAATAGGCCCCTGTGGATGGAGTAAAGACGAGTTATAAATATATGTATATATATATATGTGTCACTTTATATATGTTATATATATGATAAATCTTGAGGATTATAAGAGCTAGTGAAATAGTGGTACACAAATCAAGAGTATCCTGGTATACATAATATATAGTCTAGATATTAATATTTATATGTAGCTGTATTCACATACCCCGAATAGTCATCATCGGTCGCCAATCCTGTCTGTCTCTGTCCAAATATCGAAGCAAAAATACTGGTGTCCAGCACACCGCTGTTGACAACCAGATCACAGACGCACTTGAGGAACATGTTGCGTCCCTTGGGATCGTGCAGGTTACGCAGCGTGTAATAGTAGTGCAGAGCTTCGGCCGTATCCGTTCCCTCGAATCGCTCCACATAGAGGCGAATGAGTCGCGCCAAATTAAGACGACGCAACGGCGTCGGATCTGATATGTCAATAGTGAGCAGAGGCTGCGACACACTTCGCACGCCGCCCAGCATGCCTAGCTCGTGCAGAGCTATTGCCATGTGGACAGCATGCACCCGATTAGCATCCGTGCGAAAGAGAAACTCAATGGCTGCCTCAAATTGGCCCGTAAGCGCTAGCGCTTGGAAGTACAGATACGGCTGATGAAGAGCATCAAAATACTCCTCGCCATAGGTGGTCGTAATGATGGACTGCAGTTGGGCATAGCTAGTCGCATCGCCGGGATGCAGCATGGACAGCCGGATCCAGAGAAAGTCATCGATTGTTTTGGCCACTTCACTGTGGGTATCGTTGATGTCGCAGTTGAGCAGAGTGCAGTACACGGCCTTCTTGAAGGCATCCGTCGAATTATTGCGTATCTTGTTAGCATACTGCAGTTTCAGTTGGCTCTCGATCTTGGAGTTGACTACGCCACCGTTGCGATCGGCAATGAGCTGGGCAAAGTCATCATAGCTGGAGCCAGCTTCATTTAAAAATTCCACAGCCGTTTCAACGGCTCCACAGCGTAGACTATAATATATGAGCGGCCAAAGGGGTTGGCCACCAGCATGCTCCACCAGTCCGATGGTTTGTTGCCCGCTAAAGCGGCGCTCCACATGGGCACGCACCAAACGATAGCTATCGTCCCTATTGGCAATGTTTACCATTTTATTCATGTAGACTCTATATCTATGCTCCAGATATTGTTTGGCATACAATACAAATTCCGGTCGCTGCTGGCGAGTTTTGATGGGATCCCCGAGACAGGGGGCATCGTTCACCTGCGTCACACAGGACAGCATCAGCCACATATTGGTAACTTCCAAATTGCCAAAAGTGCTGTTCGCAAGCTGTGCGTATTTCTGCACAAGATTTGGACGAGATCCGCCCTTCAGCAGCAGTGCATTATACTGGCCCAGCTCCTGGGCATATTGTAGGCCCAGGTCATCGAGACAGGTGAGCGGTAGGCATTCCGGATTCAATATGGTTTGCTCCGGCAATCGCTGCAAGTCAATAAAATTCTGCGATGGTCCAATCAATGCCTCCAATAAGCGCGTTTTCTCTTCATTCCAGCTGCTTGTCAAATTTTCCCATTTTCGCTTGCTAACCGAGTCGCTAATCTGTGTGCGAGAAATCCAAATAAATCAGAACATCTTGCCAGAAGTGAAACTTACATTTTTATTGGTCTCCTCGATGACAGAAAATATGGCATTCTCGCGCTCATTCTTGAGGAACGTGCACACATCTGTGTCCGCACCAGCCACATCCAGAGGCTCAAACGTTTTGCCCGTGCTCAGAGTTTCGAGTTTCTTGTTCAATTTGGACAGGTTAATGCCCTTGGAGCCAAGTAATATTTGTCTGTCAATGGAAACCCAACAATACAATCTAACATCTTTAATTGAGTTAATAATAATTACGCTTGTATCTCCTTGGTGCCGGTCTGGGTAACATGGCTATGTAACTGTTCAATGGACTGCAGCACCTGTTGGAGCGTCCGCTCCACCCCGGGCAGTTCACCCTCAGCCTTGCCTGTGGTCAGGCTTTGTGCCTGCTGCAGCAGGGTGTTTAAATCCATTTCAATAAATATTTCTCTGCCAAAATAAAAACGCGGTAGAAACGTAAACACAAACGTGGTGCTGGAAAACGGATAGAAAAATGTGTTCACCCTGCGCAACACTGAAAATGTTATTGCTGCGTTTGATAGCTTCGAGCAAATTGATTTTTGTGATCAAAAAATAAATAAATTCTGCAGGGTATTTAGTTCCTTTTTTATAAATATTTCGCCGCAACAATAAAAACGGGGTAAAAACATAAACACAAACAAAGCGGATACAAAAATTTGTTGACACTGTGCAGCACTGAAAATGTTTACGCTGCATTTAAAAGCGTCAAACAAAATTAAAAGAATTATGTACTACAAAAGTAATTCTATTTTTTATATACAGATGACAGTTACAGCTGCAGATTTTCTAATATTTTGAGTCACTCAAAGAAATATCAGTCATATGCTCTTGACAATTGCCTCTCTGTAAATCTGATTATTACTAACATGCTCAGGACCAGAATCTCTTCCACTTTTATAATCATATATATTTTCAAATGCGTGTTTTTCTCACCGGAAAGCCCATTTCTTGGGTTTTTTTTTTTAATAAAACAATTTATTCTCTTGTTGCATTTTTTATTAAACATATGTCAAAATAAATATTCAAATGCCTTAGGACTAGGTAATCTGCCTGACATAAGATAAGCCATGCTTATCTCTTATCTTATTCCCTGTCCAATGAGTGCAACAAAAAAAATTAATTTTTATTAATTATACAAATTAGATTTAAATTGAAACTAAACACAATATATAAGTTTGCGTATAAATTTTATAACTGAATTGTTGTTGTGAAAAAGTACTAACTTAAACCTGCTTTTGTTGCTAAAGTCTGACCTCGAACGGTGCTAGGCAACACTTGGGATCCCTACACATTTGTTAGTTGTTATGTATTTGTTTAAATTTGCTGTTAACTTATTGCTAGTAGTTTGTAGAATTTTCCCATCTTCGCGGACCAAACAAACTATTTATAAAAGATGAAACAATGCCGCCGTGGTATGGGCCAGAACTTCACAGTTTCGACATTATTAACGCTGACCTCCATTTGCCAAGCACTTATGATACAATACAACTGCTCTTCTCGGGTGGATTCCCATTCTCGTTCTCAATTAGCACGAGTAATTGATGAAAAATATCGCCGACAGACTGAAAAAACATGAACAAAAATTGTTAATACTATTGTCAAATTGATTAAATTTTAACAGACACTCACCTCATTTTGTTTGGCGGAGGTTTCGAGAAATGCGGCTCGCCAGGATTCCGCTAGTTTTTTGCCCTCGTCCGTGGAAACTGTGCGCTCCTGATGCAAATCCGTCTTATTTCCTACTAAGACTACAGGTACACTGTACAATTTTGAATAAAAAACAGTTTTTTGAACAACCATGAATAACTTTAGTTAAAGTTACACAATTTCTTACTATTTCATGCCCATCACATCCAATAACTTTTCGTATATGATTTTGATCACTTCAAAGGACTTTTGACTGGTTATGGAATATACCAGAACGTATCCATGAAAGTCCATGCTATACTGAACTGGGAATATGCTATACTCATCCTGTCCAGCCGTATCGACCAGCTTAACCCGATAATCCTGCGAGTTGACGCGCGTCGCCTTGGTAAATGCTGTAATTTTATACGTACACACACTAATCACAATTATCGAATTACGTTAATTGTGCCACGCTGCAGTCACATGATCAAGAACAAGAACAAAACGCATGGCAATCATCATCAGCATCCTTCACAGAGATATCTCTATCTCTATGACTAATTTGCTGTTTATGTTCGCATTTGCAAGACACAGCTGCTTATTATTATTCCACTTACTATTCTCGATTGTTGGATCATACGAGTCCACGAATTGGCCTTCCACGAATTGTATACTGAGCGATGATTTACCTATTGATACATGCAAGTAACACGCAATTATTATTACGAATATTCCAATAATATATTGTATGCAATGCTGTCTGTTGTGTCTGTTGTCAAAATAATACGCAATTACAATACAAGCAACAGCAACAACAACATCAGAGCAAACGCACCCACAGACAACAACAGCAACAGAGCGATTAGTCAGACTGAAACTGGAGCTGAAGTTTGAATGGAGAGACGGGACAGACTCACTCACTACTCACCCACTGAACGGTAGCCCATCATGGCTATGTTGCGTTCCTTTGGTGGCATTATGCAGATCAATTTATTGTTTCTTCTACCTTGTCAAATTGTTATAGCCCTTTCGAGAGGGTATGCGTGCGTGTGTGTGTCTGCGCCTTTTTTATTTTATTAATGACGATTGGGTGGTGTGCTTTGCTACAGTTATTTGTTTCTATAACAGTTTTAAATTAACTGCAGCGGTGTGCCAATTTTTTATTGTTTAATTCAATTATGTATTATTTCGCAGAAAACATTCTGATTTTACACTATGCGTTTTCTCAACTGTGGGCACCTATAAAAAGACTTTAACATACGCTGTTAGTTATTAGCAGCTCGCATCGAAATGTTCCCAGTGAAAAAAAACATTGGTTACACATTCGTTAGTAATTCAGGTAAAACACGTCAATTATCTTATAAAATTGCGGTGCAAAACGTTTAAAATGTTTTTGAATAGTTCATTTTAGTTCATTCATTTGGCATCAAATTTAACAGCTGTTAACTAGCTCCAACAAAATGTCTCTAATCATGAACGAACTAAAAAAAGATTTCGCTTTGTGCAAGTCAATTATGTCTTTAACGATGCAGCTGATTTTGTGACGTCAACTATACCATTACATTGGCTCGAAATAAATATGCGCTAAGTAGCCTCAATTGTGTGTGTTTATAAACAAAAGATTGGAATAATAAATTAAGTACTTTTAGGTAAATTTTCGTAGTTGCTAATTATGAATTATAATGTTGGTGACCAAATAAAATTCATATACAGCGCTTAGGCGCACGATATATTTACAAATAAAAAAGTCACAAATGTTTTGGAGTAATTCAGATTCAAACTGTCATATCTTCAGCAAAAATGATTAAATTTCCGAATTATTTTCAATATTAATAAGGTATTGTTATCTATATTAATTCTGCAATACATTCTTTAGATAAAAAATAAAGAATCAAATCATACAACTTAAATCGAGACTAATTTTAGATTGGAAATGAGCGCGTCAATTTTCAAATGAGGACAGTACTGCCACTGAAGCACACAAAAAACAAGCTGGCAGCATTCCAAAAAAAATTTTAAAAAATAGGTGGCAACCGCGGCAGACTTGTGTAACAAAAACAAAATTCGACTTTAAATTAGTGTAAGTTTATTTTCATGTAATTTTTGACCGGAAGTACCCATACACATTGTGTATTTGCTGTATTTGTACTGCCACTAACCACATAAACAGCCCGATAACTACAAATGGTAGGTTATCAAGGCTGCTCCCTGTTCAAGGCCATTCAACGAACAAAATAATCACATTTCGTTTTCTGCCCAGTGCGTAAATCCATATTGCTCTTTTGAGTCCCTTGTGTTTGAATTGTGAAAGATGCTGCCCACCATCATAAGCCGACAAATGCATCGCCCGCTCATCGCCAGTGGTCCAACAACGCTGAAACATGTGCTCGGTGTCGGCGGCAGCAGTATTGTCAACTGCCTAAATCGCTATGCTGCCGCAACCGGCTTCATCCGCATCTCCTTTCTAGACATCAATCAGCGTCGTAATTGGGATGTAGCACGACTGCGCCTCTATGCCGATGCCAAGAAGCAGTCGCTGCAGTTGCGCACATTGCAGGGACGCGATCGCTTGCAGGGCGTCATCGACAAGCAGCGTGCGGAGTTCATTGAGCGCAAGAATATCCTAGTCGATGATATTCGCGAGGCCAGGCACAAGGTGCAGGAGCGTGTGCGTGAGAAGATTGTCGAGATACGCGAGGAGCGTGAGAATATCATGACCATACCGAATATGCTGACCATCAGTCGCGCCCTACTCTCGCCATACATTGGCTATGTCATTGTGCAGGGTGACTTTACCCTGGGCATGAGTTTGCTCGTCGTCGCTGGCATTACAGATCTGGTTAATATTCCTTTTTCACATTATCATATATATATATTTATTTATTATATTCTTAGCTGGATGGTCAGATTGCGCGACGCTGGCCATCGCAGGCTAGCAAGGCTGGTTCCTTCCTGGATCCCATGGCTGATAAACTGCTGATGGGGTCCTTGGTCATTTCGTTGTGCTACAGCGAACTGTTGCCCGTTTGGCTGGCGAGTGTTGTTGTCTTCCGAGATGTGTTCCTAATTGGCGCTGGTTTTGTCATACGCTACATTAGTTTGCCACACCCCGTAAGTACCGAGATATAGTTTAGTAATATATTAATATCCCATATATGATCGTTTTGTTGCAGAAAACGTTTTCACGTTATTTCGATGCCACCCATGTTACTGCCCAATTGGAGCCGACGTTTATCAGCAAGGTGAATACTGGAGTTCAACTGGCCACCATTGGCATTAGCCTGGGCGCACCCATATGGAACTATATTGGTGGGTATTGCACATTGTGTTTGATTAACAATAAGTATTGAATTCGACTTTCGATTATGCACAGATCACCCGGCGCTACATGGACTTTGGTATTTAACGGGCGTTACAACTGTCGCTGCAGCTCTCAGCTATGTCATCAATAGACGCAATACTTTTAAGATAATTAAGAGAAAGTCGTAGAACTGAGCATTTTTTCATTTGCTATTACCATAAATAATAGTAATGGAGCACCAACTGCAATGATTAATATATAAAATTCTTTTGTAAACAGTTAGCTATTAATAAAAATTCTGTATTTTGTTATTGATGTTGATGTCATGATTTCAAAACATCCAACTGTTGTCACACTGAACGAGTCTTCTTCTGGTTTACGTTGCCAGATGTGTACACAATTACTTTTCATGTAACTCATCAATGTATGCTTATGCGTGGGTACCCAAGCCCGTGTGTGTAGGTGTATATCTACTTTATGACAATACAGTCGCCATAGGATAACATGTAAGTAATATTATATTAATACAGCCATTCGCCGCAGTGCTGCCACTAACGGGCAATAATTATCAACATGTTCAGTATGCGAAAGTATGCGAAATGTACAAATTGAAAATGTCTGACCGTTTTCAGTGTTGTATAACGTATTATTTGATTAGTGCGCATCGTTTTGTTGGGATTGTTCAAATGAGTTGTTTTGAAACGCAAATTAGAAAATAAGCTGCCAATAAATCAAATACAGCCAGCAAAATGTGAGTAGCGAATACTTAGAAAACAGTCACAAACAACATATATAAATTATTCCTTGCAGGGCGAGAGCAGGCAAAGATGCAATGCGAGAACTGGATAATATTTTGAACGCCAGCGAAACTTACGCAGATCGCCTGACGGCATTTTTGCAGCTGAAAACTGCACCGAAACCAAAGCAAAGCAACACGCCCTTCGTTCTCGGTGGCTGTGACTTTTCATTTGACTTCGATGTGGATTTAGTTGAACTACTGCCCAAAGCACAGCCAGCAGCTGCAAAGGAAGCTGAGCCCGAGTGCGAGGAGCACACACTGCGCGAAATCATAAACGAATCCCCGAATTCAGCTAACTCCAAAGCAGCGCGGCCAGAACAAACCAAAGCTGCTGTTGCGCTCCTACCCGCAAAGGAGAATGTAACTACTAGCCAGATGCGAGTCATTCGGTCACCAAGTCGATCGGTAAGACGCAGCATTCCTGGATCCGATCGTCTGCGTCGCGTGGCCATCCAGCGACGTTCGCGCAGCTGTGGACATCGTAATCTGCTCAAGGAATTCAACAATGCATATGCAAACAACTCGAGTTTTGTAAGTATTGCTTACTTATTATTATTAAGTGTCAATTTATATAATGGTCGGAAGGAGTCAAAATTAAGCATATAAATTATTTTTATTGTTATAAGGGACGGTGAACAAGTCGAAAACTATAAAAAACGAGTTTTCCAAAATATGCATTACATTTTTTCTCCATTGTTCGATTAGTTAATATTCATGGTGAATGCGTTTATCTATTGAAGCCAGAATATATTTTTGTAATATCTCTTACTTTATAGCATTGCTCACTAAATAAAGTCTTCATTCTCACAGCTGCCCACGCAGAGCAGTACACCTTTAACGGATAATCAACCCGCAGCGGAGTCAGAAAAGCAGACAATCTTAAGCGAAGCAAGCCCACCTGAAAGATCCGCACCAAAACCGTTGCTGGAGCACTTTGAAGACAGTCATGAGCTGTCAAACAGTGCACAATCGAACAGCTCCATCTCGCAGCAATCTATGCAGCGTCAATCAATGTCGGACAGCAACATCAAGCGGCGAACCTTCACCATAGAAGTGGGACCCAGGCCAGGTCAGCTCCTGCTCTTGCCTTCGGGTAAAAAGCAGCTGTCGCCCTCAAACTCCGTTTGTAATGTCTCTCTTAGACAGTCGTGTATGCGTCCGAGATCAAGCGCTGATCAATCAAAACTATCAGTAGCTCCGGCGCGTAGGACGTTGTCAGTACCATCATCTGAACCGGAGTACATTGTGCCCGAATCACCGCAACTGGATTTGCAGCAAGTTGTGCAGAATCTGACACGCAATTCATCGTTGGCTACAACACCTTTTATGGTCGTTCCCATGGCGTGTCTGAATGCCAAACCAACTAATGAGCAGGTCAAGGCAGGTCCAAGTACAGTCACGCCCACTGCAAGAGTAACTAATCGGAGCATACAAACTAGCTGCAGAGAAATCGATTTAAATGAAATCCTCACAGAAGACGAAAGCGACGAGGAGCAGCAAGTAGCTTCAGCTAGAGGCAGCTCGATACAGCTGCTTGACTTGCACTACTCACGCTCCAAGGATTCGCGTAGACGGAGTAATCGCAGAACCCGTCAAGCTGTTCTTAATAAACCCTTGCAGCCAGCCATTAATGGCGAAAAGTTTGCCCAGGAGCTAGCGCGGATCAGCAACTATGAGGTACTTGATCTACGCAAGCGTCGATATCGAGCCAAGCAGCATCCGTTCAACGGACATCGAGAGCGATCGATAGAGCAGCTTACGCTTCCGCATAAGATCCCCGCTGCAGCGACTTTGTCCTCTCCACATAAGATCTCGGCTGCAGCGACTACGTCCGGTTCGGATAGTGATTTTCTGTTTAACAGAAAATCGATGCCGTCACCACCTGCTCCCCCTTTGGACTTTATGGATAGATCTCTGCATCAGCGACGTTCGCGCCTCAGTCGTCATGAGACTTATATGGTAAGAAATTTAAAAACCTTTGGGTTTAGTCTCATATAGTTTATACAAGTTCGAGCATCCCAATTAAGCTTATTAAATTATTTTACAAAACTATTACCACAATTTGAAAAACAAAACTATATTTTTTATAGAATTTTAAAGATTATAAGCGATAGAGGCATGCAATTAGATTCTTAAATATCCGCAGACAGATCAAGTATAATTTATTTGTTGTATAACTCATTCCAGTTTGAATCAATGTCCACCGAGAGAACAGCGCTGCCGCCGTTTGATTTCAGGGATAATTCTATACAGTCGCAGCCCCGGAAAAAGAAAACCAAACAGCGACGCACACGTGCCAGACATCGAGAGCCACCTGTAACCGTAAGTTTGAGACCCAACCAATCACTTTATTTATTTTGACTCAATCACAAATACAGAGCGATGAGGATCAGCTTTTGGAGGTGTGCACGCCGCCCGCACAATTTCGCTGGTCCAAGTCGAGACGGAAGTCTGAACTGATGGAGACACCAGAAACATCCTTGGCAGCACCGCCCTTGCAGTTTATTGATGTGCCCGAAACAGATGCTGAGGAGGAGCTGCAACAGCAAAGCATACAAAGTTCGTATATGGAAGAGCAACAAAAGAAGGAACAGCTGCAAAAAGAGCGACAAAAGCAGGAGCAAGAGAAGGAACAACGGCAAAAGGAGCAGCTGGAGACGGAGAAGCGGAAAAAGGAGCAGCAGGAGATGGAGAAGCGGCAAAGGGAGCAGCAAGAGGAGGAACAGCGGCAAAAGGAGCAGCTGGAGATGGAGAAGCGGCAAAAGGAGCAGCAGAAGAAGGAGCAGCAGGAGAAGGAGCAACAGGAACAGAAACAGCAGCAGAAAAGACTGGAGAAGGAGCAGGAAGAAATGCTGCATAAGGAGCAGCAGAAAAAGGAAAAACAACTGCAAATGGAGCAAAAGCAAGAAAGGCAGCAGGAGCTGCAGAAGCAAAAAGACCGGCGGAAAGAGCAGCAGAAACAACAGCAGGAAGAAGATCAGCAACAGCTGATAGAAGAATCAAATCAAGAGCAAGTGTTGAAACTGGGGCAATTGCCGCCGCCAGAAGTGGTTTTTAAAAAACCAACAGCGCCAGCGTCGCGCTTAAAGCGTTATAAAAAGAGTAAAGTTGAAAGAGAGCTGACAAGATTGACAATAAATCTCCGGAATGAGCCGATGCCACCGGATGAGCAGGAGGAAAACACCGATATGGGTAAGAATAACGTAAATTCAGTTCCCAAAATTTGAGTTTGCCAGAAATGAAAAGAGTAAATGTATTTTTTTTTTTGCAATTGATAAGACAAATGAGAATCATTTTTATAAAGAAAAATGTAAGAAATTGAACTTATTTTTGGCAGAAATGTTCAAATTCCGAGCGGCGACTGTAGTATGGAAACACTATTTATTAACTAACTTCCATCCATTTTAGACGGCGTACGTCGTTCGAGGCGTGGTCAAGTTCCGCTGTGCAACACGTGGTCGCATACCGTCAGGGAGCCGTTTCTGTTTATGCACAAGCATCTGGCACACTTCGAGTTGCCAGCTTGCTATAAAAGCACGTCACCGCAGCGACCAACTGCAGCTAATGGCATTTCCATAAAAAACAGACCACCGATAGCCAGCAGCACCCCTTGCAATCCAACAGCTCCAATTTCAGAGAATAGAAGACGAAAAAAGAAGCCACCACCAGGAGAAGCTGCTGCACAACCGGGTGAAACTCACCTAAACCGAAAAAAAGTTCATAAGAAAAAGAAATAACTGCTAAAATTGTATAATATATTTCAAACATACTTGTATTTTAGTTTGTGAGAATTTATTTAAGGTTTAACTCAGAAAAATACATTTTTTATGTTATTGTTTTCTGAATTATCCGGTCTTAAGCTTTTTTTATATAATTACATTAATTAAATAATTTAAGTATAACACTAATACTTATAAATTAAAAATGGAGACAGAAGTACAATCTTGACTTAAAGATCGGAGTCGCTAGATAACAACCAAATGGCCAATGGCAGCACAATTAAAATCAAACAAGGTTGGTATCCAGCTTATTCAATGCAGATCCATACAAATATTTATACTTTTATATTTGTTTTCAGGCAGTAGCTATATTCAATATGGTTTTAATAGGGCCTCAAAAACTTTCAATTAGTACAATCATTACTCTAGCACTTGGATGAAAAAAAAAAAGTTTATTTAGTTCAACAAAATTATAGAACAATTTAGTTTGCTATTTTGAATCATTCAACTGTTGAGCAACAGTGGAGCGTGACAGTGGAGCGTGATTTTGCGCTGCCAGATTGTTGATATTTTTGTAAACAACGAAAGGTGGCAATGCCAGAGGCGCTGCCAACTGTCACATTTGCTGTCAATCTTTTCTTTCTTTTCCGGTCAGCGAACAGACCTGTAAGTTCGCGTAATATTTGTGCACAAAATAAAATCGTATTCTGTTAGTGTATTAATAAAGCAACGCCAACTATTTAAGGCGCCAAATGAATGGGAATAGTGTGAACCATGCCTGCAAACAATATTGCACAAATTTACCATGATTAGGCTAAACAATTTGCTTGTCAAAGCAACCAAACAAATCAAAATAGAAACAAGACAGAATGCCAATAAATTAAATGAGTGCAAATAATAAGCACTCTATTTGTTAAAGTGCTTAATATTGAAACGAATAAGTGGATCTGTGCTAATTATCCGAATTTCTCTTCCTTTACTTTCTGCATACATGTTTGCTGCTCCGCCGTCGACGTCGCTGCCAACGCACCCAACACAAAAACAACAATAAAATCGACAGCCGCCAAAATGAGGAAAATTATGAAACAGGGCAAGATCGTAATCGTCCTTAGCGGACGTTACGCCGGCCGCAAGGCCATCATCGTGAAGACCCATGACGATGGCACCCCAGAGAAGCCCTTCGGTCATGCGCTCGTCGCCGGCATTGACAGGTATCCACGCAAGGTCACCAAGAAGATGGGCAAGAACAAGCTGAAGAAGAAGTCGAAGGTTAAGCCTTTCCTGAAGAGCCTGAACTACAACCATCTGATGCCCACCCGCTATACAGCGCACGACATCAGCTTCGAGAAACTGTCGCCCAAGGACATCAAGGATCCCATCAAGCGCAAGACGCATCGTTTCCAGACACGCGTCAAGTTCGAGTCGGTGTACAAGGAGGGCAAGAACAAGTGGTTCTTCCAGAAGCTACGCTTCTAAGCAGCACATCTCTGTGGAGGACTCTTGATTTAATTGTCGCCGTTTTTTTAAGGTTAAATAAAAAACCAATAATGATACAAACTGACCGAAACTTATGCCAAATGCTTGCTTATTTTGACGTAAAACGATGTATGGGATTAACTAAATGTTTTCTACAACATTAAGTTCTTAGCCATTTTGTGTCGTTCGTGTACCCCCCGTTAAGGACGGGGTCTTTTTGGGGGATACGAATCAATTTTCATGTAAATTTATTGCTTAGTTTCTTGATTTAGAATTCCTTTCCATATTATTATTATTATTGAAACGCTTCGGATCGAGATAGCTAATTATTTATTATTTCAAAGCTTCAGTAGTATTTTGGTTTTATCATTACTTCCAATTATTTAATAAATATTCGAACAGAATAATACATTTTATTGAATTTCGTTCTACATAGTTATGATCGCGTTTGAATTTATTATACAATTAAATAGCTTCACTGTACACATTTGGAACTTGAAAATATTTTAGAGTATAGTAGTCCGAGTTGACATGCTTATGGATAGTAATAGTGGGTTAGCAAATTAAAGAGTCAAAGCAGATCGTGTTCAAAACCATTGAAGAACGTAAGAAATTCTGCGAAATAGAAGATAATATTTGAATTAAACAATTGCAAGTAGAAGAATAGAGTATTTAATATATGCATTGCAATGAAACGTATATTACCTGCAGTACCTGAACATCGGAGGAGCACAGAACACATAACACTTAGCCGGGGCGGGGAGATTTTTTTTTTTGGTAAAGCAGAGCAAATAAATGGATTGCTTCTATTATTATATTCAGACATCACAATTAAACGCTGTTATGCATTGGCTTTGGGGCGAAACAAATCTGTACAAGAGTTGACTCTGATTGGCTTAGTTGTGGGTTAATATAAGATTTTGGTATTTGTTTTAGTAGGGCATTGACTTTTGGTTTTGGTTTTTGTATTTAGTTTTTTGTTTTTGGTTTCTCTTAACTCTGGTTGAAATAGTTTCCATGTGGCCTGTGGAACGGTTAAGCATGGATTGTTGGGGAGTAGAAAAATATATATGTTATTATTAATATCAGTTAGATTCGAGCGAAATTTGCAAAAAAAAATTGATTGTTAAATTGAAGAGGAACACAATGGTTTTGACGCAGCTACATACGTGTGGGTGTAGAGTGGGTGTTTTTCTGTGTTTGTGTTGGCACTACGGGATAAGTACTACTTAATAATATAAAAAAATATAATATAATCAACTTAAAACATATTTCGGTTTTAGACCAAATTAGTAAATTTTGTTTTTTCGTGTGTGTTTTGAGTTGTGTTAAAAAACAATTGTGTGCAACAGCTTAAATAGCGAGGAGCAGCGCAAAATATAACATATAACACACTTACAGTTCTTTTGAAGTTGAAGTGAAAATAATAATACAATAGAGCATGAAATTTTATATACATAATACAAAAATAGGCGCAGCACTTAAACAGCATGTGTGACAGTGAAGTAAAAAAAGGTAAAGCGAATATAGGTGGTACATAGACGTGTGGACGCTGTGAAACTAAATACATCTCTAATACAGAGAGAGAGAGAGAACGTCTCCCTTTCGAACAACAAATAAACTTAAAGCTAAATTCAAGTTAATTATTTTACCAATTAACACGCTTGGCACTCAAGATTTTGAGTATGTTTTCAACGACATCAGTGCTGCTGTTTACGCCTCCAATATCTAAAATATACAAAGTTTTAAGGATAATGATTTATATTCTATTTATATTGAATTGAAATAAAGAAACAAATTTAAGATTCATATTTACTGCTGCATTCAGAACAAATCAACTTGGGAGATAAATATTACCTGGCGTGCGTATGGCATCTTTAACAATAGTCTGATAGGTGGCATCATGGATAACCTTGGCGTGCTCCTTGTGACCCAAATGATTCAACATATCAATGCTGGCGTTGATCATCGCCACGGGATTGGCAATATTCTTGCCGGCAATGGCAGTGCCAGTGTTGCGGGTGCCCGGCTCAAAGACAGCATACTGAAATAAATGTCAACTTCAAGTTATACCAACAAGAGATCAACATATTGCACATGATCTCACATGATCGCCATAGTTGCGTCCAGAGATCAGACCAGCGCCGCCAATGAGTCCACAAATCACATTCGATACAATGGTGCCATACAAATTGGTCATGTTCATGACATCAAACTGATGTGGGTCGGAGACGGCCTGCATGCAGGTGTTGTCGATAATCATATTATTGTGCTCCAACTCGGGATAATCTCTGTGCACACGATTGGCCACCTCCAAGAAGAGACCGTCCGACAGCTTCATGATATTCGCCTTGTGAATGGTCGTCACTTTCTTGCGATTATTCTGACGGGCATACTCGAAGGCATAACGAGCCACACGCTCAGCATTCTCAACTGTTACGACCTTCATGCTCTCCACGACGCCGCGGACAGATTCGTGTTCCAACATCGCATACTCACCGTCCGTATTCTGGCGGATGAGTACAATATCAACGTCCTTGTGATGGGCAGGTATGCCCGGATACGATTTGCAGTGCACCACATTCACATAGAGATCTAGCTCATTGCGGAGTGCGACATTGCGGGACATCTCCTCCAGGCCGTGCGACTTCGTCTCAATGTTGCCCTTGAGCGCGACGCCATTGCGCTTAATCGAGGTGATCGCATAGTCGAGATCATCATTGCCCTCGGTGGATGGATCAATGTCGATTACCTCAAAATCAATTGGTGCACCACAATAACGAAAGATTTCACGAACATAGCCCATCAATTCCGGTCCAATGCCGCCACCGGGTAACATAGTGACACCATGACGGCCACCATACTGCGCCGAAGGTATATCGGTGCCCTGTATGGGGAGCAGCAAAAATACTTATAATAGTATACAGTGGAAGATCAACATTTCGGGTGAAAACTGTATAACCTCAAAATCATACCGTTAGTTTCTTTTGCAGCGCAGATTTTGTGTGTAGCACATCTTCGGTCTTCTCCTTGGTCACGAGCAGCGGATAACCCTGCAAACGCCAGAGAAAATACAATTAATAAATTGTCATTACCGATCCAGTGGCCAACACATTATGTAATTTGCCAGACGCGCTCCGTTGGCCAACTTGGAAACTGGGTCCCCCGGATCAGAACTTACACGAGTTAGGATTGGCGCCCGTAACTGTAGCAATCTTTGTGACAGGCGTATAGACATCTTTTGTTTTGAGATTTATGTCTTTTCAGGTGGGTTATAGAGCTTTTCAACCAATTTTCCTTTGCTGTCAGAAACTACGGTCAAAACGCCAAATCATATGTTTCTTGTATCGATATGTTACTCAAAATGGCTACAAAACTATCGATGTGCGGAAGATTAGGCAATCACATGGGCAGCACTGGCGTATCCATGGCGTAAAAATATTATTTGGGAATGTGAGATTATTATAATATTCTCATTACTTTTGTTACACTTAATGAATTTGCGTATGGAATATATAAAATATGTTGCTTATGAGAGAATAAAAATGTGCGTTTATTTCGACTTAAGCTATTTTTAAACAGATAGCTGCGTAAATGTTGTGAATAATGTTGTATATATTTAAACTGCAAAAGGGTATTCACGTTTCGATGTGATGCCGAATTTGTTCACAATGTTCCTCTTACGTTAACAACCGCAATCATTTAGAGTTTGTTTTTGAATGAAAACAGTTGTGCTGCTGCAGCTTTGGTCTGGAATCGACCATTACATATGCAATAATCTACGAAATGGAAGCGGAACTTGTGCCCGCTGCAATTCCGGGCCAAATTGAGATGCAGGAGCCGCTGTCGAAGCTCACATTTCTGCACGCGCTTGTTGTAAGTCAGCAGAATAAACTTAGCACTTCAGACAATTATTGTGTTTATATATTTTTTTTCAGGCCGGTGGTGTTGCGGGGTTCGTGGTGGATATTGTATTGTTCCCCATCGATACTGTCAAGACGCGGTTGCAAAGCGAGTTGGGTTTCTGGCGTGCCGGTGGCTTTCGCGGAATTTACAAGGGCATCGCACCGGCGGCGGCAGGCAGTGCACCAACTGCAGCCCTCTTCTTTTGCGCTTACGAGTGCGGAAAGCAGCTTCTCAGCAATGCGAGTAACACCAAAGATTCACCTTATGTTCACATGGCAGCTGCTTCTGCAGCGGAAGTGGTAAGCCGTCGATGTAGAATGAATATAATAATTAAGAGCGTAGTCAGCTTTCAGCTAAGGACGTGGGGGACTTGTACTTTTTTCATATTTTTTTAATCGAAACCATGTTTTATATTTAATTCATTAAAATACATTTTTAATTAATATGCACATATGTATATGACACAAATTTATTGAGAATTTAAAATGTGTAGGTTATTTTTTTCTTCCGCTATTAAGCTTTTAAGCCTTGTTGTTTTATGGTGCGTCATATGTACACCCTTATATGACTTAGTTAAGACGAATTCGATAAGAATTTGAAACTGTGAGATTTTTTTTCAACTGCTAGACGATAAGTGCATAAGAGCTATGATTTATTAAATGCTATTATGACTAATATAATAATAAATGCATAAAATCTTCTCTCAATAAGCTTCTAATCTGCTAACTGCCTTCCCGCTCTCGATATCATCATACAGCTCGCCTGCCTAATACGTGTACCTGTGGAAATTGCCAAGCAACGTTCCCAGACCTTATTGGGTCACAAACAGCACCAGACAGCGGTGCAGATCTTATTGCGCGCCTATCGTACCGAGGGCCTGCGTCGTGGAATCTATCGCGGCTTTGGCTCGACAATAATGCGCGAGATACCCTTTAGTTTAATACAGTTCCCCCTGTGGGAGTACCTTAAGCGACAGTGGACGCCAATGACTGGTTACGGGTCGACGCCGCTAACTGTTGCGCTCTGTGGCGCAGTTGCCGGTGGCATTTCGGCTGCATTAACCACTCCGTTGGATGTGGTGAAAACCCGTATAATGCTCGCTGATCGGGAGAGCGCGACGCGACGTCGCAATATTCCATCCATTCTGCATGGCATTTATATGGAACGAGGGCTCAGCGGGTAAGCAAACCAAATATATATATAATTTTAATTGTTGTACACAAATGTTTATTATATTTAACATTCCAGTCTGTTTGCGGGCGTTGTGCCGCGTGTGCTCTGGATTACACTGGGCGGAGCGTTCTTCTTTGGCTTTTATGACCTAACTACGCGTCTTCTGGGCAAAGCAAATACTGATAACTAAATGTTATCTTAAGGCACATATTTTACACAATTTTAACAATTGAACAATAGTCTGAGGCTTAATTGTATAAAGTGGGTACAAAACTCGATTCTATTATTGGCGAACCTCAATCTGCCATCAACAGACGATAATGTAGACAATAAAATTAAAGTTTATGAAATATTAGAAGCTAAATTGAAGTCTTTCTTTCATGTTGAGGAAGCATTTGTCTCCTGAAAAGATTCTCTTTTGATACTTTTCCCATCTAGGCGATGTCATCGGCATCAGTGTTGAATTGTGGATAACGCTGCTAATATTCAAATAATTCATATTAAATAAACAATCAATAGGATATAGACGAGAGTGTCCAACTAAATAATACCATGTACCCAGATATAGGGATAAATACTATCAATACTAACTGGTGTGATCTGCAGACGTGCATCAAGAAGGCTTGCAACGGAATTCGGTTGGTCAAATTCATCAGCGCCGATCATGGACACATCTGAATCCCCGTCGCCGTCATCAACACTGAGGTAGCCATAACGCGTGGCATTGCGGCGCTTGAAGTACCCACAATTGAGAGTACGGCGGCTACGTGACAATGCATACACCTAGTGTGAGTAGTTTCAATACGCAAATGTAAATGTAAATATTTCAAAATACAGCTGAACTAATGCCAACACAGATAAGCAAAAGTAAGTCAACTTACCAAACCGGCGAGTACAATAACTCCTACTAGCACTAGAATTGGCAGCCAAATGTATTGGCCGTCATCGGGATGCTCCAAGTCTGAAGTTAGCGTTGTGTTTGGCATAGATTCCATTTTTCTGATTTAGAGACTGGACGATTTTTTAAATATCAAAACAACCTGCCAGTGTTACCCCAAAAGCGAAGCTTTTACGAGTTATCGTTATCGTGGACAAGTAGAGATGCACGCTTTAAAGTTACTTCGATATATATAATAAGTAAATAATATTTATAAATAATTTAATAAAAAAAAATGTTTGGTACTCTAAGTTTGATTGTCATTTTAATTATGTGCGTACATTGGTCGAATTTATTGTACAGAAAAGGTGCCAGCTATATTCTATTCTTCTCGTTTCGATATTTAACAGTCACAGTGAGTCGTTGCAGTCACTTTGCTTTTCACATCTCTAATAACAGCGCTGTGTTTGGTGTCTTCTCCCGCGTACTCGTGCTTGAATTCCATTTTTAAATGGCAGTGTCAATGACTGAAACTGTTGTAGATTTGGGAAACTCTTGCTGCCTTTGTCTCTAAGAGCCAGAAAATTGGCCCAAATCGCTGTGCAAGCACTGTGGCATTGAACTAAACTTGACATATGTTTTCAATAAAAAATTAATTTTACCAAATCATAAGCTAATAGATAAACGAAGTGTTGTGCTGAGTGAAAGTGTAGAAATATAACTGGAAATTATAGATGTGAAGAAGGAAAACAAAGTTGTCGAGGAATGCTTGCAGGATAAAGAGGAGGAGCAGCACCAAATCGTGGAGGTTCTAAGCGAGGCAGAACTAGAGGAATTTGATGAAATGGTGGAACTGGCAGAACCGAAAACAAATAAACCGGATGTCCATGAATTCTCCACAACGATCGTTTATAAAACAGTCTGAGCGGTATTCTGGTACATTCGTGCCGTTTGAGTGCAACGTCTGCCAAAGGGATATTCGACTCGTTTCAAGTGGGATAAAAGACGACTAAAAAATAATAAATATCTTTCTAAAAAACAAAGGTAATAAAAGTCTGAAGGCAAATTTCTTACAAATATCACATGGAATGTATTTCACGCTTTAGTTGAGTTGGTTAACAATGACTTGGATGCACATATAGACATATAGATACATATATATCATATATATGATTAGAGTATGGATAAAATATATGTACGTTGACAGTAATTCAGGGGCTCATCGTTAAAGCTAGCGGCATAGCCTTTATTGTAGTGGTGGTGGTGGTGGTGTAGTCGTCCGGATTTTGCGAGGAGCCCGTTGCTGTGCCCGTTGTGGTATTAGCTACATTACCCAGACCAGTTTCGGTGCGCTTGCGTGACGTTATCTTTTTCCAGCCACGTAGCAGGATTTGATTGCGATACTTGGGCGTGGTGAATGTATAGAGCAGTGGATTGACAGCGGAGTTCAGGGGCAGTATAAAAACCACCAGCCAGGCATAGATATCATCGGAGATATTGTATTTGAAGAACACCCAGATCTTCATGGCTATGATGGGTGCCCAGCATAGTACGTCCGTAAGCACAATGAAAAAGAAACGCACCGCAAACTCGCAGTCCAGCAGCGATAGGGGCGTTGCACTTCGTGTACGCCAGATCGAGATGAGCAGAGCCGTATATAATAATGCAATCATGACCAGTAGCCACAAATTGACGCCCAGAAAGACAAACGCTGAGTACTGCCAGCCCAGCGGATATGCCTCGTGGATGAGCAGTGGAAAACAGGTGCCCGAATGTGTGCCATAAAACTGGGTGCTCGAGTACCAGATGACAACGGGCGTTACAGCCAGACCCACTCCAGTTAGCCAAATGCACAACAGGGAGAAGTAAATGATGCGGACACTGATGCTCCGATGACCACGAAATGGATCCGCAATCAGCAGAAAACGTTCCACAGACATAAAGGCCAGTATTAGCATTGATACCTCCGAGGAGCTAACCGCCAATGTGCCAATTGCCTTGCATTGCCAAGAGTTCAACCACTCACGTGCCACTCTAAAAAAAAACAAATATTACACATAAATGCTTGCAATTATGGGTTCTGAAGTAGTATTTCATAGCGCTTTCGAAAAATTATTTTATTAAAGAATTTTTGTTAATTTTAGTTCATGAAACGAAAAATTAAAAATATATGATAAATTTATTTTTATTGTGGACCGGTTTTCAACAAATATATATTTAAATGTTATAAAACACACAAAAAAATATATTAAAATATTTGTTTAAAAAGAACAAGAAGAGTTGCTTTATAACATCAAATGTAGATAGATTGATTCAATTTTAGAAGCGTAATATATATCAACACAAAACATGCACTAAACACTTACTTATGATACTCATCCCTGTAGCGATAGTCCTGCACGCCAATGATTAACAAATAGAAGCCCATCAACATATCGGCCAGTGCTAGATTTCTGATGACCATTGTGACAGCGACATTCTCATCGCGGTAGATGAAACGACCCCAGAGCACCATCAAATTGCCACCTATGGACAGCGTCGCCATGAGCCAGGTGGAGTAGCGCAGCGAGGGTTTGCTTAATAGATCTTTAAACGAACTGACGCCATCGGTTTTCGGCTTGCACATTAGCACTTGCGGCGTCATGGAGCAGTAGTAGAAACGCTCAAAGACGATGTACTTCAAATTGCGCATCTCGTTGAGGGCCGTGAAATCAATGCGATCGAATTCGATGCCAGTCAGATTCAGAAAGGATACGTTCAGCGATTCCAATAGATTGCGGTCTATGGCCAAGGGCATGTGTGCCAGCGAGCTGTATTTGTAGGAGATTTAAATTTAATTTTACATCAGATTTTTTTACTTAAGCAAACAAAAATAACTCCAATGGCTGGCGCTTAAGTTTAAGTCAAATCTTAACCTTAAAGGGCCAACGTCTTAGCCCATTTATGGCCTAGCAGTGTGCATATATTTTTTATATTATTTATTATTTACTTACAGTGCCTCCAGGTGTGTGTTATACAAAAATGTTGCGCCTGATAATTCCTTAATAGGATTGCCAATGAGGCGGCTGTAAAAAAATAAGTAATGCAAAAAAAGCATGAAAATACAAAAGTGTAAGATTGCGTATACGCCGCATATGCCAAATAATGGGCACATGAGCATGATAAAAGCAAAGAACATTTGACGACGCTTTCAACTGCCAGATTACATATGTGCAGTTATATATATATATATATATATATATATATATATATATATATATATATATATATATATATATATATATATGTGCAGGTCTTTAAAAAGTTTTCTTTCACAACAGCTTTAAAAGTAGCGCACTAAAAAGGCAAGAGCGACAACAAAAATGTGAGCGACATAATAACGAAGATTCTTATTTAATAGTTGTGTGTTTGCCTGTGTGTGTGTGTGTGTGTGTACTTTATATAAATCACTCCACATATATATAGTTTTATAAGGGGTTTCGGGAGAGGCGCGGCGGTGTTTGTAAGTTGGTCAGACACAGGAAAAAGCGCATCATTCATGACAGCTTGCAGACGTCGGAGCTCTGGCTTTGGCTCCAGCTGGGGAATGTCCTTACCTAACTCTTGTGAAATGCAGCAGCTGATGTTGATGCTATTTAGCTCCATTCGTTGCACTTGTCTGGTCAATCAATGCCGGCGTCAACTGAAAACAGTTTGTTTTTATGGCTTGCCGCACAAAGACACTACTACTATTACCACTACCCTCCCCATTCGCTGGCCGATGCCAGGGGACAGGCTACCCCTTGTTTATCCAGTAACTCTCTAGTTGGTAATTGCTAGCCAGCTATAAAGTTGCACTCTGTGCTGGGGGTGGCCTACACTCGTAGCTTAACCATAAACTAAATGTTTTACTTGTAGCATAAATTGCTTTTTGATATGCTGTCGCACTCCACGCGCAGCCCCAACCCTCCTGCGATTAATGCCTCTGCAGCCAATTTATGTAAATTTCAAAGCACTTACTGCCCGAAATATAAGGCAAGGCTTTGTGCGGTTGTCCAGGCATTAAATAGCCTACTTAATAACTGCATTAAATGCCAGAGCAGCTGTTTTGGGCCTCAGACGACAATTAACATATTTCTTAAGCGGGGCAACAAGTTGCCGGTCACAAAAAAGTATGTACCCCAATATAAGAAGCATCAGTAATAATGTCAATTGTTTTTGCTTAGGCAAACGCAAACACACACACGCACACACAGGCACACTCCTACACACACACACACGGATGTATGTAACGCGCTACGCGGTTGCCTGCGCACGAAAGTAGGCAACATAATGCGTCAGTAAAGGGCCCACACGCGCACTTACACCCACAAGCACAGCACTTACACACGACAGTAAACACGCACACACACACACACACAGACATATTTACAAAACATTATGATCGGTCAATGCGCATTTAACAACATGTCAAATAGACGCACATAGTTGTATTAGTGCAATGACACAACACAAATTGTTGTCTAAACTGAGGCAAGCGGCAAACAACGACTGCCTGAATGCTCTTCTTGTTTACTACAAAAAAAATGTATCTTAAGTAATATTTTGGTTGTAATTGTCTAATTTATTCTATATAAGATTATTATAATATAAGAATATTATATTGATAAAACAATATAATATTAATAAAACAAGTATTTTTGATTTTATGCTATTAATTAATTCATTTCGCAGAGCAATTTGCAGTTAACTGCAAAATACATTATTAAAAAATGTATTTAAAAATGTGTAGCTAATTTAAGTTAATAGCAATATTACGGCATACATTTCGAATAAACTAATTAAGGACTTTATCAATTAATATATTGCTATTCGTTCAAGTTGAACTAAATTTCAATCGCAACAACTGCGTGGGGTGAACCTATCTGTTGCCATTTGCCACACACAATTAAATGGCATTAGGCCAATCAGTGGAAATGGCACGTACCGCTCTGAACCCTTTCAAGGAAGTTCCGCACGGGCATTGTTCTGCCTTGGGGGATGCTGACACTACAATTATTGCCCGCAATTAACGTCATTGCACTTAAGCTTATTTTCAGTAAAAATAAAAAACAACAAAAACAAAGAAAAAGACACCCTGTACATTTGCTGGAAGCGAAAAGCGGCTAGGCAAAATGAGCTGTCAGTGCGAATTTGTTTGGAATAGCAAAAATCAAATTAGTGCAGCGATTTTTTATGCCCCAAACTGGTAAAAGTGCGAAGTAATGCTCGGCGGGAGAGCAAGTGTCCAGGTCCAGGCTGGACAACAAGTAAACAACAAGTCAGCAGAAATGTGAGCGGAATTTCAAGGAAGACCCACAGAGACGCAGACAAACATATGTATATACATGTGTGCTGTGTATCTGTGAGATACAAAACGTAGTGCCATAAAAGTCGCATTTGCTTTATGAACTTGACGCTTGTGAAACTGCTTAAAAATTCACAGCACGCTTGCAGGCGCATTATTTGCATGAAAAGTACAGACACACACACAGACTGGGTGTGCCAGAGGGGTTAGCCACATCAACAGGCAAGCAAAGGATTTCACTCACTGCCAAAATTGACTTGAGCGATAATAATGGCCAAGAGACCGAACTCAGCGCCAATTTCAATAAACTCGTTCATTATGAGCATGAAAACTAGAGACTGAACTGGCATCCAGAGGGAGACGGGTCTCTAGTTCATAATGCCTGTCCATCAGCCGAGCTGTGCGCTTCTTTGGCGAAATTGTTTTCGCATAAAATACAAATTTATTTGCATTTTTATTTGGTCATAATACTGTTTGTTTATTTGTTGCTCCTGCTGCTGCTGTTGCTGTTGCTGTTGCTATTGCTGTCGTCGCCTGAAGCCCAGAAGTCAAGGCGCTGACAGACAGCACATTCCATAAGATACAAAGCTACAAAGGCGCAACATACAGATACATTTACTTAAATATATTTTGTATACCAATTTTTGGTCAAGTGACAGGCAAAACATATTTCTCTTCTTGGTTGTCCGTGGGCTTGAGTGTTTTGTGTCTTGGCATTGATATGCTGATGCTGATGTATTCGTTAGTCGGGTTGGTAAATTTATTAACGCCTCAGTCTGATGCCAGACTCGGTTCGATGTTAAACCGGCGACCACATTTATTAAATATGATATTGATATATTTATGTATATGTTTGTGCTGGAGCTTGGGAAAGAAATCGAAATGAATTTAACCCATAAATTGGGCAGCTCTTCACTTGGATGGTGCCTTTAAGATACAATTCTATCCCAAAGTGAATGTGTAGCAAAAATGTAAGTTTTTGAAAAGTCGAAAGAATGTTTATTAACTTAACAAATAAAAATGCTGATTTAAGTAAGCCAAGTTATTCAAGATGCGCTTGTCAGCTCTTTAATTCTTAAAACTAATTAGGAAACTTCGTTGGCTCAAGTACAAATTAACTAAGTAATTTATGTTGTCTGGAATATGAACTTCTGTTCCACTCGCATTGTTGCGCTTAATTAAAGCTCCTAAGATTATTTTAAAATAGCTTTGAACATAAATTTGAAGTGCTTTGAAGCCGTTTAGAAAATATTGATTTAATTAATAGTCTTTTTTTTTTATCAAATTAGTCAATATTAGCAAGCCAAAGGATTTTTTGACGACATGATGCTAATTTCTCGACAAAGCCACATCTTAATTTTAAGCAGATCAGTGCAGTATTCTATATATAAAAATCTTATATTATAAATCGTACTATTTTATTCGAATTGCCACACAACTTTTATACGACTTGGCCATAAAGGTTCGCGTTGCTCTGAGCCAATAATGTATGCAGTAAGTGGCCAAATTCGAAGGCGTGGTCCAAATCATAAAATAGTAAATTGAAAGTGTTTCGATATATGACCAAAGATATAAACTATCAATAGGTCTAAAATCGATTACAGTAGGTATGTTGCCGTCTAAGGAATAAATAAATAATAAATAAACGAAGCATAAAGTTTTGCTTATTTTTTGTGTGTTTCTGTGTAGCCCATGATTATAACTTAAGCTAAACAATGGCTTTTTACTTGGAATTTTTATGGGTTCAACAATTGTCCAGTTCGTGTCTTTGTTGGTACGGTCAATATTATCCATTGCCGAGTTCAGTTACCCAGACCAGGAGAACAATATTTATGTAGATGATTATGTTAATTAGTGCTGAGCCATAATTCATGCTTAGTGTTCGCTTAATATTTAATAGGATTAGCATACATATATATATATATATATAAATATATACTCACATATCTAAAATAGCAGAAAGATTTACAAAGGCTTCCTCATGTATGTGAGTGATAAGGTTGTACCTTAGATCGCTGTGGAAGAAAAAGGAATAAGCTATTTATCGATAAGATAATAATATTATAGAGATTAATATTGATGGGATAATAATGTGATAAAGATAGAATTAGAAGAAAAAATTAAATAAATCAAAAAAAGATTAGATCTGAAAAAAAATAATATAAAACAATTGAATATTGAAGAAAAATGGAATCGGATGCATCAGGAATTTAGGAATTATTTACTTCATTAATGATTTAGTATTGTTTAAAATTGTACACTCATAAACATAGATGTATGCTTATTGCATATCCATATTTTGATGGGCAACAAGCATATTGCAAAGACGCAATGAGTTTTGACTTTGTAGGCGGGGGTGTTGTGGATGGTCGGGAATCTGTTCCGAACACGCATTTATTTACGTGGCGACAATTTGTGATGGTGATTTATTTTCACTTACCAACGCGACGGGTGCCTAGACGACCCATTGACTTATATTGTCAGCTATTGATTCATAAATTAATGATTATGTATGCCCCACGAAGCCAGGCGAAGATGCCTGACAAATGTTTTCAAATTGTCGACTATTAAATATATGAGTGAAATACACACACACACACACACACACACCAAATTTGCATGAGTCGATTTACGTTTAAATGTTTGCTTAGAGCATATGCTATACGTAAACAATTGAAAGTGAAATTTATGTTTATTGGCGCATAAATTCCAGCGTCTAGGTGTCTTATTCCATAACAGGTTCGATATTGTGCCAATGCATATCAACTGGCTTAACGCTGCGTATGCGTAATTTGTTTGAAGTTCGATTCGGTTCTGTTATGTTCCATTTTGCTGACAATGTGATACGCGGCGGGGCTGCCAGCCCAAATGTAACCCATATAAATCTTGAAGGAGCGCCGATGATAGCGCTGCCGAAAACCAAATGAAAGCAAAATGCAGTCAAGAGTAAAAATTACGCATACGCACCATAAAACCTAAGTACAACATATTTCAATAGACTTTTCGACACTTTTTTGGAAGAGTTGAGTGCCAGGGAGAAGGTGGCAGAGAGTTCAGTTGCAGCGTTTAGAATAAAAAGGGAAACCCCAGAAAATCACTAAGGGAAATGGCCAAAATTTAATGAGGCCGCCTCAAGGGAACATCGTCCTTGGGTGTGTTAGCATTGAGGTTAATATATCTACATATATATATATATATAAAAATGTATAGTATTTCCTTCTACTCACAGCAGCTCTAATTTATCCAATTGCGCAAAAGTTTTCTCGCCAATGTATTCGATTCGGTTGTTTTCCAAGTAGCTGTAAAATAAAGTGCACCCGCAATTAAAATAAACAGAAAGTAAATTCAAACTTAAGCTTAGGCTAAGCAAGGCGAACGTGTATAATAAACTTAATTTTAAAATGTTGTACTTAGACGTGAATACTCTTACTCGACATAAAATTAAATATGAAGACTATTTTATTTAGTTTGATTTATTTTACACAGTAATAAAAACTATTCTTTAAGGCAAAAAATATAATTAATAATTTTTCCGGCCTCAAACACTTATAGCTTTAATTACTATTTGGGCTCATTAAAAATAAATCGATGTGTGTCTTAAAAAAAGCATTAGCTATTTTATTTATTTATAAAGTAACCATATCAAAATCCCAGAGTCTGTATCTGCCGGTGTCTTTTTACGCTTCCGCGCCCAATTGATAAATGAAGGTTGTTTAGTTATTCAGTTAGAGGCAACTTAAGCTGAGCCTAAAAAACTGGACAATAAATGGTGCTCGTTAAATGGTACATATATTAAGTTTAAGTCTTTGTAAAGTGCTGCACGTAACGGTTTATGAAATATTTATGTTCCTAGGTACCTATTATACAAAATACTTGTTTTGGTTTGGCTTAGTTGATTATTTCAATACAACCGAACAATTACTTTATTAAGCTCGCTTACTTTTTGGGAAACTTTGCAAAGTGTTTTAAATGGTGCAAAGCTTAAACTGTTATTATGCCATCCATGGCACATTGTAATGGGATATAACTGTTGTCCCCCAACCATTCCAAATATAAACGAACAACACATGCCACACTGCACTTGATGGTCCTCAGTCCCCCAGTTTCCCCCCACAAATCCGAGTGGGTCCAGTCAGTGTCGCAGACGGAGACACAGACGCTGTAAAGCATTTCACGCTTGAATACATCAACTGAACGAGTACCATAAAAAGTGGGTGTGGCATTGGAAGGCGGTCCCTTTTCTTACACAAATATATATCTATATATACACACATATTTTTTTAATCTCACAAATAGCAGCGACATTTAGCCCAATCCCAATCATAGCTGGAACTTTAGTTTACTTACATTTCGACAAGTTTTGGACTTTTGGATAGCTGCTCATCTCGCAGGGTCAGACGATTGTGGCTCAATACTAGCCACTCCAGCTTGTGCATAGATGCCAAGTGCTCCATGGGAAAGTAGCGCAGCTGATTGTTGACCAGGAACAACCACTGCAGCGATGGCAAATCCTTGAGTATGCCATGCGGCAATCGGCTAATATTGTTATGGCTAAGCTCGAAACGTTCCAGATGCGGCAAACCGCTAAGGCTGCCAGGCGGCAAGTGTGATATGTTGTTGTATTTGAGCGTACTACATTTGGAATTTCCCTTGTATAGAATTCTGGTTAAATGGATCAAATCATTACTTACAGCTTCTGCAGTCGCGTTAAATTTGCAAATAGGTTGTCTCGCAGCGTCACATTGTTGCGAATAATGAAAAGATTTGTCACCTCCTCGCTGAGGCGGGGCCAGCGACGCAGCTTGGCCAGTCTGCCACAGTAGAGCATGGTGCCGCGGCACTGGCACTGGCGCGGATATGTGATGATAGCTGATGGGATACGCAAACAGAGATATGGTAAATCGAGTACATAACTATCAACATAACAAATAAAAGTGCAAGTAAAACCAGTAAGCATGCTGTACTCAAGTGAGCTCGACTTTGAGATACCCTGCATCCAGCTCTTAAATATATTATTCTATTTTTATGGTCAAATTTCTGCCTGTCCGGATATTGATCAAATGAAACTTGATCTGCACGTGGTATACAAAACTTATATTCCAAATGTGAAGACTGTCGATGTTATCGGAGATCCACATATTCATTCAGACGGTCGGAACGACGGACAAACATACGTACATGGCTAAATCGATTAAGCTGTTTATTCTGATCAAGAATAAATATAATTTATAGGTTGGAGAAGCTTCCTCCAGCCTGTTACGTACTTTTCCAAAACTCCAATATAGCCTTATAAGAATCTCAAAATATAAAAAACAGGCTAATTTAAATATATAAATGCTCAAAATAGCTTTGCTGAAAATATTTCGTAGCTTGTGAGATACATAAACTAAGATATGCTTAAATGGGATACATAACTGTCAAATAAAAGAGCAAATAACGATCAAAAAATACTACAAAAATAGGTAATTTAAATTTATAAATATATTAAATAAAGTGTTGTTTTTGTAAACAAATAAGAAAACCCTTTTGCCTGTCAGCTTCAAGCTTCGCAGCACCATTACGGTATCTATTCATATTTTATCCAGTTTATAATGGCTGTGATATGTAGGCGAATTTCTAAATATAATTAAACACATACCACAGGGCATGAGCATTGTTTGGATTCCGTTGCCCGCCAGCGATGGCCAATCCCAGGAGCTGGCATTTATGGCAACTATCGTTGGGCGCTGCAGCTGTTGCTGCTGCTTCTTCTTTTCAATCGCATTACGCACAATTTTGTCGGCAAGTTCCTTGCTCCCATAGAGATTGCCACACTCGACCGGATTCTCATCACTGCCATCGGAGCAGTCGAGATGTTTATCGCACATTTGGCGCTGCGGCACGCACTGGATGCCATTATTGCACGCAAAGCTGCCTGTGGGGCAAGGTCCTTGGAAAAAAAACAACAACAATAACAAAATAATTAATAACGCACAGACATACATATTGACCTGAATAGGGCACAACATAAAGTGTTGCAATTTGTTTGTTTAATACGGAAAACTTTTCCCTCATTCCTTGCATCGCACATACGTCACGTTGCCCAAATAGAGGGTTTTATGAGTAATCTCCATGCATGGAGCGGAACTGAAATTGTCTCTTTTTTATTAAGTTCACAAGAGTCCAAGAAATGAGCACATAAAAGAACAAATCAATTAATATTAATGTGCACAAAACTTTGGATTGCTTTTAATTTATTTGACTACAATACTTTTGTTGTCAATCGTATATTTTTGTATCTATTACCATTTCAAATAACACATTTGAAAATTGAACAAATAACAGAATGAATAAGCTGGGATCTCAATTAACATTTCCACAGAGCAAAACTAATTCTGACTTGGCTTATAAACAACTCGAAAACTTTTTGCACACCTATTTGTCATCAAAATTGGCAATTTCATTCACCATTTGTAATTTCGTTGGCTGTTTTGTCTACTTCTCTTTTCAACAACTAACTGGAACAGCTCATCAACAGTTTGATGAGGACATTAAGTACATTTTTCGAACTTACAAATCCAAATTAAATGTCTTGAGTCATTTCCCATTTTATCATTTTTGAATTGATATTCACATCAAATTTTATGACTTGGAAAGAAGCGCTCATAATTTTCTAAATATAAATAGAAAATTATTTAAAAAAAAAAAATATATATATATATATATATATTTAGAATACAATTTACTAATTTAATAAAGAGCCTACATTTTAAATTTTATATATTTATAGTTTTTAGGAGAGTTCTTATGTTAAACAGCTAAATGAATCTGAATCTTTCCAGATTTTAATGCTTCTCAATTGCTTGTAATATTGTACATACAAAAAATAAAAATAAATGTATAATAATAAATATGTATATAACAATAATACTTTATAATGTTGACAAAATGCCCTTCTGCCACTCATATACACTTTCAATACTTTTGTGTACCACTTTGTGTCAATTTACCATCAAAAAAATATTCACATTTAACTTCTAAAAATAATTAAAATGCCTCTTTAAACACAAGCCAAAATTTAAATTTATATACTTCATTCAAATGAACACATTTCAGCTATACAAAATCTCTTAAGTCATTATTTGATTTACATTTCGTCCAAATCTCCCTAATGATGGAATTGCACAATTTAATTAATGACAACAGTCAAATCAAATGATTTTCGCATATTGCGTCATTCCGAATAGTTTTTGGCAAACACAGCTTGTCGGCTGGCATATCCTTGGACTTGCTCTTGAATGAGATCCTGTGTCTGAGGCTCTGGCTGTGCATTAACAACAACACTTTTCATTTCAATTTCATTTAGTGCTGGCAGCTAAGCGCATAAATACAAATCTAGGCGGCTTTTGCTATTTGTTTGGATTTAAGACCTAGTCAGCAGTCAGCACAGAGCAGACAGCAGACATATACTTTAATATAATACGTCCTTAATGACGGTCCTTGTAATACGTCAGACATCACGTTAAGCCGAAAAATGGCATTCATCAAACATTTGTTTGGGCTTGACAAATCAATAGGCAAATTGGTGATGGGCATAAAAAAAAAAAATATATATATATATATATATATATATGTATGTAAAAGATATTTAAGCTGGCAACGCGATGAAAATGTTTTTCCAATAAGACAATATTCAGCACAAAATAATGGCACAACAGGCAGCAGACGCCTCCGAAATAAATGTGCAAAAAATTGCTTCGCTCTCGAAGATAAAGTTTGTGTATTTTGGTTTTTTATGGTCACGATTCTTTTTATACCCTGTTCCCATATTTTATCCTGTTATAGAATAAATTACTTTCAAATACTTTTCAGGCGTATCAATTTACGAGCGCTTGCTGTGCGAAATTTGATTTTTTGTTCGCCAGTTGAGATTGAAGTCCTTGTAATTAATTATGGGATAAAATAAGGTTTTCAAACGCTTGAGAAAGCAATCAGTACGTTTATGATTTTCAGAAAGTCTTAAGCATATTTTTCCAATCTAACATATCAGATAATTAAATTATACAATTTAATATTACTTACCCAAACTTAGATAGAAAATGAGAGCAGATATCAGAATGACAATCAACATAAAGCAGACGCCAACAGCAATGCTGCGTCCATAGACCATTTTGACTTAAATATATGTTATCCTTATCGGTGGGCTTTGATTTGCTGTCTGGTTAATTACTTAACTGCCATTGCATTAGCAGCCACTGGGCGGAGTTCATTATTTGTACTATATTGCTCCCAGCGGGGGCTTGGCCACGCCCATGACGTTTTTACCGAAATGTTTGTCTTGTTTAAAGCTTCATTAGCTGATTTTAAAGAAAAAACAAAAATGTATACGTTGTTTAAGGTTTAACGTAAGCATTTGCACTTGAAAGAGGTGTTTTCAGCTTGTTTAGTTTTAAGATTTATTAGTTTTGTAAGCCAAAATCCCTGAGCCAATTAATGTTTATATCTATTCAGCACTTCTTATCCTATTTTAGCAAATGCTGGGTATTACATTTTATTTTGCCGCTATTAAAACATCTATTAATAGAAATAAACTGAGCAGAAAGATGCTTCACTTCTTATTAAAATCGAAACAAAAAAGCTTTGTTCTACCTGATAGCAATTTTATTATTGACAATAAAATCAAATTTAATTCGAACTTAAGTGTGCTTTCGTATCCATATTTTAAATTCTTGAATTAAACAATTATTTATCTGTCTGTTAAGAAAAATGTGGATTGATAAAGATCATCGAAAATAGGAAAACATTTCACTAATCCGATTCACAGTCAATCAAATACAATTTTCGCACAATTAGACCTTATCTGTTTTTGGTTATTATAATTTCTAGACAATTCTCCGTTTTATGGTTATTTAAATAATCTCATCTAATGAAAAGAGTTGGAGAGCTACTTTGGGATGAACTGAGGCTAAAGAATAAAAATACTATTGGAGAACTTAGTCGAAGATAACGTTGTTATTAAATTTTAAATTAAACTTTCTGATTGCAAATTAATTACGGAGAGCTGAGGATTGTCAATATTTATCTGCATCTAATCTGTTGATTAGTTTTATTTAAGTAAAATGGAAATAAGATGACAATGGCCTGCGGGGAGATCATAATTTCCGCAAAAGGTCGTCGCCGTCGAAAACGCATTGTGGGAAAATGTATGCCCAAATGTTTGCTCATTATCTCAATCATCCCAATTGAACAGCATTTGGTGTGGAATTGTCGTAAAAACCTAACATTCTCTTTATGTTGTTGTGCTTTTCTTTTTCTTATTATTATTATCTTCTTCTCTGTGTTGTTGTTGTTGTTCGTTTTCTTTATGTTATTTGTTGTTTGTGGTCACTTAATGCTCTTGACCAGGCTAAAACGCACATTTCAAGATTGTGTCAACGCGATAAGAACCGAAATACGAGAGGGTCCCTGCCAGGCGACAATTCAATTGGGCGGCAAATAATTTCGCCGGCAAAGAAGCGTCTTCCTCAACACACACCTACAAAAAGTATGCAGTGCAAGCCGACGGAGCGTTTTAAAACGCACGCAAAACGCGCGCGCTGCTGGAAGACGCGAGTAGCTGACAATGACAGTGACAATGTCAAGACAAGACAAAAACCGAACTAAACAAGTCCATGCACAGCTGCCAACTGAAACAGACAAGAGCAATTGTTGCTGATTTTGTTTAGCTTCTGCTGCTGCTGCTGCAGCGAAGTCCTTGCTTCGTGTCCTATTCGGCCTTGGCTGACCGTCGCGGCGCATTCGTATTGTGACAAGAACTTTGGCATTAGCAGTTGCTGGACCACCAATTTTCAATCGGAATGAGACAATGTCGTTCCTCAGACCAAATTCACTCAACGTTCACAATTTAAATAGCACTTGGCTTAATCTCTTCCCTTAGCTTTCAATTTAATATCAAAAATTCTCATTGCATACGAATTTTTGGATTTATTGGCGAGTAGAGAGTAACATTACAAACTTATTGTTCCAAAATATATCTCTTTAGTTAAGAGATCATCTTCGCCCTTGTTTTCCTATTTGTTATTTAAAAGTCATTTAATAATTTTCAAAATTTTTAAAGAGAACAAATAAAATGATAAAAAAGTGTTTTATTTATTAGCTAATAGTAATAATGCAATTAGAATTTGTTCTAAAAATTTGTGTCTTTAGTTAATTAATAGTTGATATACCTATTATATAAAAAACATATAGTATGTATATTGCTGTTGCATAGCCCTAAGAAACAAATTGGTTTGGCTAACCGTTGCGTTGGAATCATTAAATAGTATTACTAAAAAAAATTCAATGCATTTTGCAATAATAGCTACAAAATATGTATAAAGTACTAATTGTTTAACACACTTTGCAATTTTAGACTAATTTTAAGCGTTTTCTAAACACTTTCCAAGTGGAAACAGTTTTCAACAAAGCAATTGCTAATTTGTTTATGTTTTTGTTTTACTAAACCTGCGCTAACTGCTAAGTACATATTATAATTATAATGGAATGGGTTATAAATCACTAACAGCACAACTTAAGTGTATTATAAAAAGGCGTTTACAGTTTCGTTAGATACAATTATTGCAACAATTTACGTTTTCTAATGGCGCATGGTGAATGGTAGAAAATAATATGTATATTTTATAGACTAGCAACAAAAAATGTTATAATATTTAGGTTAAATAAAATCAGTAGATATAGCACAATAGATATAAGTACATTTAAATTATAAACAAATTTGTGGGCAGGTGATAATGTTTCGTTTGAGAACTAGTAAACAAATTCAACTAGTTTTATAAATCTAGCATAATTTTGTGCACTAATAAGTTAATATTGTGTGTGGTATGTGGGTTCGTGTCTAAAAATTTGTAACAATTAACATTGCTTAAAGAGATCCATTAGATATTTGTTGTAAGAAGAAAAGATGCATAAGTTTTATCGTTGTAAATTTGTGTGTTTTTCCAAATATGTGATATAGTGTATATAGCCGCGCTGCTTTATGCATACAAGATATGTAAATCATTTCCTCGTCTTTTTGTTCCCCCAAGTTGCTTGAGTGTAGAAAAATATTTCGTTGCTTTTTTTTGTTTTTGTAAAGATGCTATCTTAGACCCAAACGCCGTGTGGATTCTTGCTGGTGGGCACCGCCGTCTCCAGCTGACGTGGTGATCCAATGATGCGACGACTGCTGCCCTGTTTATTGGGTCCCTCCAGCAGATGTTTAATTTCCTCGGTGGTGGTTACGGTCAGACTTTGTAGATTCACCTCCTTCATCTCGTTGACCAGCTGCTCCACTTGACGCTTCTTCTCCGCAATCGCATGCTCAATCATCAGCAGCTCCTTTTTAAGGTTATCTGCCGTTTTATTGGATGTGTCTGTGTTATGTAGGGCCTGATCAATATCGCTTTGTATGCGTTCCATTTCCATGAGGAAGTCACGCTCCACTGTTTGTCTAAATGCAAATATAAATTGTTATTTGAATACATTTATATTTTATTTTAATAGCTCACCTATTGTTCTGTTGCTGCTGCTCCAGCTCAATATCATCCATGAGCAAACGCATTTTGTTCTTACACTGCAGCAACTCTGTCTCGCAGTTGGCCAACTTGGAGCGCAGCAGCGCAATTTCCGACTTGAGTGTCTTCTCCTGCTGTTTGACCAGCTCGTTTTCCTCCTCCACATATTGCAGCGTTTGCAGCTGTTCACTGCCTTGCCGAAAGATTTGATCGGCCTTGGAAATTTCACGGGAAATGGCCTCCAATTCGTGCGCATGATCTCGCTCCCTGCTCTCAAGATAAACTATTTCCGAATCGAACTGTAAATAATAAAATTGTTGATTAATAAAACAATCCACAGTAGTTCACACTTTCGAGAACAGTTTCTTAAATATGTTGATTGTCTAATTGCTGTTAAAATGATCAGGATATGCGTTTAGCTTTCAAGTTGGCTTCTTTAATAAATCAAATCTGAATTCTTGACTGCGAGCATTTTTTCAATTTGAGTGAAAAGATAATTATAACTACTTTGTATACTTAGAAGTACAATTAGTAATTACCTTTTGCAGCTCCAACTGTTGTGCGGTAATCTTCTCGCGCTGAAACTTGATTAGCTGCAACAGATCATTGTATTGCGTGGCCTGGAACATGCTGTCGCCCTCATCCATGCACTGATTGCCACTCTGATTGTTGTTATTGTTAATGTTAATGTTGTGTTGCTCGTACTCGCTGAGAAATGGATTCGTTGAGGAAGATGCATTTGATATGGTTTCGGCATTGCTGTTGCTGGGTGGAAAGCGAGGTGTCTGGCACATGGGACTGTTGCGTGGCGGTGGCGGATCACGATACGGCGGCGGCACCAATGCACCATTTGATGAAATCGTTGGTGTCTGTTTGTAGAGCTCAGGCGAGTTGTTGTTGTTGATATTGTTGCTAATGTTACTATTGGCATAAATGTCGCACAAGTGCTCACTGCTGCTATGGCTATTGCTATTGTTGTTAGTGTTGCTGTTGTTATTGCTGTTGTTGTTGTTGTAGCACAATTCATTGGGACTGGAACGTCGCAGTTCATTGCTGGATTTGCTCAGCTGACTGTAAATATGTTGATTGCCATTGTTGCTGCTGCTGTTGTTGTTGTATAAATCGTTGTAATCATTTAAAGCTGGCACGTTGCAGTTGGCACTGCTGCCGCTGCTGCTCATGTCCAGTGGATTTGACAGCGATTTCTCATGCTTGGGCACCAATGGAGTCGTTTTGCTTGACGGCGGCAACTGTTGCTGAGGTGGATGTTGTTGTTGCTGCTGCTGTTGTTGTTGTTGTTGTTGTGGTATACCTTTGACTATGCCAATATTGTCGAATTGCTTAGCATCGTAGCCGCTGTAAATGTGAGATACTTTTTATTATTAAAGTTGTGGACTATTAAAATATAGGCAGAAAATAGTTTACAACACACGAGCTTGGCCAACTTTAATGGACACTAAACATAATTTTGCTGAATTTTTTATTTTTTTGGCAAACTTTACAACTCTTTTAGTCATAATATAATCCTTCTATTTATTAATTAAACCAGATTGCGAGTCTAACAATTTGTAACTTTCAATGAATATTTTGCTAATGAGTTTTAAGAATAAATGAAACTAATTTGGCAGAACCCGATTCAATCTTATAGCCTCAATTAATTCTACGCACCCAAAACTTTTTTTTAGCTCTTTTGTCCGATAGCTGAGCTCCACGCTGGACTTTTGTTTTTGCAATGTGGGCGCTGTCGTCAATTTTGTATCATTGACATTGTTGTTGTTGTTGTTGCTGGGGCCCAGTGGCTTTTTTATTGTTGTTGTTGTCGTTGTCATTACTGCATATTTGTTATTATTATTGGGCTGCTGTTGTTGTTGTTGTTGCTGCTGCTGTTGTGGCTGTGGCTGAGTCTGGGTCTGCTGCTTGTTTTCGGATCGTTGCAATATAAACTGCACGTCATTTGCATACTCGCCCCATTTGAGCAGCAGCTTCATGGGATTCTCATTTGGGGCGAGGTGCCGCTCATTATTACGCCAGCGTTCGATGAGCGTAAAGCGACCCACTTTGCCCGTTGCATGGGCCAAGGCGAAAACCACATCCTGTCGAAGAAAATGCGCACACATAAAAGTCATAAATAAAATCATATTTTGTTTGTCTGTACAGTAATTGCTCGTTACTTCTCGAACCAAAACTCGAGACTACACATTTAAAAAGATTTATTACAAAATAAAAGTTTCTAGAAACAAATAAGACATTCTTACAAGCATATTTGATAGATTTTTGTCAAATAAGAAGCATACTCTTGCAAACCGTGATTCATCGAATGCATTCAATATTGGGGAGTTCTAGTTAGCGAGCAATCACTGTATTTACTCATCAAAAATCAATAGAATATTATTACGCACCTGGCAAGTTGTATTTACCGTCACGCCGCACACAATACGCTGTATGCCCTCAACCCAAACTTTGAGTTCCATATTTTGTTTGTCGTTGTTGTTCCAAATGAATTAATTATAGGGATTTCGATTTACATGTGCTGTTCTTGCTGATGTTGTTGTTGCTGCTACGGCTGGCAGAAAATTGCTACTAAAATGGGGGCTAATGATTTCAAGCTTGAAATGCTGTCGCGAGGGCAGCGAAGCGTGCAACTTGTTATTGTGGCTGTTGGTGCAGCGCCATGGCAAGACTGATGTGGCTGTTGTTGTTGTTGCTCTTGCTGCAACACCAAATTGGGGGTGGAGCTGCACTTCCACTTTTGCTTCTCGTTGTCGTTGTCGTTCTCGTTGTTGTCGCTTGTTACTTCCCTTTCTTTCTTGCGTTGTTTGCAGCTATTTTCCCCAATTGCTTCTGTTGGCCGTTTGTTTGTGGCCGTCGCTGCTGCTGCTGCTTCACTTGCACTTATTTCTGGTTTCGGAGCGAGCGGGTGCAGCGGATTGCAGGTGGAATGGTACGTGTGCGCCACTTTGTGCATACATTTATGTGTGTTGATGTGTGTATGTGTGAGTGCGTGTGTTCTGATTCACTTTTTGTTTGTTTTCGCTTTATTAATACTGAATTCTTCTCGCACGCATTGTTGTGGCCTATGTGCACGTACACTTTTTATACATTTTGTTCGTGTTTTGCACGCGCGTATTGTATGATTTCTGGGTTTTTAAAGCAAAAAACAAATGCACAATGCGCGCATTGTTGTTGGCATGCACTTGTACTCGATACCCGTGAAGGGGCTGCATTGCTATCAATATCACGGATTACACTTGTCTTAAATTCGATTAATGTAGTTATCGTTTGTTGCAGCCCTGAGCAAGAGGCGCCAAATCAAATTTAATGAGTTCATTGAGTACCATTCTAAGCAACAATACTCTCAATATTAAATGAAGTTACCTTAACTCTTTGATTGCATACTCTATAGTAGTAAAATATATTGAAACGATTAAATTTTATAATAATTAAGTGAACCAATCGAAATATCGCTTGGTCATTATTTTTTCACAATCTTGTGCACACACTTTTTCCACCCACCGCGTCTATCGATACTAAGAGTTGTCGACTTGTGCAATATATCGATAGAATATCAACAATCCTATTCGCGAGTTGAACGAAAACAATTGCAAGTAGCGCAGCAGGCAGCGCAGCACTTACGATAAAAATTAGTTCTGCATAATATATATTGATTTTAGTGCATTAACAAATAATTAAATACTGGGCAATTGTACTGTGCGTACGGGGCCAACGTTAACAATTGTTGCTCCCCCCAGGGCCAAGTGTTTCCACATCGCTTGTGCTTGCTTGCTCGTGTGTGTGTGTGTGCAAAAGTGTGTGTGGAGCAGCAGCAGCAAAAAAATGGCCAGTGAATGTTTTACAGCTGCATAAACATGAACTCGAGTTAGGCCAACTAGATTTAGCATCTGTTTGAGCTGCACCCCTATGTATATAGTTAAAAAAGAAACATTTATATTTAACTCGTATTGTTTTTCGGGGCGCGGCGCCCAGCTGCTGCTCGAGTGTTGGCTGTGCGTGTAAACAAAACAAAAAGCAAGAATTGGAGCACTAATAACAACAACAACAAAAAAGCAACAACAACCACTTAGCACAATGGCCAGTCGGAGTCGGACTATATTAAATGTTAATCTCGATACGGTCATGGCCAACGATCCGTTGCGTGAGCTGTTCGAGGCCTGCAAAACAGGTGAAATAGCCAAAGTGAAGAAGCTGATAACGCCACAAACGGTTAATGCTCGTGACACAGCTGGACGCAAATCGACGCCATTGCATTTTGCAGCGGGTGAGTAACAAACAAATAATTAGCAATTCCTTTTCTTGCAGCCTCCGCTGTCGCTTGTCGTTTGTCGCTTGTATCTCTCTCTCTCTCTCTCTTAGAAAAGGTTGAAGGACACGCGTTGGCATGCAACTAACAGCTAGCCCACAAAAAAATAAAATAAGAAAACCCCCCAACTCACACACAACACACACTGAGACGAGCGCACGCATGCAATCGCTGCTGCTGTTTTGGCCTTGATCCACTTTTGGCGCTGTGACGAGCGTCATTGTTGGCTGGCTAAAAGTCGGCACTCGCCACGACACGAGGGTCGGTCGCCTCGCCTCACGACCCCTCTCTTAATTCATCCCCCCTACATACATACATACGAAACGAGCCCCGCTCAGAATTGACCTAGTTTTCTGCTTGGTTTCGTTTCGTTTCCGGAATCCTCGGCAACCCACTCCAATGTTTTAGCTATGTGTTGCATTTCCACACACAACATGTATTCTATTTTCGCAAAAAAATAAAATAAAATAAAAATAATGAAAACGTCAGCCTGCTGGTCAGCATCCTGCTGACGTCTTTGTGGTCCACAAAACGGCCCAAGATTCAAATCATCCCAAATACTTATAATTTTAATTTTAACTTCCCTTAAGAAAATATCAAATTAATAATTATGCACTAATTTCTATGGAATAAATATTAAATTTAATAATAATTTATTATGGTTTTGCTAATTAAATGTTCTCATTTAACTATTAAATATTATAACAAATGATTTCGGATTCATTGATGCGCAATGATGACCCGTGGAAATTTCTGGATTCGCGTACGAATTTTAGTTTTAATCACAATCTCTGGAAAATTCTTAGTGTGCATCTTTTTTGTCTTGGCCTTGTGTAAACCATGCAACACAGAAAGCCCACAATTGTCGACGAGACATAGAATGCGTTTCTGCGACAGGGCACTCATAAACTGAAACTACAAATTTCACTTTTTGCTCGGCTGCTTCTTGGCAAGCGGTTGCTGTCACGCCCAAGCGCACGCAGCTCGCCCCCAACTCCTTAACTAATTAAAAATAAAATAACTTTTGGCTGCCTCCGCAGCTGGACGGGAGGGGTGTGTGCACATGAGGCGTGTGTGGCTTGGGCGTACCTGTGAGTTTCACGCCCTATGCATATCAATTTTGCTGTGGTTTCTTAAATGCTCTTAGTGTGGCTATTTTAGTTTTGTCAAGCAATGTGTCTCGGCTAATGTGTTCTAAAAAACATATCTAACATATATATATATATATATAAACACATAACATTTATTGTATGCATAAGTGCATTATCAGAATATCACATATTATTATTCTCTATGCTTTTATTAAAGAGTATTTGAGCTTCAGCACAACGAATTTAACGGTACTTCTTTGTCTATGATTCATGCGCAGTTTTTATTATTATTTTTTTTTTTGGTTTTCATTTATGTCTTGCTGGTATTTTATTTTTAACTGTTAACTGTTTTGACTGTCTCTCTAAACTGGTTTGCCATCCATTTTTTGTTGTTATGTTGTTGTGGTTGTCTCGTCTTTTGTCACGTTCTGAAGAAATAAAAAAAAGTGAGATCTCCAATGTGGTCTCCAGTTATGTAGCTATTGTTGTTGCCATTGTCAAAGTTTTCACCTTGTTGCGAGAATTGTTTAAGGTCTAAGCGAACTAGTTGCCCCACCCCTTCGCACCACTGCCCTGCACCACTCTTCACCTGTTGCGAATTGCAACACATTTCTATAAATAACAACGCACCCCTCGATGAACTTCACACAAGTGTACATTGATTTGCCTATATCCGATTCGGTGTTATCTTTGGCGCAGCTTTTTCTTATTTATACAGCTGATAAGAAACTCGATACTTATAGCCGATGACACGTATCCGCTGATAAAGTCGCCAAAGTTACTGACTAGAGCTTCTAGCCGTGTCTCTATAAACAGTGAGATTTATAACATTTTTTTGTTATTATTTAATTAACAATTATTTGACTAATTAACCTTCAGCTGTGTTATTAGTTTAATCTCAAGGAGCTTGCTTTATGACTATAATAAAAATAATATAACAATAATAAATTGAAGCAAAAACTACGTTGCACATTCCATTGCCCAACACACACAGCAATAATTAATATAATTTTCCATTCTATTAATTTTCCACGCAACTTTCGTAATGGTTTGGCAAAACACAAAAAAAAGTGAATGGTTAACGAATATTTCGCAAAGACTTTGGAGGGAAGGCTCCGCTTGAACTCAGTTTCGTTGCACTTCTCAGTGGTATTATTAATTGATCTGCTATTATTAGTTATTTATATATCTAAGAGATTATTCATTAATTATTTTTATTTTTGCTTGTTATCAAATTTGAATTGAGAAACTCTTTTGTTATAGATTTCATTAATTATCTTAATATATTCCGCATTGTCTTCCTGGTTGTAAACACAATTATTATGAATGTGCTTTCAACAATAACTGAAAACTGCTTTAATTATTGCTTATATTTTAATGTGGGGCACCTTATTTAAATGTTTTACGATGGTGAAGACCCCTATTGTTAAAATCAAGATGTTTCGGCTTGAAAAAAGCCATTTGGCAGCTGAATCTGACTATTTTTCATTTAAAATCGCTCTGTTTATGAAGCAATTAAAAAGAGACAACTTTTTTAGCTTAAAAAAAATTGCGATAACATTTGAAACAACTGATTAATGCTTAATCTATCAGACGTGATTCATTTTTGTCTTTTATTCTGAAGTGTTACTTTACATTTTTAACAATTCTAAGAATCTTATACATACTAGTTGTTATCAAAATTGTCGCATATTATATACATGGCTTATATGCTCGCTTATAGGTTAAACAAAAGTTATATAAAGATTAGATTACCAATTCAAAAAGAATAAATAAATAAGCATTAAAATATATTCGTTGAAGTTGAAATGTTTCCATCAATCAAATAAGATACAATGTCAATATTTTGAGAAACTGTTTAGTTATCTAGCTGTAGTCCATATCTTTATTTCTTTATATCAAATATATATGAATATGTACATACATGTATCTCTAAAGACTATACATAATATTGTCAATATTTTCTTAGCCAATTTAACCAGCCCTTTTGTCAGCCATTCGGCCAATCATGCTAGAGTTGTTAACCGGTTTAAATAGGAAGTGATAATAGATATGGTCCGGAGGTGGGGGCTTGTGTGTGTTGACAGCTTTCTTTATTTGTTTGCTGAATTCTTTATTTGTGACTGTGTTTGCTATACAGCTTGCTGTTGTCCAAACAATAACGTGGAGCAAGATTTGTGATGGCCGCAAGGTTGACTTGAATCTACAATTCCAATGAAGAATAGCAATGGCAAAGTGTCGACTGCCGGAAATTTGTGGGCTCGAAGGCCTCGCCCAAATCCCCCATTGCATAAAAAACAAAAAAAATAAGAACAAAAATAAAATGAATACCAAGAACCGTCAGTTAACCGTGTGAGCCACTTTTAGGGCTTGCTGCCATGTCATGATTAGCATTGAGTCTAATATTCTATTTTGTTCTTCTTATTTCCTCTTTTGCAGGCTATGGCCGCCGTGAGGTTGTTGAGTATCTGCTGAACAGCGGCGCCTCCATTCAGGCCTGCGATGAGGGTGGCCTGCATCCGCTGCACAACTGCTGCTCATTTGGACATGCGGAGGTTGTGCGTCTGCTGCTCAAAGCCGGCGCCAGTCCGAATACCACGGACAACTGGAACTACACGCCGTTGCATGAGGCGGCCAGCAAGGGGAAAGTGGATGTATGTTTGGCGCTGTTGCAACATGGTGCCAATCACACCATACGCAACTCGGAGCAGAAGACACCACTCGAGCTGGCGGATGATGCAACGCGTCCGGTTCTGACCGGCGAATATCGCAAGGATGAGCTACTCGAGGCGGCCCGTTCCGGTGCCGAGGATCGTCTGCTTGCGCTGCTCACGCCCTTGAATGTCAATTGCCATGCGAGCGATGGACGCCGATCGACGCCGCTACATCTTGCTGCTGGTTACAATCGCATTGGCATTGTCGAGATCCTGTTGGCCAACGGCGCCGATGTGCATGCCAAGGATAAGGGCGGCCTGGTGCCGCTGCACAATGCCTGCTCCTATGGTCATTTCGATGTGACCAAACTGTTGATTCAGGCGGGCGCCAATGTCAATGCCAACGATCTGTGGGCTTTCACGCCGCTCCACGAGGCTGCCTCCAAGAGTCGCGTCGAGGTTTGCAGCCTGCTGCTGAGTCGCGGCGCCGACCCAACGCTCCTTAACTGCCACAATAAGTCGGCTATCGATGCTGCACCCACGCGGGAGCTACGCGACCGCATTGCCTGTAAGATCCCATGATCATTATCGTTATATATCTGTTCATTTTGTAATCGTTTCTTTTCTTTCTGCAGTTGAGTACAAGGGACACTGTCTGATGGACGCGTGCCGCAAGTGCGATCTGTCGCGTGTCAAGAAACTCGTCTGTGCCGAAATTGTGAACTTCGTGCATCCGTACACGGGGGATACGCCACTGCATTTGGCTGTCGTCAATCAGGATGCGAAACGCAAGCAGCTGGTGGAGCTGCTCACACGCAAAGGATCTCTGCTGAATGAGAAGAACAAGGCGTTCCTTACGCCGCTGCATCTGGCTGCCGAGCTGTTGCACTACGATGCGTTGGAGGTGCTGCTCAAGCAGGGCGCCAAGGTGAACGCCTTGGATAGCATCGGCCAGACGGCGTTGCATCGTTGCGCCCGTGATGAGCAGGCGGTCAGATTGCTGCTCTCCTATGCGGTGGACAGCAGCATTGTGTCGCTGGAGGGTCTGACTGCCGCCCAGCTCGCTTCGGATAGTGTGCTGAAGCTGTTGAAAAATCCGCCAGATAGCGAGACACATCTGCTGGAGGCAGCCAAGGCTGGTGATTTGGATGCAGTACGTCGCATAGTGCTAAATAATCCGCACACGGTGAACTGTAGGGATTTGGATGGACGCCACTCGACACCGCTGCATTTCGCAGCCGGTTTCAATCGTGTGCCTGTCGTGCAATTTCTGCTGGAGCATGGCGCCGAGGTCTATGCAGCGGACAAGGGCGGCTTGGTGCCGTTGCACAATGCCTGCTCCTATGGACACTACGAGGTCACCGAGCTGCTCGTCAAGCATGGCGCCAATGTTAATGTCTCCGATCTGTGGAAATTTACGCCGCTGCACGAGGCCGCCGCCAAAGGCAAATATGATATATGCAAGCTGCTGCTCAAGCACGGTGCTGATCCCATGAAAAAGAATCGTGATGGCGCCACGCCCGCCGATCTGGTCAAGGACTCTGATCACGATGTCGCCGAACTGCTGCGCGGTCCTTCAGCTCTGCTCGATGCCGCCAAGAAGGGCAATCTGGCAAGGGTGCAGCGTCTGGTGACGCCAGAAACGATCAACTGCCGGGACTTGAACGGACGCAACTCGACACCGCTGCATCTCGCTGCTGGCTATAATAATTTCGAGTGTGCCGAGTACTTGCTGGAGCATGGCGCCGATGTGAATGCCCAGGATAAGGGCGGACTCATACCACTGCACAATGCCAGCTCTTATGGTCATCTGGATATTGCTGCGCTGCTGATCAAGCACAAGACGGTGGTCAATGCCACAGATAAATGGGGCTTTACCCCGCTGCACGAGGCTGCCCAAAAGGGGCGGACGCAACTGTGCTCCTTGCTTCTGGCCCACGGTGCTGATGCCTATATGAAAAATCAGGAGATCCAGACACCCATTGAACTGGCCACAGCGGATGATGTGAAGTGTCTGCTGCAGGATGCCATGGCCACGTCGCTCAGTCAGCATGCGCTAAGCGCATCGACGCAATCCCTAGCTGCAGCCGGATGCTCTCCAGCACCAGAGGCTGCCTGCAGTGGAGTAGCTGCCGCACAAGCAGCACAACCATCAACCTCAGCAGCAGCAGCAGCAGGAGGAGCAGGAGCAGCAGCAGCGTCAACTGCTTCCGCTGCACTGTTGTCGCCCACCACGGAGACGGTGCTGCTGCCATCGGGCGCTTCTATGACGCTTAGCGTGCCGGTGGCATTGCCCATTAATAGCTGCAACACACGCATGAGTCCCGCCCAGGGTGCCGAGGCAAATGGGACTGAGAACACGGGCAGTGAGGAACTGCTGCAAGATCCGGAGTCCATAACAAATGTCTCCGGTTTCTTGAGCAGCCAGCAGTTGCATCATCTGATCGAGCTATTTGAGCGCGAGCAAATCACCCTCGACATTCTCGCTGAGATGGGCCATGATGATCTCAAGCAGGTGGGCGTGTCCGCCTACGGTTTTCGACACAAGATTCTCAAGGGCATTGCCCAGCTGAGAGCCACCACGGGTGAGTCCCGAAACAAATTGTAACGTAAAGAAAAACTAAACAAATTTTGTATTTCCAATTCCAGGCATTGGCAACAATGTGAATCTATGCACACTGCTGGTGGATCTGCTGCAGGATGACAAGGAATTCATAGCCGTTGAGGAGGAGATGCAGGCCACCATACGCGAGCATCGCGATAATGGCCAGTCGGGTGGCTACTTCACACGCTACAACGTAGTGCGGGTGAGTGCCGAACAATCAAATCATGTCCAGCTGGCAGTAACTAAATATGTGATTTTTCTGCCAGGTACAAAAGGTGCAGAATCGGAAATTGTGGGAGCGTTATGCGCATCGCCGTCAGGAGATTGCCGAGGAGAACTTTTTACAGTCAAATGAGCGTATGCTCTTCCACGGCAGTCCCTTCATCAATGCGATTGTGCAGCGTGGATTTGATGAGCGACACGCCTACATTGGCGGCATGTTCGGTGCGGGCATTTATTTTGCGGAGCACAGCTCCAAGAGCAATCAGTATGTCTATGGCATTGGCGGTGGCATTGGCTGTCCATCGCACAAGGACAAATCCTGCTATGTATGCCCCAGGTATGATTTGAACAAATACAATCTGAGAATAGAAAATCGCAGTTACTTCTAATGGTATCTTATATATCAAATTAATAACATTACACATATTTGCAAATAATAACATAATACTAATTAAACTATTTGGATTAGGCAATTGCTGCTGTGCCGCGTTGCGCTGGGCAAATCATTTTTGCAGTATAGCGCGATGAAGATGGCCCATGCCCCGCCTGGCCATCACTCGGTGATCGGACGTCCCTCGGCGGGCGGCCTGCACTTTGCTGAATATGTTGTCTATCGGGGTGAACAGGTGAGCAGACTAATCAGATTATTATTATAATGGTGCTAATGGTTGTTGCTTGCAGTCTTATCCAGAGTACTTGATAACCTACCAAATCGTCAAGCCCGATGATAATAACAGCGGCACGGAGGAAACAAGATGATGGATGCCTTCGGTTGGCTCGACGCCCACAACAACATCGCCGGCACCGCAACCACAGCAACCACAACCGACCTCAGCGCCAGCAGCAGTTGCAGCTATAGCTGCTGCTGCAGCTCCAGCTACAGCTGTTGTTGCCACAGTAACTGTTACAGCCACAGCTCCAGTTGCCAAGCGGCGTTCTCGGCACGCCAAGCAGCCAACATTGCCACATCTGCCGCTGCAGTTGCAGTATCAGCATTATCAGCCGCAGCAGCTGGCGACGCATCCAGTGACGACGACGCAGCCAACACTAGCGGGTGTCTTTCACAACACGCACAACAACAACACCAACAATCATCGTTATAGCAATAATAACAACAACAGCAGCAACAGCAACAACAGCAATAATAACAACAATGATATGTCGCCCATATCGAATAGTAATAGCTATTCATCGGTGGACACAAATCAAACGCTACTCAACTCCATTGCCAATCAGCGCGGCAGCAGCAATCAACAACAACAACACCAACAGCAGCAAAAACGTCAGCCACATAGCCGCAGTCGAAAATATAGTCAATTTATGATCGTCACGCCCGCCGTCTCCATCGATCGCGATTTTGAATACGAATCGCATTTGGATTTCGAGGACTTTGCCAATGCAGCGCACAACAATGGCAATCTATTCCGGCTTGGACTGCGCCGTAACGATAGCAGCAGCGATGACAGCGGACACAGTAGCGACAGCAGCTTTCGCTCCAATTACAATCCCTATTTGCATCACAGCCGCCAACATTTGCTCGCCAAGAAGAGCAATAATAACTCTGGAGGCGGCGGTGGCGGCAACAGTGCTCGCAATTTTTATGCATTCTCCTCCACCTCGTGGCGCTGGTGTACGTTGCTGTGTGCGGCGATGCGTTGCTTTGGAGCCGGACACGGCAATCAGGCGCCATACAGCAGCTCCTTTGTGCAGCATCATCGTTTGCGTCGCTGTTCGTCGTACAATGCGGAGACCGCATATGATTATGAGCATTTTGCGGCGCCATTTAAGGCGCGTAAGACACGCGATCATATGAATAATATTACATACGAGTTGTGACGGTGGCCGCTGCCAAAATCCGTACAGCATTTTGATCTCTTTGTCGCCGTTGTATTTGTTGTTGGTCTACTCCTAAAACTTCAGCTCCTTATTAGACTTTTATTACAATTATTAGCTATAAATGTCGTGTACTGTGTGTCGTCGTCGTCGTTGATTCTAGCTATAAATCGATCGTCAAATCAAAAAAGAGCAGCACATTTTTTGAGTGATTTTAATTCGAACTTACGAGTAATATTAATAAATATTTAAAACTAACGATTATATGAAAAATGTATAAATATGAGTATGCATAATGCACGCGTGTTTACTTAAGTGTTTAAAATTAGCTAATTAATTTAAAAATGACAACAATTCAAACTCCAATTAAATTTAAATATACATAATACATATACAAATAAAACATTGACTTTTAATTAAATGCATAATTTTTAAAAGACGTGCGCACTTTGTGCATAGCAGTCAGCTTTTCTCCTGCTCATACTCGCAAGTTGGCCCCAGAGTGTGGGCTCCTCAAGCGAATGCTCAGCGTTATAGCACTCACAAATGGTGCCGCTGCTGTTGGCGTAATTTGCAACTGTCAAACCGCTTTCAAGTTTAAGTGCGCCTACAAAAATTTAAATTTCAGCGACAGCCGTTTTAAGAGTAATGATGATGAATGCTAAAATACGCAAAATATCTTTGTTTTCGCCACGCACACGGCACACATAATCACATTTCACTGTCAAAATGCAGCACTTAACGTTGCCACAGTCTGTTGCGGTTTTTGGACTCCATTTTTTGACTTCTTCTCCGTTCCTTTTAGTTTATTCTTTTTTTTTGGCAACATTTGCAAGTAATGATTAAATTATATAATTATAGGTTGGCGAAGATGAGAGGCCGTCGGTAACACGAATAAGCCAAGTGGCACCACCTTTTGGGGCAGCTGCAGGGAAAGCGATGCTTTTTTTGCTGTTGTTGTTTGTTGTTTGCGACACTCACTGCAGGCCGGGACTAGTGCAATTTGTATTTTCACATAACAACAAATAAGCACCAGGCACGACCTACATCAGGTGACGTTTTAATGTTGCACCACATCACTTACACACACACACACGCAGATAGAGAGAGAGACTCGGACAAACATTCCCATTGAAATATCAATAAGCCAAGAGCAGCCAAAGTCGTCGTCTTGGCCTAAGCACCGTCATTACCGGCTGTCTATTGCGTGGCTGTAATTTAATTAAAATATAGACGCATTTATAATCGAGTGCAGGAAATGCGCTTGCAGCACCAACAGTGGTGTCTCTCTCCTCACTCCTCCTCTAGCAAGTGTGTGGCAAGCAATTACCATTTGTCCAATTCACAGTAGCCTTTGCAATCAATTAACAAATGTCGTTTGTATGCAGCAGCAAGAACATTGTGAACACGCCCCAAACTATGGTTTCCGCATCTGGGTTGGTTTTATTTGTTTCACATTATAACATGCATTTGTGTTGCATTTTGCATATTGCTAGTTACCACCCCATTAGATGATAATGATAATGATGATGATGATCGCTGCCCTCCTCCCAGTCTAGGTAAAAAAAATGTATGTTTAAATTACAATTTCTAGTTTCTGTTTGTTTGTTTGGTTTGTTTATAACTAATTTTCTAATCGTCCATTTCATCCAAGCTGCTGGGCTCAGCTGAATCGCGGCTCTCATTCGCCGTTCTTTTAATCGTCGCTTGGACTAGATCGTGTGTAAACTTTTCGATCAGCCGCATGGACACAGAATGTGGCAGTTCGTTTAGCGAATGCGACACAAATTCGCCAAAGGCTCGAAACTTTGGATATGTGGTTATTGCTGTTGGTGTTGTTGCTGGTGCTCCTGTTGTTATTGATGTTGCCGATGTTGCTGTTGTGGCGGTGGCTGCGACTGCCGCAGATAAAGCTGTTGAATTAGAATTGCGTTTTGCCTGTGGCTCCTCTTCAAGCGCTCCCTGGCGACGCCTCTGTTTGACTCCGGCCACAACGAGCTCCGGCTGACGATACGAGTTGCCACCATTGATATTGTTGTTGTTGTGCCCTCCATTTATTTCGGCGCTTTGTGGTATGCTGCAAAGCGGAATTTGTTTTAAGAGTGGCATTAATAGTTATAGCTATAGGCACTACTCACCTGAGCACTGTGGTCACCGGCAGCTGTCGATCATCGTCGTAAATACAGTCCGAATTGTCATCATTACCAACCAGTTCATGCTTAATAGTCTTAATCGGTCCATTGCTATCGCTATTCATATCGAATTGGACATCGACGTGCTCTTCATCCTCCCCATCATCCGGATGATGGTCATCCACAGATTTACTTTGTCTCTTATAGGAGCGTCGCGTCCTTATGTGCTCCGACAGGAAACTGAGATTCTCATACAGTGGCCACTGGCTGCCCACGATGCAGTTGTTTTCCACTCGTCGCTTCTCGATATTGTAACGATTACGCAGCGTTATAAACCGATCCCGTAATATGGGCACTAGAAGAGAGAAAGAAATCACAAAAAATTGAACACTTATCTTTGTTTTTTGTGACAAAGATTAAAAACGCTTGCAAACATTTAGTGTGAGTTTCGAGAATTATAATGAAACTAATAATAAGTATACTCGGCAGTTTTTACTGCTCAAGAATATATACAGATAAGTATATATTTGGCCTCCTTTCAAGTGTCTCATCTGCCCTGCTCTTCTCCTTACCAGCATATCCCAATTTGTGTGAGATTTGCATCCAGAGCTGCATGGCATGCGCCTTGTCCTTGAATCGCTTATTGGACCGATCATAGAGCGCTGGTCTCAAGTGATATTCCCGTATCAGACCCAAGTCGAATTCTCCGGTTTGGGCGTAGGAGGCGCGTGGACGACCGCGGCTCTTGGGCTGTTGGACGAGAGGCAGCGAGAGGTGGGACTGCAGCAGCGGGGACGAGGCACGCTCCATTTTATGTTTGCTGAGTAATTAATTCAATTTCATTTGATCAAAATTACAAATATTTTTTAATTTTTAGTTATTGTATTTTATTTTTAAGATTTGTCTAGCGTAAAATATTTACTGCAAATGATTTATACACCGCCTGCTACGCGCAGCAGTGTAGCGAGCAACACAAAAGCAAAAGCAAAAGTAAAAAACAAAAGAGAAAAATAAAAAAAATTATAAATAAAAAATATTTTTTTGGCGGCGCTGTGCGGGGTATATACAATTATATTCGTATATATATATATATATATATATATACACATGTGTGTGTTTACAGTTATCTATTTACAGTTGCGATGCTTTTGGCTCTCGGCTCATAACTTACTTTCAACCAGCACGCGAAATATTTTACTTTAACTCAATTTGTTTTTATATTTAACACAGCAGCAGAGCAATAACAACAAAATAAAAAAAAAACGAAGGCACACACAACAGGCGGGCGGGCAATTGCTCGATGTATTCTTATTGGTCTTGTTGTTGTTGTTGATTTTCTATTTTTTATTTTTTTTTCACCAGCGACGGCCGCGACGCCAGCATCAAAAAGGCACTAAATGCCCAGCACAAAAGAAATAGCGCAAAAATACCAAAATAATGAAAAATACCAAACAGCTGATTGAACGCGCGCGCATCTTGGAAACTATTTGAATCTTTCATTTAGTTAAAATATATTTTTGGCTTAATAACTTAACTTCCATATAAGTCATGTGATTTTAAAATTGCATTTTAATAATAATTTTATTTAATATTAAAATTTTAAACTCACCACATTTTGCTAGCTTGAATCACACCTTATTTTTTTCTTCCAACATTAGGTGCTGTAACGATAGTAAACAAGCTAATAATGAAGTTTTTCGAATTTTAGAAATTAAGTTATATTTAAAAATAAATGTTAAATAAAATTTGAAGCATTAAGAGTGTATATTATTTGGTGACCCATTTGTATAATTATATATGTTTTTTCTGCCTCCTGGTTGGGTAAAAAACATAGTTAATTCTAAAAAGATAATAAGCAATCAAGTAGTGGAAGGCAGTAACAGCCCAATTGAAGGAAAATGATAATAAATGAAGAAGTTTCCAGGCAACATCATCAGAGGACGAAAATTATTTCCAACAACCAATTTTCATTTCGATGTGAGAAAACTAAAATTATTCTCAAGTCTATAAACAAAAACACATCCGCACATACATCGTAATAACATATTTAATAATAACAAAGGCATTCCGATTTGACGTAATATACATATTTAGTTTTAGGCTGTAGATTTTAAACCAGTTGTAGATGCACAAACCGCTCATAGGCCGGGACAAGTGCAATGTTTGATTCAAAATGCAAAACGTTGACACCTTCCCGTCCTGCAAGCAATTTATGGTACACGTTTAAGAATATATATATTAAAAAAAATATATATATATATATATATATATACATTTTTTTTGCGAATCTGTTTTTCGTATAGAGTTTCACAAGTACCAAAAACTAAAGACGATACGAATTACAATATAATTATGTTTGCTACCATATAAAAAAAAAAACAGCATGAAGAAAACAAATTAAACCAGGTAGACAAAAGCAGCAGATCAGTGCCTAAAAATCTCATATTTCATACAAAAAAAAACAAAATTCATTTCATATTAAATTTCCGCCCCTACTTGAACACTAAACTCGCCCCTCTCTCTCGTTTTTTGGAACATTTTTGTGCGGGCGAGAGAACAATAGCTCCGCTAAGGATCTGATCTGAGAGCGGACAACTTCTCAAGCTGCGAAACTAAAGTACCAAACTACAAAACACAACCCAACACAACACAGCAGGTAAAATTAAACGCTGCAGATCAAGCGTTAAATGCCATTTACTTACGCCTCAAAGAATTTCACATTTCAGATGCACAAAGGAATTATATACTCTATATATATATATATATATATATATATGCTAGACTTTTTGTGTGTGTGTGTGTCCATTGACAGTTGGCTAACATCGACAAATTTTGAAATTTAAAGCGTGACAAAATTCGTAGAAGAAATTCTGCAGCACTCTCTGGACCCCGTAGCAATTATGAATTATGTGAGCTGAGCGAGCCTGAGCCGCGCAGAGACCGAAATTGCCAGAGTAGCAAAAACAAAATCAAAGTCTCCGCGCACTTACAGTCAGTCGAGTCGTACATTTGTACCACCGATTTTGAGACTTTGGAGCTGATTCTGTTGTTGGGGCTGTTGTGCGACAGTTTTTATTTCCCCTTAACTTTTTCTTCTTTTTTTGTGGCTCTCAGCGTATTTCTATGTCGCTGCTTATCTTTGACGCAAAAAAAAGGGGGAAGCCAAGAGTCTGAGCCTGCGCATACATATTTGTTTATGCGATCGCAGTGAAGCATTAGCTTTAAGTTTAATGACACACATACATAGAAAAACGCAAAATATAAAAAAAAAGAATAAATAAACGAACAAACGCTGCAATAAATTCATATTTATTTATTTTTGTTAGGCAAATACGCCCCCAACAACAGCTACAACAAATCGGCGGCTGCCACAAGTCGTGCGCCCAAGCCTTGGTTCGCAACTGAGGAACTGACTGACTGTGGCAAAGGCAAAGGCAAAGGCAAAGCAGCCGGCCCAGAACGATCAATAATAACGGAAAGCGGAAACGCAAATAGACGTGCGATAAAATAAAGAAAAGCGGGGAGGGGGAAGCAAAGAATGCCACATAAATTTGAAATAACTAATAATTCATTGAAAAGCAGCAAGCAAGCACAAGCAACAACACACTACTATATCTCATCATGTAATAATATTTGTTTAAGCAAACAGCTGACACGACTGAAACAACAACAGGCAACAACAACAACAACACATTCAAGAACCACAAACACCCAATGCGCAACATGCAACGACAACAGCCATGAGGCAGGCAACCCACCAATTCCTAGTCAAAGTCTAAGTCAAGCACATCAGATCAGCCTGCAGCAGCAAGAGAGGAACAGGCAGCAGCAGCAGCACCAGCAGCAGCGGCAGCAGAAAGGGGCAGTGTGTGAACGACTTTTGCCTCATCGAAGCGGGCTGCAACTAGTTTGTTTATGTTGCAACCTTAAAAAAATAGAGCATAACAAGCCTGCTGCGGCATCTTGAGCAGATTGTCAAATCCTTATTCAATTTGCCAATCTAATATGTTTCGTTATACATAATAACATATGCTCACATGATCATTACGTAATTCTGTTTATGTATCATCATTGGAATATCTCAACTGTAAACTATTTAATATCATAGTGCGTAAAATTAATTACATACCTACAATATAAATGTTATCTTGAATGCAGTGAATTAAGGAAACAAGTTTTTGTTGAATCAATTTCAAGTCTGTCTAAGATTTACAATCAAGTTCACTTTGAAGAATGTTCTCAAAATCATAAACAATATTTTATAATAATCAAAACCCAAAGGAAACATCAATACTGGAAGCTATTATCGGCTACATAAATAATGTTTTCAGTTTCCAGTATTGATGTTTCCTTTGGGTTTTGATTATACTTGATGTGAGAGTTGCCAAGAAAAGGAAAATAAAACTATCTAAACTTAACTGTATATCTCTGCTGAATGGAAAAAAGCTATTTTAAATGTATATATCTTTACTGAATGAAAATTTGACTAGGTTTTTTTCTCGCTAATCACCATTTTCCCATTTAAAGTCTCATTTAATATATGGAATGCAGGAAACATAAGATGATGTTTGAAGGAGCCGAGTGGGTATTAATTAAAACGAATGAAATCATAAAGTGAACATTAAAGACAGATAATACGGCGATAAATCCCCGATTGCAGTGTATTATAAAGAGCGGTGTTTTTGTTATCTTCTGTTTTTTTTTTTACGTTTATGATTGCGTACGGCCTTTTGTCTGTTGACTGTTTGTCTGTTGACTGCTGCCTGTTGCTTGTTGCATGGCTCGCCCGGTTGATGTGTTGCACGATGTGTTGGCCTGTCCCAGTTTGAGTAGAATCATATCTAATGACTGCAAAGAGCCAAAATGCCAAAGACGTTGCCGTTGTTCAGAGAGAGGGACTCTTTGAAATGGGGTAGGGGGTCTAATGGCTGCTAGCTAAAAAGAATTGTGGTGCACTCGTCACTGCTCTCCTCTCCCTCTTCCTTCTCTCCAGTTGCGTCTGCGCGATGCTGGCAACAAAAAATAACTGTATTAAATGGCCAATGCCAATGCCAATATGCCTAGGACTGTAAACCGGGGCTTAGAAAGGTTCTGCGCGGCCTGTTACAATTTTTTTTTGTCTTGGTTTTTCTTCGTCGATTTTCTTGTTTTTTTTTTTATTTGCCTTGCCGAAACCAGTTTGCAAAGTCTGCTATGGCACTAAAAAAGGCGTTTTTCTTGCCTGGGCCTGGGCTGTGCCTGGACTGTCTCATCTGTTGTCTATTTTGGTGTGGCACCAGCCAGCCTTCTCCTGCTGTTGCCAGTTGCTGTGGGCCTGTTCCCGGTGCAACATTTACTTTGTTGCCGAGATGCTTTCTCTGTGACTCTTGTGTGTTGCCAGCCAACTGCTGCTCGCACTTTGATTTGCTTGCAAATTCGGATCTCCACTAAGCCAACGTAATCGAAATGCAATTAAGAACTCCTTTTTCTCCTCTTTATTCTATTTTTATTTTGTTGGTTTGTTTGTCAGCTCTTTAGTTTTGTTTTTTGGGCTCTCACACTCAGCGTATGCTGTATGCTGTGTGTGTGTGCCGGGTTTGGGCCATTTTTATTATGGCTTCGTTTTTTAGAAAGGAGTCTGCAGTCCACCACTTCGATATGGCGTCCAACTTTGGGCGAGTGCCATTCGAAAGGCGTTGACGTTAGCTGGACTCGTTGTTGTTGTTGTTGATGTTATTGTTTTTTGTTGTTGTTGTTGCTGCTTCGGCTATTGCGTCTGTTTGCCATAATTAAAGGGTTACGGCCATGGCCAAGACATGCCAATCGGTAGAGGAGAGCCGCCAGTTAGTCAGTTGGCCAGTCGCTCTTGTTGTTGTTGTTGCCATGTGAAATGTGTGCGGCTGATATGCATAACGGTTTTTAATATTAGTTGGCGCAAATAAGTGGGGGCATGTCTCCTAGTCTCCTGGTCTCATGGCTGCTGCAACAACAACAAAAACAATAGCAACCACTCCACTCAATCTCGTTCTATATTGTTGTTGTTGCTGCACTATGCACACACACACACATAAAGTTACACAGTCATAGTTGCATAGTCATTTGACTGATATTGTTATGGCATTTTACATACGATTATTGGCTATATTCAGACAGATAGACAGACAAATATGAATGAATTTATGGCCAGGCATTACAGTTTGAGCTGCACTCAATGTCAGCAGTCAGCAGTTTGGCAATCAGTGCAAATGATTGGTCGCCGGTCAGCTTCAAATGTGTAGAATTCTGAAATTGAGCCACAAATTGATATGGCGGCAAAACGTTGAGGCGAGAAATTACGACATTCAACATTAGATAAGCCTTGGCTGGATATGAACTCACTCAATTATTTTTAACAATTATTAAACATCTGGTTTTCGTTTACTGCGATCAGATTTGAAAAGATTTGTTCAATTTGCTATTATTATTTGAGCTTGAGCAGAAATGGGACAGGCGCAATGTTTTTGTAAAAAATTAGATTTAAATTCGACTAGAATTCACAAAAATGATTGGCTATGAGTAGAATAAGGCACCATTATATTCTATTAAATAAATCGGCAAAGCCATCATCTCAGCATATAATAATTAATAGTTAAAGCTAATTCAATTTGCCAAATCTTCTAGTTAG